AGACGCTAAGAATAATATATATTAAAATTTAGAAATAGATAATAATATATATATCGAAATTCGAGATAGATAAATATTAATTTATATACTTCTAATTAATTATAATAAGAATAATAAAGAAGTAAATAGATAAGGATTTTAACGTATTATTAGATTTAAGTATTTATATTATAAAACCTAAAGCGATAATAAGACTTCTTAGACTTATATTTAATTTAGAATTAGAATAAAAGAATTATATATAATTACTCGAAGTTAAAGCTATTATAAAATTTAATAAACTAGTAAACTATACGAGATTAATCTAAAGTATTTCTTATAAAGATTTATAAAAACTCTATTAAGAAATAATTCTATTTATATTATTATTTAAATATATAATCTAATATATATTATTAACTATAGAATATAAGAGTAAAAAATAAAAGATATTTAAGATACTTCGAGTTATATAGAAGAGAGCGATATATATTATTATAAAAGGGTAGAAGAATATCTTAAGGGTCGCCTTAAATATCGAATATTATTAATTCTCGATTAATCTCATCTTAGAAAAAGCTATTATAGAGATTATTATTAGAATCTAAATCTATCTTAACTATAATATTATTAGATTTATATAAGATATAAATAAATAATAAAAGCTAGCTAATAAAAGAGCGAAGCTTAGAAGCTCTCTAAAATAAATTAAAGATATTATATATTAATAATAAGCGTAAAACCCGATAAAGTAATATATCCCCTATATTATATCTTTATAATAAGAACTATTAAAGATAATAATTAGTAAGAATAGAGAGGAAGCTATTAAGTAGTATAATAAGATTATTAATATTAATTATATCTCGCTATATATATATAAAGACGATAGCGAAATAGAAAATAAAATCGAAGCCTTCGCTTACGCTCTCTTAAGTTATTAATATTTAAGTATAATATCTTAGTAATAGCGAGTACTATATTATATATATAGACGAGCTAAAAGAAATTAATATAATATATAAAATAATTATTAATATTTTTTCTTCGAGCTTAGTTATCTAAATAGATAATTAAATAGCGATATAATTAATAATTAATCTTAGAGAATAAGTAAAATAGTATATTCTTAATAGAATAGTAAAGAAGCTAGTAAAGTTTAAAGAGATAGATATATCTATTACTCTACGATAGATTATAGCTTATAAAAATATTTTAGAAAACGAAATAGCGAATAAGCTCGCTAAATAAATATCGAAAAAAGATATCGAAGGGAACGAGTTTTATTTACTCTTAGCGATTAAATAGCGTATTAGAAAGCTAATTTATAATAATTAATAAATACTCTAAAAGATATATATCTAAGATATCGAGCTTAAGTAATTTATTTTTATATTCTATTATAGCGTTATAGTCTTTTATATAAAAGTAAAGAAAGTTATAAGCTTAATAGTAATATAGCTAAAAACTAAGAAGTTAACTCTTAAAAATCTTCTTTATATATATTAGATAATTAATTTATTTAAGTATAACTATAGAGAAGATAACTAGATTCGAGATTATATTCTTATAATATATTCTCTATATATAAAAGATAAATAAGCTATTTAGAGTAGTTAATTAATTAATATTAAGAATATTTTATTTAAATTAAATCTTATAATAAAGATAATAAAATTTATAATAAAGATATAAATATTAAAAGTCTTTAATAAAGTTATAATTTAATTTAATAAATATAGATATTATAATAAGAAATTTAATATTAAAGATAATTTATAGTTAAGATATTAATAAATATTATAGACGAAAGTATATTTCTAAGGAGCCGTAAAATTAGAGTTCGATTTATACGTTTTAATACTCTCGAGTAGATAATATTTAATTATCTTATTTATAGGCTGTTTTATTAGTATTATTAATATTATTTTCTTTATCTTTTTATATTTATTTTCTACTTTTCGATATAATATTAATTAAAAATACTAGACGCGATATCTCGAGAACTCTAGAAATCTTATAAAAGTTAGCTTTTATAAGAAATATCTTTATCTATTATCGCTCTTTAATAATAATAAAATATTATTATTAGAAGTTATTATTCTTACTATTAGAGATTAAATATAATATCTTTTATAATTCGCTTAAAGATAATTATTATACTTTTAAATAAGCTAAGAATATATTAACTATATTAATTAATCTTTTTATATTTAAAAATTTAATACGCGTTATAGCGAAGAGTTCTCTTAACTTAATAATTAAATATAATAATTTTATAATCTATAAAATAATAAATATATAAGTTTAATAGAATAAGTATAATATTAAAAGTAATAGACGATATAAGAGATAAGACTTTCGAGGATCTTAGAAAGAGAAGTAAATATCTTATAATTCTATTATAGTCTTAAATAGTAGAGTAAAAGTAATATCTCGATTCTAACTCTATAAAATAAGATATATATTATATAAACCCGGGTATAGATTATAGGGCCTTTTTAATACTAATATTATTATTTCTCTAAGATATTTCTCTTTATAAGAATAATAATAAGAGAGAGAGCTTCTAAACTTAAGAAGATTAATTAAATCTTAAATTAATATAAAAGAGTATAATAAATTTAGTATTTATCTATAGTAATATAATCTTATTCTTTTAATCTTATTCTCTCGAATAGATAGCTTATAGTATATTTATCTATAGAATTAATAGATAAGAGTATATATATAGAACTCTCGCTATTAGCGATTATTAGGAAAATAATTACTCTATTAATAAAATAGTCGATAATTATAATTTATAATAAGAGATTATATATAACTTTAAAGCTTTTATCTTTCTTTTAATATAAATTATATTTAATTTCTAGCTTTTAAATCTTTATTTATATTAATAAATCTTAGATATAATCTCTAATCGATTAAATTAAATTTTATTATCCTCGATCTCGTCTATAATATCTTATAATATCTTTCTACTCTCAGCGATAATTATCGCGATTAAGATATTTAAAGAGATATAAAAATACTATATTTTATATATAATATAGAATATATTAACGTTATTATATTTAAAGATAATTATCTATAGCTTTAAATATAGCTAAGAAGATAAGACTAAAACTAACTATAATACTATTAAAAACTTATAAAATACTTTTTTAAAGAAGTATAATAATAACTATATCGCTTTATTAGAAGAGTTAGATAATTTATAATAAATAATTAAATTTAAATATCTTCGTTTCGAAGCTATAGCCTTTATATAAGATAAGAATCTAAAGAAATAATATATTCTTATAATAGATATAAGCGTAAATTCTCTTACGAAAGACTTTCTAACGAAACTAGTTAATCTATTCTCGAGCGAATATATAATTTATTATTTTAAGATAATATTATAGATAATAATTATTAATATATAAAAAAGAATATATTTAATACTTATTATACGATATAATAATAATATATTTAAAGAAGTTAATATAAAAGATATTCTTAAAATAGATTTTTAGAAGTCTATTTACGAGATAGAAATTATTCGAGTATTAAATTAAATATTATAAATAAAAAAATAATATAATAATTCTATTTAGATATAAAATTTAAGAATATAAAAGATATAGATAATTAATCTAGCGATTATAATAATTAAAATATAATTATAATATAATAATAATCTTCTAAAAGAGAATATATTCTATAAATATTATTACTCGATATTATAATAGTTATAGAGTATAAAGATAATTACTTTAAGAAAAATATTTAAGATATCGCTCTTCGAGTAATTATATAAAAGCTAATTAATTAATTAATACTTAATAAAAAATAATAAGATAAATAATATAAATAAGAGACTTCGATAAAAGCGAGATAAGATAGAATTAAAAAGATATAGCTCGAAGATAACTCTTTAATTAATACTATTTCTTCTTATTTCTTCTCTTCTCTTTTCTCTATATCTTTATATATATTAGGCGTATAGATTACTCTAGATAGTATATTATATATAAAAATCGGATATAACTAAAAGATTAAATAAAGAAAAATAATTTCACTCTTACTTATATAGCTAGAGAAGCGCTCCTTCGATATAGAAATTATATATATATATACACCTTAATTATTAGTAACTCGATTTACCGCTAAAGAGTTAAATAGAGATATTTATATTTCACGCTATAGACATCTCTAAGAGGCTTTATAGAGGCCTTCGAAGGAATAAATTCTAATATTAACTCGCTCTATAGATGATAACTTATAAAATTATACTTCTATTAATAGTATCTTATAAAATTATATCTCTATTAATAATATCTTATAAATTCATACTCTATTAGAGTATGAAAATGTAAGATGAGGTATGAATTTGTAAGAATCTTATAATTTGAGATATAAAAATGTAATTCGCCCCTAGCTATTCACTCGAGCAAATTACAAATTTATACCCTAAACTATAAGATTCTTATAAATTTATACCCCATCTTACATTTTCATACCTCTTATCAAAAAAATGGGGTATGAATTTGTAAGTTGCCAGTCTTTGGGGTATGAATTTATAAGTTCCCATTTCTTGGGGTATGAAAATGTAAGATACCACCAACATCCCTATACCTGTAAATCATTAGAAGGGTATTTTGAGGTGTTCCAGGCTACCTACCCCCAATTGTTAGTAACCCGAGTTACCGCTAAAGGGTTAAATAGGGGTATTTGTACTTCACGCTGCAGACACCCCTAAGAGGCCCCGCAGGGCCCCCAAAGGAATAATTCCTAACACCAACCCGCCCTATAGATGGCAACTTACAAAATCATACCCCTATTAATAATATCTTACAAAATCATACCCCTGTTAATGGTATCTTACAAATTCATATCGGGTATGAAAATGTAAGATGGGGTATGAATTTGTAAGAATCCCATAGTTTGGGGTATGAAAATGTAATTCGCCCCTATCCACTTTCATTGAATAGACCTCACGACCAAACAGTACCGGCCATAAACCAACCACACTCGCCATGCCTCTCCGCATGTCCCCGGCTTCCCAATCCGACGCCTCCCGCATCGCCGCCATCCACATGGCCGCCTTCGGCACCAACGCCATGCTGCTCGCTCAATTTCCCACCCCAACCGTCCGCGAAAGGCTCCAAGTCTGCATCGCGGCAAAAGCCTTAGCCGACATCAGAGATCCGAAGACGGCCGTGCTCGTCGTGAGAGACGATGAGAGTGGGAACGGTGAGGTTGTCAGTTTCGCCAAATGGAGCCTGCCGGTTCGGGAAGGGGAGACGTATGTGGAGGCGCCGTGGGTGTGGCCGGAGGGGACGGATTTGGAGGTGTTGGATCGGTGGACTGGGGTGGTGGAGGGTGCGAAGGAAAGGGTGGTGGGGGAGGGGGCTTGTTACCGTAAGCTTGTTTACAATATTCATGCCATCTACGTGATGCTGGGTTCGCAGTTCCCTGTGTATGGAGGAAGTATCGGAAGGCAGAAGATTTTTCTCTTGATGAGGCTATCTGCTCCAATTCCATTCCTCGCAAATTGTTTGTCACCGCAATCATCGGTTGCTCACCCGACTCTAGGCCTCACCTTCATAGGGACTGACCCCCTACACGAGCGTCGTGGTGCAGCTTCACTCTTGTTACAATGGGGCCTCCGGCAGTCCAAGCAAGATAACGTTCCCGCGTACCTAGAGAGTACTGTTGATGCTGGGTCGCTGTACGAAAGACATGGGTTCGCGTCTGCAGAGAACATCTCGATGGTGCTGGCAGGGAGGGAGGGGGAGTCAGTAATTTATGAAGAAGTTTGCTTCATCTTCAGACCTGGCGCTACGTCTGATGCGATGAAATCGCATACGCAGTCTGCGAATTGATAGCGATAAAGTAGCTCATCGCTGGGAAGTCTCTCGTTCCACCTCTCACTACTCGTATATGCCTTCATAAGAGTCAAACGTCTCCCAATTCAAACGCTTTCTAATCCATACTCTACAAAGCGCCCACTAAAACGGTGGAAGCGCTTTTGGTGAGCCTTTGGAGAGGACACGCTTTCGGTGCGCGCCTTCCTCACTGCACCATGGTCAGGTGAGAAAATCTTGCACTTACTGTGCTGATGGTAAGGCATTCGCAACGGCGGGTAATATTCCACTCTGTACACCAGCTGCAGCACCTGCGCCGGCACCTATGGCCTGAGTAGTGGCAGCAACACTGGCACCAGCGACGGTCAATTCGCCAAGTCCCGGCACAGCCACAGAGGCAATGGTCAGCAGGATGAGCAGACCAGCTGCTCTGTCATTCAAGATCTCCGAGATGCGGGATGTGGATGCCGGCTGAACGGTAGTGTAGGAGCACTGGGTGACCCATTTGTCGGTGATGGAATTACTGTCTGTTTGAGCATTGTCGATGCCCGTAACCAATGCTTCGAGATAATTGTTGGAATTGGCGATAGCGTCTAATACAAAATACGCCTCGCGGGAGGGTGCCTGCTGGAAATCCATACTCTGGCAACCTGGAAACTAGTGTGATGCTGTTCGCAGATCATACTCAGGACGGGCAAGGCCAAATCTTACCAAGCATTGCTGAAAGACATTACAAGTAAACGCACTGTTCGAAACGTCTGGCGCGAAGCTTTTTAGTAACTGTCTGGTTAAGTTCTGTGGGTTTAGAGTAAATTGGACACTGCTCCACCAGCTTTGTAGCCAGGCGTCAATGTCATCCTGCTGCCAATCCGTAGCGTCAAGTTTGCCAAAGCCACATCCGGGGGTAGTGGCATTGTAGTTGCTCGTCGTACTGGGATTTGAGACGCTCGAGGTTGTACTAGGATTTGTACTAAGAGAGCTTGAGGACGTGCTCGAAGCCGCGACATTCGATTGTGTGCTTGAAGTCGTGGTATTAAAGAACGTGCTGGAAGTCGTAGCACTGGAAAAGGTGCCCACGGAAGTAATGAAACCTGTACTGTTGCTGGTCCCCGTAGACTTTGCAAAAGTATAGGTCGTAGTATTTAAAAGAGCAGAGGAACTGGCGGTGCAGATTGAGGAACTAGACTGGAGACTGTAAGAGCTGCCAGACAGCGTCGCAGATGGAATGATTCAATGCCAATAAGGCTATACAGCGCAAAGGTGAGCAGCAACATGACAAACGACTTGTATATGTCGAAGGCAAAGTTCAAAAACTCTCAATTGGGATATGATGATTCTTATAATTCGAGTAAGAGACTTCTTGCTTCTGTAGAGGAAGAGAGAAAAGCGATCTGAGAAATCTCATTCCTCCTTGCTGCAGAGTGAGTGTCAATGATGCAGCTACGATTTGGGCGGTAAAAGAGACGGTATGGAGTGTAAAGCTGCTGAGTGGCATGTGAAGGAGTCTCTGGAACCAACGGCGATGTCTGCTTTTGAGCGTCATCGTGTTGGAGAATGGTCAGATCATACCGCTATAGTTAGGGCGATTCCATGTTTCTCGAGCATTACCCCCAGACTGTAAGATGAGCATGAAGTGCAAAGGTAGAGTTCCGAAGTCGTTATTCTATTTTCCATGACGCTTTTAGGAGCCAGAATTTCATCGCAAGCGGTACATCGCGCCATGCCCAGAAGAGAAGTAAGAAACAAATTTTCATCAATCATTCCCCTTCCCTTCCTTCGCCTTCTGCAAAGCCCCCAATAATCTCCCATAACCGCTGCCTCTCCCCGCTCTGCTCCACCATCCCCTTAAATACACCCCCATCCTTCCCCAACAGCTCCTCCGGCCCATCGAATTCCACCCCCACCCCGTCGTCCATTACCAGTATCTTGTCGAAATCAGCAATCGTGCTCAATCGATGCGCAATTACGATCAACGTCGAATCCTGAAACTCTTCTCTGATACTGCGTTGGATGAGAACATCGGTTGCCATGTCAACGGCTGACGTCGCTTCATCGAGCACCATGATTTTGGGGCGGGAGACGATGGCACGGGCAAGGCAGAGGAGTTGACGCTGGCCTTGGGAGAGGTTGAGACCGCCTTCAGAGATGCGCGAGGAGAGGGATCTGAAGGTGTTGGTGTTGGTGTCTGGTGCAATTGCTGGGATGGGTGTATCTGAGCCCGAGTCTGATTCGGCGAGTTCACCTTGAGAAGTGGTGCCTGTTGTGCGGATGAGATGCACACGCTGAAGCGCGTCGTAGAGTTCGGAGTCTGTGTGCTGGTCAAACGCGTCTAAATTCGAGCGGACTGTGCCGGAGAAAAGGACTGGGTCTTGTGGTATGATCGCAATGCGGCTCCTTAGGTCGTGGAGACTGATCTTCGAAACATCGATGCTGTCGATATGTACAGAGCCCTCGCGTGCCTCCAAGAAGCGGAAAAGAGCTAGTGTGAGTGAAGATTTGCCAGCACCAGTGCGGCCTACTACGCCAACACGCTGATAATGATTTAAGAGTCAGCGTACCCATTCCAAGACACATATTTAATTCATAAGACAAGTCTAGGGAGCACAATGAGGGAAAGAGTCCCATAGCACGACACGAAGTCGAATCGTCTGACAGGTACAAGATCAGGGCAAGGCAAAACAAGCTCATTTCGTGACAGGCAGTTGAGTCATAAGGTCAGTCTCTGGAGCATACTTTGGGAAGTACTTCCTTCCCTCTCCCAGACTGAAGTATCAAATAGCAAGAAACCACTCCGGGATAACGTACCTGATTTTTCTCCACAGAAAACGAGAGACCTTTCAAGACTGGTGGCAGATCTGCCGCATAGCCTGCAACGAGGTTTGAGACCTGTAGCCGACCCTCGGTAGGCCAAGCAGCCGGGACTTTGACGCTCGCACTTTGGTTCTCAATGGGCAGATTTGCATATTCTGCAACTCTTTCCACCGCGTTGAAGTTGAGTTCGCAATTTGCGTAGCATCGGGTTGTCCACAAGATTGCGCTGCTGTATTGGAGTGCAAAACTCAAAGCAAAGCCAGCGAGCGAAGCTTCGATGCCGTAGAAAGCTATGACAGCAGCAACCAGGATGGAAAACGCAGCACCAATGGCATTTGACCGGAGCGCCAGCCATCTTTGGCATAGCCAGAGGAACCAATATGCCCTTGCATGTGTATCGATTTTAGCAAACATTCTCTCAATGTATACATCGGTCTTGTCGAAGGCCCGAATGGTGCCAATCCCTGCGAGAGCTGAACCGAACTGTTCGAAAATGGGGCTTTTCGCATTGCTTTCGAGCCGCTTGACTTCACGAGCACCGGAAAGATACCGTCCAGTGACCCATCCACACAGGAGTAGTAGTATGAGTGAGAACAAAAGCATGATAGGTGACACGAAGAGGCCCGCGATGATGATACCTACCAGCTCGAGAATGTGATAGAGAAGGAAACCTATATCATTACCCAAATTTGAGTCGATTGCAGCAAAGTCGGCGGTAAACCTGTTTAGTGTTCTACCGACAGGTGTGGTATCCAGCCATCTCAACGGCGCCCTGAGGACCGCGTATGTCAAGTCCTCGAAGAGCTTCTTAGATGCTCTCAATGATCCCATGTAAACGAAGAAGTACCTCAAGGTTCCGAAGATGCATATGACAATGCTAAGTCCAATATAGATACCCAAGTAGAAAGACAAATTATCATTCGAGGTCTGGGTATTGTAACCACTACCCCTCACAGGAGAGTAGCTATATGGGAGCAGTTGGACGAAGAACGAATGAGATTCGGTCTTGTACGATCTTGTCCAGATACCGATGAACCAGGACCTTCCTAAGATCAGCCCTTGGTAGACAGCGTAAAGGATCATGATGGGACCCCAAAACCAGAAACCGCCACTGGATACGAGATACTGCTTGTAGATATTGAGACTCATTCGCCCTGTCTCTCGCTTTTCATCTTCGGTGAACTTCTTCGGCTGTGCCTTTCCTTGGATGTCCAGCTCACCATCGTCAATCTTGTTCGTCGAGGCTGAAGCGTGTGATAGCAATTTACTGAGGCTACCGTTGGCTGCATGTTCTGCTTGTTGTAGCGCCTCTGCGTTCTTCTTGAGATCTTTTGCATGACCCTCTTGTTGCTGCTTCATAATTTCTTCGAGCACACCGGTGGCTTTCAGGTCTTCTACAAAGCCGGCATGTTGTACTGTACCTTCACCAAGAACCACCGTGTATGCCGTCTTGGGCAGGACAAGGCCCACATGATGGGTCACCAAGATGCGTGTCCTTCCAGTGCCGAGCTCTCCCGTCAGGGCGTCCTCAAAGAGCTGCCGCCCGACATGAGCATCCACAGCGCTATAACATTAGCGGATGTTGATCATGTTATAGCAAAGTTCTAGAAACCTTACCTGAAAATGTCATCGAGGACAAGGATGCCTGCCCGTGAGTACAAAGCTCTCGAAAACGAGATGCGCCAACGCTGCCCTCCTGAGAGATTTATGCCATTGGCGCCAATGTCAGTAAGCTCGCCATCGGGGAGCAGGTCCAGGTCCTTCTCCAGAGCACAGCAATTGAGAACTTTCTTGTAGCGGCCAGAGTCAAAAGGTAGACCAAAGAGTATATTATCCTTGATGGTGGCATTTTCAATCCAAGGAATCTGAGCTACAAATGCGATGGCTGGGTCAATAATCCAGTCGCTTCTGTTAGCCTTTTTGTCGAAGCGCTCTTCGAAAGAAGGTGCTTGAGGAACTCTGACTTGTCCAGCCAATAAGTCGGCTTCCCCAAGGATCGACGCCAGAAAGAGGCTCTTGCCCGACCCTGTCTTGCCAGAGATGACGCTCAACTCCTTGTTTGGGAACCGGACATCGATGTTCTTCAGGATGAAACGGTCAGGATCCTCTTCCTGTGAGTCCGATGGCCAAGCAACTGATGCATCCTTGAAATCAATGGCGTCGCCTGAAATAATATAGGGGTCCCTTTCTGGAGCTTTGAGGTATTCATTGATCCTTTTGACTGACACCCAGGCTTCCAGACAATCCGCGATAACCTCCGGCAAGACAGCTAATGAAACTTCCATCGATCCCATTACCGTGATAGAGGTGAATGCCACCGATGCCGAGAGACCACTGTTGAGTACTGAATATACGGAGAGAGAGACAGCACTTAACATTACCGGTCCAAGAATCCAGATAGCAAGTAGACCCGTATCCAAGCGAAACACCCTCCACTGTGTTGCGAGCTCTTCGTCACGCTTCTTGCCGATCTTCTCTTGCCACTGCTGTTCCTGGGCAGAAAATTTGATTTGCCGAATGCCTTGGAGTGCTTCGGTAATGACGATCATCTTCTGATCTCGGACCTTCATGATGTCCCCCTGGGCATCGCTGTAGCTTTTCGAAGTGTAGATGTTGAGTGGTAACGCGATCGCAAATACAGATAGTCCAGCGAGCAAGCTTTTCCAGCCGATCAGCTTGATCAAGAACGCTATACTGACTGTCAACATGACGACTGTTTGGGGAATCAGATAATAGTAAGTGGCAAAGTCCGCGACACGCTCTGCGTCCACTCCCTGCCACCACGAGTATTCAGCCATTTGGTATGCGTACGATAACGGGAGCAAGCCTTACCAATAGGTTGATGGTGCTCTGACGGCTCTTCTGAGTATCTTCCTCTGCTGCGTCTTCCGCCGTCGCAGTTTCGGCTTGACCCGGGGTCGAACCCGACATCGGATGTGTTTCCGCGGTCTTTTGGTCGTTGATTCCTGAAAAAGCAGTGGGAATACTGGTTCCATTCACGGCATCAACATCGGTAGCCTGCTTGGGTTGTAGCACGCCTTTCACATCCTTACGACGGGTGGCTTTGCTAAAGATCATAGCCGATAATTCAGTCCGGAGTGGCTGTCCTAGTCTAGCCAAAACTATCCAATGTAGCCAAGCCTGAGTCCAGGCTGAGAGTATAATGGCCAGTCCAAGGGCAATTACCAATCCCCAAGTCGACCCGCCTGCTGAGGCGCCTTTAGTTTGCGATTCGAGGCGCTTTAACAATTGATACAGAACGAGCTGAGGTACGAACTGTGCAACGGACTGCAATGTTGTAAAGAGAGCCTGGAAGAGAAGTTCTGGAAGATGAGCGAAGACCAAAGTCTTCCACAGCTGATCCTTTGTTTTCAATGTACTGAGGTATTCTTGACGGTAGGCGGAGCGCCCTTCCACGTGCAAATTCGGTAAGTCATCTAGGCCAAGAGTTTTCTTCTTCCTTGCTAAAATGAGCGTAAGCCCTGCCCAGGTGAATGTATACCGACCGAACGCCGACACGGTGTACTGGCCGTCGACGAGCATACCCCCTTCCTCGACAACAGGACGTCTAGGCAAGCTCAGACATGACAGACAGCATGATACCGCAGCACATATTTGGAGCACGTCTGACCAAATTAAGGCGTCGTTGGACCAGGGCGAAGACAGATAAGAGAGGAGCATCACCAGGCGGATGCAGGTAGCAGCAGTCAGTAAAGCATAGGCCAATGCATTCAGGCAACCATAGTTGTACCTCTTTATTGGGTCACGCTCGAAGGCAATATATGCGGTCTGGATGATGAGACATGACTGTTGAAGCATTTATTAGTATAAACAACGGGTTTTGACGGCATTCGTACCCAAGTTCCGACACTCAGCCAATTCTCGAAGCATAGTGTCAACCTCGGATGGACTGTTGTATATACTGCTATGCCCATGGAGACTGAAAATCCCATTACCGAGCACAACAGAGCGAGGTACTTAGGCAAGACTGCAGTATATCCTTTCTGTGTCTCCTCAGTGGCAATGCCATCTTCGTCTTCGTATAAGTGGGAGGTCTCATTAGGTGCGTTATCCCTCGCTTCTGATGTCGCGCTCTTGAAGAGTTTCGAAAAGGCCGGAACAGACGTGAAGAATACCAGTACCAAGGCAGTCAAGCCAGCAATGGAGGAGGGGCTTGGGGAGCGCTCCATGAGGGACAAGCCAATGACGAGAAAGCGTGGAAGTGGGGAGCAAAAATTTCTGCCTCAAGGTATCAATATATACTTTATTCATCTACAAAATGACTCGATCTCATGCTCTTGTCATTGTAAGATCGTCGTATTTGTGTGAGTCAGGTTGAACGGGCTTAGATGGCCATGTTTTTGAAGAGTCACCCGCATATCTTGAATTGAACGAGGTGTTACTCATATGAATTGATAACACCGAGAGGTGGGAAGTGATTTACGGCAAACGTGCTTATATGCAGTGCGACTGAGTCACTACTTAGTCGAGTCTGTCGGTGTGTTGACGAAAGTGGTCCTCCGGTCATCGCGCGTATTTCTTCGATGCAGATCACTTCCCAAAGAGGAAGCCGCATCCGTTTGACATTTCGTACTACCACCGCGCTGCTGTAATGCCTGCAGATTGTAGATAGCAATGACTCTATACTACCATCGGAACTTGTATAGATCCACAGAGCATGAAGGGGAATGGGTCAGTAAGATACTGAGGAGATAGAAGATCTTAAGGAGTCGCTGTACTACGCCCCATAATGAGAAGCTACTACCGCCTGCAGAGCTGAGATTTGAGCTATTGATTGTGTTGTCAAATGGTCAAACCCCGGAGCACGGAGATGGGCACGGAGTTTCGAGCCCTCGCCTCTCGATTTCCAACTCCTTAGGGGCTTGGATATGCAATCAAGCAGATGTCTCGTCGCCCAATACTATACTTTGCTGATTGCTAAGCTTCGTAGCTTTGTAAGTGGTGATCTATCGCAGCGTCCAGTCCGATGCCTTGGGAACTTTGAAAAACAGTGGACCTGAGAAACCGAAGTAGATCCCCTTTGAATGCCCAAAACTTGCAACACCACCTCGATCAAAGATACCCCTCCCAATGACCCATCCGCTATATCCTAAAGAGTTACCCACCCAACATTTAGCGTCACTAGAATTATATCTTCCCAGTCCCTAAACCTATTCTCTCGCTCAGCTCACCGCTCGCGAGGCCTCCACCACTCCTTCAGCAGCCGTCCGCTTCACAAATGCCTCGCCTTTCTCCACCATGCGATCAGGCCTCCATACAATGATCCCAATGGTCCCATCTGCCCCTTCTATACCCTCACGAAACTCCAGCAGGAAATATCTCCAATACGTCACCGGCCGCATCTCTTTCTTCAAGAAGTCCAGGTAGTTCATCTCGAAAGAGAAAGTGTCGTAATGGTAGTGCTTCAGCTTATACCAATCACGACTGCTGTTGAAGGAGATCCTCAGTCCTGCTTCGCCAGAGGATACTTCGAGTCTGAATGTCTTGACTGCGTTGTCGTAGATGCCAACGTAAGTATCGAGGCTTCGACATGTGGTCCCGAAAACGCGCTCAGCAACCATGACTTGACGCATGTAAGAGAAGAGCATGGCGTTCTCTGCTGCTGCCTCTCGTGCTAGAGCCACGAAGTTGGTGGGGTGTGGGACGTCGAGAAGCGCTTCAAGTACGGCTTGTGCTATCCAGTCTGCGGCATGCTGGTTCGCAAGGGTATTGGAGAGGACGACAATGGCCGAACTCGTGTCAGGGATCAAGATGGCGGACGACTGATAGCCGCCCAAGCTGCCAGACTGATAGAGGACGAGCGGAGCATTTGTTAGCCCTTCGCCTATACGAGGCATTTTTGCCACAAGCTCGGCGTTGCCACTTAAGGCACCGAGGGCGCTGGGAAGTATTACCTGCGCCCAGCCCAGGGTGTACTCTGTCTTGCCAAAGCTAGGGAGTAGCCTTTCCATTGGTGTGTGAGGTCTGAATAGCTCTCGTGCCTGCTTGAGTGGCGAACTCTGCTCATGTCTCCCGCTTGAGCTAACTTCTTCTTTTGCGGCATTGAGGAGCGCTATGTAGTACTTGATCAGATCATTGACCGAACTTTTGATTCCAACAGTGGCTTCGTGCTCTGGACTGGTCTCAACAGGCGGCTTGTGTAAGCGGTATGGTGTGTCCCCATTGCACATATATGCTTCTGCAAAATTGTCAACATCAAGGGGGAAGGGGCGACTCCCAGCGAGCCCAGTTCGCTCCATATTCAACGGCTTGAAGATATTCTGCTCAACGAACTCGCTGAAGTCTTGTCCGCTTTGCTGCTTGATGATCTGGGCCGTCAGCCCGTAGGTCCAATTATTCTCGAGGAACTCGGACCCAAGTTGGTGGACGGGCTCAAGATACGCAGCCGTCTTCGTGAACTTGTTACGTGTAACCTGCGGCAAACTGTGCTCGCCCATCCAAAGGCTGACCTTCCGCTCGAGACCTGTGCGGTGACTTAGGATGTCCCCAATGGTAGTGTTATGGTGTATCAACGGGGACTGATGCTGAAAATTAGGAACGAGATTGGAAATCGCGCTGTCCCAATGTAACTTCCCATCCTCGACCAAGAGAGCGATTCCAGAGGCGGTTATCGACTGGGTGAGAGCTGCGATGTAATAAAGAGTATCTTCATTTGGCTCTTCCCTGGCTTGTATGTCTCTGTATCCAAAGCCCGCAGTGGTAACGACTTCTTGCTGATGCAAGACCCCAATGGAGACTCCAGCAGTACCCGAGATGTTGCGAATCTCTTCTATCGCAGGCGCAAGGCCCTCCAAGCGTTCTGCCAATGAGTCTCTCTCACTTACGTTGGCCATTGCGTCTCGTGCGGAACAATGTTCAACAATCGAAGTAAATGTGGATGCATCAAGCTATCAATAGAGGGGGGCACCGTCGTACCACCACCGTGGGGTCATGCTCGGGCGGCTGAGGACCTAGTGACCAAGAGCGGTTCCGATTCGCAAGGCACCTTCCCCGATTTTGAAGAATATTACTAGTCGGCACAAACGGGATAGTCCTTCGATGGGTTGCATATGGAATAAGGATCTGATGCATCATGAAGATAGTCTAACTAAAGTTAGTATATAAGAGCGTTAGCGTAAATGAAAGAAGGTGAAACGTATAACTCTTGAGGTAATCTGCAACGGATGAAGCTGACATTAGCGCCCCTGAGTAAAGTAATGGACAGCGAAGAGTCCGGTGATGGTTCGCAGAGGAGTGAAGCCACGGCATTAAATATTCCCTGACACCGGCGGTAAACTTGATCATGTTGGGCGGTTCTGGCCGACAACCAGTGCCAATGGTAAGAGTCTATGGCTCCAGAAACCGCAGATTTTGAAGGAGATGGGAAGCACCCTGGCCAAGATCAATTTTCTGAGGTCCTTGGTGCAAAAGCCGGCTTTGACTTACGCATTGAAAGTTCCAATACTGCTGCTTAAATTACGAAGTTGTTCGTGACCACGTTGGTTCGAGGTGGCTTCACTCAGTCACGGGCCTCCAACCTTTCCTCCCCACAAACCCCTGCACTCCCTCATCAGCCATCACCTCATCGGCAGTCCTGCCAGTCACCACACTTCTCTCCAGTTCTCTGCCCATGACAAAGAACGGCTCGAAGCCCAGCAGCCTCTCACCCTCCCTTCTCCTCATCCACATTCTCCTGCCGCCTTTACTACGATTTCCTATCCGCACCGGACAAAAGCCAGAAGTGTACCGGTCCATTGAAAGGTACCATCTTCGTTGATGAATTGAGCCGATGCTGTTGGTAGCGCCAGGATATGTGTTGGTGAGGCGGACTTCCTCATCCTCCTGCTCCGCAATCTCGCGCTCAGAAGCTAACAAAGATACGTCCATTGATTCAGGGTGAGCATCAGGCACTTCCTCATCGTCATCAAGATCAGAGGTAGGCGGAGTTGCTTGTGCTAAAGGCCTATCCGTGGAGACTTTCCTACGGCGTTTCCTGGATGGTTTGGCAGGCTGTTCATGGCGATTTTCCGAACTCAGGAGACGGATGGACAAGGTGTAGCTTGGTGGTAGACGGGTCCCAAGGAGGCGAACCCGAATCTTGCGCTGAGCTGGCTTTAGCACCGTCGGAGCTGTGGATGTACAAAGGAGGCACTCACGTTTTGAAAAGCTGCGTGAAGCTTTTCACTGTCCGAAAGGTTCGAGGAAGGTTTGCAATCCCCATCAGAGTCGCCTGACAGCTCGTCATCGGTCACCTGCTCGATGTTCTCATGATATGGCAGCATCTCGTATTCTCCAGTATCCCAAACGAGTAGGCTCCCCGTAGACGCGGAAGCAGTCTCAATGAGGTGGTTCTTCGACAAGCTCAGCATCCAGTCCGTAGAAATGAGCTCCCCTCTATCCACATACCCAGACGTTATGCACCCTCGTCTCTGTCGCATTCCTGCTCAACCTCCTGCTATTAGCGTTTCCCGGCAGCCCATACATAATCGCCCAACTGATCGAGCTCGTCTCATTGATCTGCAGCCTTAGATCGTAGTGGACGCCTGCAACAGGGTGATCATGCTGATGTATAACCCAATGGCGCCCATGCTCGTGCTGGTTTCGCTTGTAGAGATCCTCGAAAGCATGAATTGAGAGAGGTGCAGACGGTTTGGCGGACGCGGAGAGGTGGGAGGAGAAATATTCGAGGTGATTGCGGATCTGGGCTTCTCCTGCTTCGACTGCTGCGAGGGAGGCCGCGGTGTCTTCTGAATGATGGGCTGAACGTGGGTCTTGCCCAGAAGAGTAGCTTGTAGGATGAAGCGTGGTCTTTCTGGCCCGAGAGGGCGGTGGGGATATGGAGGCTCGTAAGGACTGTGGAGGCGTCGTATGTCTAGTAAGGAACTCATGCGGAGTGGGATTGGTGATCGAAGTCCTCGGGCTCTGGAGAGGAGGAGTTCTGCATGGCTATATGAGGTGAGAGCGGTGGCTAGCTAGATATCATACTCAGATTACTGTTGGCGCGGAGATGTAGCGCGCGCTCGTTGTAATGCTGAGGCCGTTGCTCGAATACAAGGATCACAATTGCTGCTGCTCCTACCAAGCCCATGAGCAGGTACGGAGTAATGACTTCTTGATCGAGGATTTTCACAGGGTCATTTGAAGCATGTCGAGTCATATAGAATGCAATCATGAGCACAATGTTTGCAAGCTAAATCATCGGATTGTTTGCTATCTAGAAGGGTGGCGACAAGCAGACAAGATAGAGTATTATTACAGCGCATCTCCCTGCTTCTCATCCATTACCTCCTCGTGCAGGACGTAACCAATAGGAAATGCAAGTAGTGTAAGGAAACCGCGTTGCTCTTCTCAACATCAGAGCTGGGTATTTCGAACCTCCCCCGTCGCCCGTTCGCCGTTCATGTTTGCAATTATGCCTCAGCTGGTCTCTCCTCCTCGCGTCCTCTTGTCTCAGCTGAAGGCTCCTCTTCCTCCTCCTCTTCTTCCTCCTCTTCATTTGAATATTCGCGGTGCGCGCCGGCTGGGACCCATAGTCCGCTCTCACGGTCCTTCATGCTGCTGTCCTGGCCAGAGAGGTCGTGGCCGACGCCTTCACCCATGTTGCTCTTACGACGCTGGGAGAGGTTGCGAGCGCGAGTGCTGAGGGATGGCTTGATGGCAGCGTTCGCAGTAACCCAGTTGGTAAGGGCGTCTTCGCAGTCTTGGATAATACTATGTTTGCACGAGGATCAGCAAGGGCCGAATAAACGGAGCAATGGCTCGGAAATAAATGTCAGACATACGCCTTGCTAGCCTCGTAGCCATCATAAGCTTCGCGAGTCTCTCCTGGAGTCACTGGGGTATCGTCGACAAGCTCCAAAAGATGCTTTCCGAATCCAGCAATGATGGCGAGCTTCTCGCTATGCTCCTTGAGAGCATCGAATTGGTAAGTGAAAGCTGCCTTTAGCTTCTCACGGGTAATGTTGGAAAGCTGGGCCTCTGCAACGAGAGACTCTGCCTCAGCACGGACAAGCTCCTGTTCGAGAACAACGATGCGGGGGCTGTTGGGCTCCTTGTACTTAAGCTGAGCGATTTGATCGGTGATCTTCTGCTTACCTAGAGAATAGATTCATTAGCTCAAAGCTTGAGATTGGAGTCAAGACGGTTCTTACGGTCTCTGCTGGGCTGAACCGAAGCCTCAATGTTGCGAATGCTCTTAATGGTCACACGGTATTGGTCGTAGCGGTCGACAAGTTGGTCCTCAAGCTCGCCAACTTCGTAGATCAAGACACCGAGCTTGTCCGTAACATCCGAAACATCGTCATCACAAGCTTCACCCCAGATTGAGAGTTGTTGCTGTGTTTATCGATCAGTGTTACTGCACGAACTGCGGTTCTGCCGTGAAAAGCTTACAGCCACTTCCATTCTCTCACGTCCGACAAGCTCCATGCTACGCATGACATTCTTCTCCATCTTCACCAGGATCGCAAGCTTCTTTGCGAGGTCTGGGCCGAAGGCGCCAGCGGTGGATTTACGAAAGGCATGACCTACACCACCACGAAAGAGAGCCGTTAGTCTGTGACATCAAACTTGAGCGGCACTGTAACACGAATATTTTAATTTGCTCTCGCCCAAAGCCAACCCACAGTAGCTCTGGCGGACATTATGACTTGTGCAATTGCGTAGGAGGGTTCGTAGCTGCACTCGACCGAAGGAGATTTTTTAGACGTAGGAACGTAATGGTGCAGGCCTTTAGAGGCTCATCTCGAGCGGGTGTAGACCCTCATTTAGATCCAGCCGCAGCAGCAACGAGCCCAGTTCCACAAAGCGCCCATCAACGAGGAAATGAAAGCCAAATGTTCTTATCGCATGAAGAGCACAGAGGAAAAGACTCACCAACGCCGCCCTTTCCAAAGAACCGACCGGACTTTGTGGAGGAAGATGGTGGGGGTGGGTTCTGGATTTGCGAGGCAGTCGGTGCGCGACTCTGTCGCATGGAGTATGTGCGATGCATGATGGATGGTTGTGTGATTTAAGGATCAGTGTTTGTGTGAAGGCGAGTTGTTCTGTCGCAAGTGAAGAGGTAAGCAAAGGTGAAAAGTGTGAGATGGAGTGTTTGTGTGTTCGTGTTCACAAGTTGCAAGGCTCAGCGGGTGACGTTAGTGGACCCTGATTAGCGTCTGGGATTCGGAACTGGTGTTTCACGATCCTCTATAACATGATAAATGAATGCAGGTATACTTACTTTCTTCAAAGGTCCACTTATTGATATTTGATTCCGGTATTATTGAGTGTAAAGTAATTTATTTCGGACAAAAAAGATTTGGGGGGGGGGAGGGAAGGGGGAGAGGGTTGGTGTGCAGGGTAACAGGGCTCCAGGGTAACAGGGTTACGAGCCCCCAGCGGCGAGATGGTTTGTGGCTTTAGGGCCGCCTCACGTTGGCCTGACGATCAGCAAAAGCGCGTCATATCCGTTGATCTTGAACCCCCCCGACCTCCCCCAACTACGCACAGAAGATGATCATGTGACAAGGAGTATCTACAGTAGTATCTGCATGTATTTCAGCCGTAGAGGCTAAGGCCAATAAATTTCTAGTCAGGTACACCCGGAGCCCATTTGCTAGATACGTATGGTGCCACGTATTACCCAAGCTTACGACAGTAAGATACCTTGCCCCAGTCCAACGCGAATTGCCCGTCACTGGTCAATAGCCAACAGTCCCTCCGAGCGCCATGCTAAGTCCGATGCATTATCTGCGGTAGGAAAAGGTTTCAAACAGACAGGGAACGACTTCGCTTAGGTCAAGATCCTATGGAAGGATCCTCATCTCGGACCAAAGTAGGAGCGATCCTCCTCTTCTTCGGAATTGCCGCCTCCTCCTTTTCCGACTCACTCGTGTCTCTTTTCCCGAGTACACTGCCACTCACTGAACTTGGACGGCTTGTTACCCCTGACATTGGCGTCTGCGGCGGAGTCGTCCATGGAAGGCCATTGAATGACGGATTCGTAGCCGCGACACTCGGAACACTGCCTAGGGTTGGAGTAGGATTGTTCACCATTTGGGAAGACTGCGTAGCGATTGAAGACGTTGAATTAGACCGTGTCGGACTTGGCGGTGGAAGAGGAGCGGGCGAGGCCGAAGGTGCTAACACAGGTGTGCTTTGTTTATCAAAAGGAGGAGCAGACGCAGTGGTGGGACTTGGCTGTGCTGTAGACATGGTCGAGATAGCCGGAGACGGGTGGTGAGCAGTGGGCACGTGCCCGCTATAGATCTGTCCCAGCTCGCCAGGATTGAATGTCAGGTTGGAGCAGAAGCCGTCTGATGAGCTCATAAGCAGCGTCAGCCCGTCATTAGACCTGTGATAAAGTCAGCTTGCGCAAGGTATGACTCCGCAGTAATGCTAGTTCGAAAAGGACTAGGCCCGAAGAACCAGATTGAAACAAGAGCATGAGCTGTTGCAGGTCTAGAAGAAGGCAACCAGCCGGAACTAATTTCTCTTTAAAATGGAATGAATTGGGCGATTGCTGAAAATAGGGATAACGTTCCCAACAGCTGCCGACCAGAAGATGACATCAAAATTGGAACGTACCAAGTCAGGTCTGTAAAAGTGGCAAAATGTAAATTACTGATCATTATCAGTGGTGTCATCTGTTGAGTGTCATACACAAGCACGGCATCTTGTGTAGCGACAGCGTACACGACACGGTACGGCATAGCAAACGCTGGGGTGGGCCCCTGCATCGAAGCAGGGTCGGTTTCTGTCGGCCTTGGTGAGGATGTAGGCCGCGAGGATTCCATAGGAGAGGGCGCGGTAGATGGCGGTGGATCCATTGCTGAATGCGTTGAAGGCTTCGACGAGAGCACAGAGTCAGGCAAAGGTGCTATAGCTTCTTCTGCAGATGAGGTATCGATAGTTATATTGGCAGTAGTCCTTGTTGAGGAGCGAAGGGTATAGAAGACAGGAGAACATTGGACTGCTATGGATGCCTTCTTGTGCCCCGGGAGATGCGCTATGGGTGGCCTATTGAGACCTGCTCGAGTGTAGATGTAGACTGTATTGATCACATCATCGGCATTCTTGGCTCCATCCGCTGGGTGAGGGGTCTTATACTGGCCAGCTGGTGTGAAAAGCAAGCTTCCATCTGGGGCGAATGTCAATCTTCGGAAGAAGGAGGTGCAAGTCTCGTTCCCGTATATGGCTGCGTTCTTGACTCCCATACTGCCCATTAAGTAGGGATTCGGGGACTTCTCCATTGGCAGTACGGCAGGCAGAGGCATGGATGGCGCTGGAGAGGCTGATCGCCGTATGGAGGGCGACGATCCAAAAGAGGAGCGACGACTGTGGGATAATACCGGTGGGTTCATCGGCAATGCAAGGGATGTTGGAGTCCCCGGCATTGATGGTTGAGGTGATCCTGGGGCCAACGAGGAAGCGTCACCCACTAAGTGGCCACGCATGGCTGATTCTGGCGGCGCTGGGCTGCTTGAGGATATTCTCCTGCCAGGCAGATCCATTTTCGTGACTCTGTTGTACTGGTTGAGTGTGAATTGGCCGTCCTTTGTCTTTAGCTTGTAGATATGACACGATCTATCGGAAGACTGCGTCGCGACATATTCATTAAGTGGATCCCAAGCCACTCCTTGCACGTAATGATTATGCTCTGCAATCTGCCGTACCATTTGTCCTGCGGGGGTGTAAGCCTTTCGTTTGCCTTAGCCTTGGGAAAGACAACAATCAAGTAGGCCATTCATGAACATAACGGAAAAGGGACAAGTCTGTTCTTTGCCTGACACTCGGGTAAAGGAAATTTGTACTAACCAGACTGAGCATTGTATATGCGTGCAATATTGTCCATGCTACCAGTGATGAAGAAAATTCCATCAGGTGACCAAGCCAAGTCGTATATCTCCGAGCCAGAAGAACGACACATGTGTTTGATCCGCCAAGTCTCCTTGTCTTCGAGGGCGTCTTCGCCAAAAGCAGGGGTGTGAGAGTGGGTCTCTGATGGTACCCAGAGTAGAGTGTTTCCATCATCCCCAGCACTTGCAAGCATTTCTCCTATTCATGTTCAGCCGTTCGTTGCCTATCGCTATCAATGGGTGCATCCTACCACGTGGAGCAAAGCGGACGACATTGACCGCTTGGGTGTGCTGCAATACATTTAGCAATGGCATTGAGAGCTTTACAGATACTCACTTTTATGAGCGTAGTAAGATATGTGACATTCCTCTCCTCTCCATCCTTTTCCACTTTCCACAGCCTGACATTGTTGTCTCCGCCAGCCGTTGCAAGTCGACCTTTTCCATGGGGCTCAAAGTGTACCGAGTATATTGGTAAATTGTCATTGTGCCAAGATATGAGTAAGGGTGAGGCCTTCATTGCTGCGCAATAGGCTCTATTGCCGCTTCGATGCTTTGGGGGGTGGAAATGGATGCAGCGAGGTTTAGCTCCCAGTAGATTCAGCTTGACGAGGGTTCCGCTTTTATGAGGGGGTAAGCCACCATTTGAATCAACTGTTGTTCGATAGATAGACAATGCAGGAAATTAGAGGAAGGGAATGATTATGGATCAGGAGCACAGAAGATCACGGAGCTGACAGTGTCAATCCAAAGTCGTATTAGGAGACCGGTTGCCGTTGCACTTTTACCTACTCCGCAGTTATGTTCGCGTGCCGTGATGCGCGACTAAAATACCACTTTAAAGTAATTTAAAGTAATTTACGGTGGCTAGCGTTCTATCAATTATACCATCACCTGCAGATATACCAATGGTCTATGATTGCCAGCCAATCTTCTAGGCACCAGTATTATCTCTATCTTGATTGAGACAGTCCCTCAGTCTCGGTCTTTCGATTTCGCGTTATGATAAAACATGGGTTCTTCTGAAGGCTCTTGTGCTCGAGCACATTGTATTGCTCGAATGCCAAAGTTGAAAATGTACTATGAAACTTTGGAAATATAATATTCTTCACCCTATTTGAACGCCTACGAAAGTGATTTGCCATGGGTGTCACCGGGCTCTGGACTGTCGTTCAGCCCTGCGCTCGCCCTATAAAAATCGAAACGCTCAATAAGAAACGCCTCGCGGTCGATGCCTCCATCTGGATCTACCAGTTCCTCAAAGCAGTCCGTGATAAGGAAGGGAATGCCCTGCGTAACTCTCATGTTGTAGGCTTCTTTCGCCGCATCTGCAAGCTCTTGTTCTTCGGGATCAAGCCCGTGTTCGTCTTCGATGGAGGCGCACCATTACTCAAGAGGCAGACTGTTAGTGGACGCAAGGCAAGAAGAGAGGGGAGAAGAGAGGATGCGGTACGGACGGCAGGGAAGCTGTTGGCAGTGCAGATGCAGAGGAGGGCCGAGGAGGATGACCAAAAGCGGAGAGAGGAAAGAGATCGGCCGCCGGTAGATCAAGAGGAGGAAGTCCCTGAAAATTTGGTCTACGTCGACGAACTTCAGATGACTGAGAAAGAGCGACAGCAGAATCGCACTTTCAAGAAGAAAGACGCCTACCACCTGCCGAATCTCGATATAGATCTGGCAGACATGGGTGCTCCGAATGACCCAAGGATCATGAGCCATGAAGAGCTGGAGGAGTATGCCAGACAGTTCCATACAGGCGAAGATGTGAATATCTATGACTTTAGCAAAATCGACTTTAATAGTCCGTTCTTCTTGAGTCTGCCAGCTAGTGATCGATACAATATCCTGAACGCAGCCAGATTACGATCAAGATTAAGGATGGGGTATAGCAAAGAGCAATTGGACACCATGTTTCCAGACAGGATGGCGTTTTCCAGGTTCCAGATTGACCGAGTCAAGGAGAGGAACGAGCTCACCCAACGTTTAATGAACCTCAACGGAATGAATGGAGAAGATGCAATGTTCGGTATGAACGATGGAGGACGGGTGGCGGGAGAAAAAGGGAAGGAGTATGTGCTTGTAAAGAATGATGGTGTCGAGGGTGGATGGGCATTGGGAGTGGTGAGCAACAAGGGTGAAGGAGAGCGGAGCAAACCCATAGACGTGGAAGGTTTCGGAAAGGAAGATGAGCCTATGGAAGAAGACGAAGCCTGGGAGGATGACGGGTTCGAGGATGTTCCAATTGAAGGTCTAAATCGGTTGCCTAAACGTCCAGATCGGCCACTAGATGCAAGCAAAGACAACGTTCCGTTCGAGTCCGAGGAGATCAAGAAACGCAGACGAGCTCTGTACGAGACGAGAATGGAGGCGGCGCGTGTGAAGAGAGCAGCAGCGGATCCAGATCTGGCTGAAGAGGGGCTCGACTCGCTCTTTGTCCCTCAGCAAAACAACGAATATGGTAAGGATGATGATGAGAATATGGACGATCTTTTCGAGGGATGTGCTGCCTCCGGCTGAAGATGAAGACGACGACCTAAACCGAGCGATTGCAATGTCCCTCGAGGATCCAGACAATGATTCAGCTAGTGATTTAGACATGCCATCTTTCTCGAATTCGGCTTTGGCAGGCCCTAGAATCGACCAACCTCTGGAGTTCAACCAAAAAAATGCCAAAGCCGGTCGTGACTTTGCTCATCTAGCAAACGCAAGAGCTCACGGATCAGCTCCTAAGCCTTTCGGGGACGATAGTGATGATGAAAACGATATCGATCCGCAAGCTACATTGGCGGACTCGAGACGCACCAAGCATGAAACCCAGGATGGTCCGCGGCCATTTGCCTTAAAGGTAATGGACAAGACGTCAAGAGACCCTCGAGAGCTGACTTCTTCACAAGCAGCCTCAACAGCTCCTGCCGCGCCCTCTGCAACGTCAGTGGCATCTTCGCTACCATCTGGTTTTAATGGTCCCCTACCATTCGAGTCGCTAAGTCTAGGCACATCGATATTGGGAAGAAAGAAGAAACAAGCCCCAGCAGAGTCATCAGGAGGCTTTGAGAAGGACCCTGACAATGGAAAACCCGCCCAGCCACTTCCGCCCTGGTTCTCTGGTGACATCCGTGAAGCTACTGCTGCACAAAAAGCTATAGAGGAGAAGCAATACGAAGGTGGCGATTCCGACAGGCTGTCCCTACTTTCTCCTCGTGCGGCAGTCTTGAAGCGGCAGGAGACTGGGGAAGTCATCGATCTAGAGGCGCCAAGAGAAAAAGTTGACGAGATCATTGATGTTGAGTCATCCGACGAAGGGGACGAAGACGATGTCATTGTGGGAGACACCCGGCCTGTTGATCCTGAAGTCAGGATGGGAGATGTAGCAGACCTTTCCAGAGCCGAGCCTGCATCATCAGATTTGCCTCCTAATAACCTCAATGCCGTGAATAACCAGATGCAAGGTATTAGCGCGGGGAATGGGAAAGCAACGGAACACGGTTCAGATAGCGAGGAGCCCATAGATTGGCCTGAGAGCGAGCCCGAGGCAGATACGAGAGTGCCACGAACTGGAACTGATGATCGAGAACCAGCTGGGGGCAAATTACAGGAACAGCCAGGGTCACCTTTGTCTGAGTTTGAGAATATCGATGTCACGGGCTCGCGGAATTCGCCACAGGACTCTGCTGCCGTTCCAAACAGCGAAGTGCAACCACCACCCTCTCTTAAGAGAGGCCAGTCCTCTATTGGCCCACGACTCGAGGATTTACCAGCCGAGGATGAAGATATTTACTCCGACCCCGAAGAGGAGGATCTGATGAGGCAACTAGCCATCGAGGCAGAAGAGCATGCGCGATTTGCGTCCACACTGAACTCCAAAACTCAATTGCAAAACGCTGAGGATTACGAGAAAGAACTACGTCAGCTCCGCAACCAGCAAAAGAAGGACCGCCGTGACGCCGACGAGGTTACGCATATTATGGTCACCGAGTGCCAACAACTTCTCAAGCTCTTTGGTCTACCTTATGTCACCGCGCCTATGGAAGCCGAAGCTCAGTGCGCTGAGCTCGTCAACCTTGGCATTGTTGACGGTATTGTAACAGACGATTCCGATGTCTTCCTCTTCGGTGGCACACGCGTCTATAAGAATATGTTTAATCAAGCCAAGTTCGTCGAATGCTACCTCTCTTCAGACCTCGAGAAAGAGTATTCTCTTGACCGCGAAAAGCTCATCCGCATAGCACATTTACTTGGCAGTGATTACACTGAGGGTCTGCCAAACGTTGGTCCAGTAACAGCCCTGGAGATTCTGTCTGAGTTCGAGACGTTGGAGCAATTCTCAGAATGGTGGGGCACAGTACAAATGGGCCAAAAGCTGTCCGCAGAAGACGCTGCAAATCCATTTCGCCGCAAGTTCAGAAAGAATGCTTCCAAGCTTTTTCTACCCGCCATTTTTCCAGACCTGCGTGTCGACCAAGCTTATCTGCACCCCGAAGTCGATAAGGATCCTTCGCCATTCCAATGGGGCGTACCTGACTTGGACGCTCTAAGGTCATTCCTCATGGCTACGATTGGATGGAGTCAAGAGAGAACGGATGAGGTCCTAGTACCCGTTATTAAGGACATGAACCGTCGGGAGAACGAGGGGACACAAGCGAACATTACGCAATTTTTTGGTGGCAGCGTTGGGGTTGGTGGAAAGTCGAATGGTGGAAGTGGGTCTGCTTTTGCACCGAGACGGAGGTTGGATGGCAAGAGTAAGAGAATGGAGACGGCATTGGGAAGATTACACGAGCAAGCCAGAAACAGGACCATCGGAGAAGGCGAGACGAATGCCGAAGTCGATGCGGAGCCCGCAGCGGTTGGCAATGGGGACGTCACTGGAACAACGGACGCAGCTACTGAGCCAAGGAAGAAACCGCAGCGCAAGTCGAAGAAGCGAGCTGCTCCAGTCTCTGCACCAGATTCTAACAGCGATAGCGAGGACAAACATGATGAATACGAGGCTCCTACAAAATCACGGAAACGCGGTCATGGCAGTGCTAAGGGCAATGCCAAAGGGCGTACGAAGGGGAAAGCTCAGCCGTAATTTCGGTAAAGGCACATGCAATGGCGTTGTGGAAGCATGTGCAGGAAGAGGGTTGGACGATGCATAGCGCCGGCGTACAGGGCTTCCTCGTGTGGAGTGGTATCCTAGCTATCCAAAGCAATATCTGAACTCATCTTCCCAGCTTTGCTAGATATCTTCCACCGCCTCTTACGTCTTATCCGTACTCTTTTATCGCCGCCTTCTCCTTCCCCTTTTTGTCTATCTTTGACCCCTTTCCCACGCTTTGGCTTCCTCTCACCCTTCTTGTGACCCTCAATCCTGCTTTTCTCCACTTCCGGCTCCCTGACCTCCTTTTTCGTCGCTCCATTCTCCACCTCCTCAATCTCATCCTCCATTTCAAACACTGCGCACCTTGCCTCGTAAAGCTTTTCCTCCAATCTTGCTTCCCGCTTCTTTGCAACCTTGTTCGCTTCTTCAGCCTTCTTGATGTGGTTTTCAGTGTTAGCGATGACGGCGAAGAAAGCATCCACCGACTCCGCGGTCGGGACTCCAGATAAATCGCGATCGTATTGTTTGTAGATATCCCTCATTTCCTCGATTTCGGCTTCTTCTGCTGTTTTGGCATCTTTCTGCTTCTCGGCATCGACCGTTTCTTGTTTTTCACCAGGCACTGGCTTCCCAAATTTCGCGATCCGTTTGTCATACTCCTTCTCGATCTTCTTCTGCCTAGACGGATGAGTCCGGATAGCTTTCTGGCAAGCCTTGATCTGACGCTCGATCCCCAGACATGTCTTCTGACGGCGCTCGAGCTCAGAATGTAGCCCTACAAGTATTTCGGCCTTTGTTGGGGGTGCCGAAGGCGGGGTGGGTAATAGAGACTCGCGCTCGAGGTTAGGCTCCCAATGCTGGTAGTCAGCTTCTGTACCAGGCGTGGAAGCTGTGGAAGACATGTCAGGGAAAATAGATGGCGATGATGCTTCCTCGCGTAGGTCCGGACTGCAATTTTGGATCGCTGGTCTTGATGAGATGGTAGAGGCAGCTTGTTGTTGAGCTGCATATTGCTCTTGGAGCTGGTCTAGAATCTGTGCCTGGACTTCCTCAATAGCCGCTAGTCTAAGATTCCGTCTTGGGTTTGGGTTTGGCTCTGGCTCTGGTATTTGTTGCTCTGGGCCTGAAGCGTATCCTATCCTCGCCAAGTATTGCTCTACTAAGTGTTGCTCCATGGTGAAATCGAGGGGATTTCGCGTAGCTGCTCGACGGAATCTCAGTGAGTGGGACTGAGAGGTAGCGATACGGGGATTTCTGTAAGATTGGGTTCTCTGCATAGTGAGCTGGACGCAAAGGGTTGCGAAAGCGAGTCTCAATTGGTACTGGTATCTTCAATAGTGGCGTGCCACAAATAGCTCTCAAAAGTGCTATGTCGTATTTGGTCGTACAAAGTGTCTTATGAAGGAACGTTCTTGGGCAAGTTTGCAAAATCAACAGCAAACAAAGAAGAATCACGAGGCATGCAATCAAGCGTAGGCCAATAAGAATTGGTCAGCATTTTTCGGGAGATTCAACCCTACCGAAAAGGTCGAAAAAGTATTTGCATCTTGATAAACAGATAAGCCCAATCGTAGCTGTCCTTTTCATTGTAGACATACTGTGCTGCAAGAGATTGAGCACTTTGTCGTCATGATTTCACCACTTTTTAGCGAGCCTGATAGAATATGGCATTTCAGGACCGTAACAGAGCGAAAGATTCAATGGTAGCGACTGACGACATTGTGAGTCTATTGTTGACACAAGATATCATGCTAAGCTGCTGAATAGAGAATGTCTCAATTATCGAGGGGAGATTGATTGATTGATTGATTACATCATACTACCCTGAAGTCTTGCCCTAGTGGCCGACTATGCGAGTTACGTAATCTATCTGATCCTTTCGGTCAATTATATGGTCTTAAATAAATGAGGCTATATAAGTTACCGTTATGGTTTTGCGTCTTAAGTACTTGATTCTTGAAAAGAAATACACCTTATATCGCTAAGGCCCTCCCGTCTTAATCGTGTCCTTCTTTTTGACCGCCTACCCTAGTGAATCCTTATTATTAATCTTTATTAAGGGCTTAATATTATCTAATAAGCCTTATACTCCTTATAAAGTTCGCCGCTATAGAGGCGTAGCGTGGTTTTATTAGTATATCCTTATAAGTAATAACCCCTCTTTCCCTTTCTTCTTTCTTCGATCTATTATATTCCTCGCTTCTTATTAAATAGCTTATATTTATAAAGGATATATCGAGCTATCTACTTCGCTCCACACTCGTATTCTTTATTCTCTATATTCGGTATTTATTAGTTATAAAGAAAGGCCTTAAGACCTATTTTCTCGATTCTTATTTGCGTTATTAGCGACGTTTTAGGCGCTTAACTCTCGAATATAGAAGTTATATTTATTTCGACGGTGTTAATTAGATCCTTCTAAAAATACTACTTCGCTTCTTATTAACCTATTTAATAGTCTATTGTTTTATCGCGTAATTTTTAATAGCTATCTTAATTATCGATATTATTCTTATTTATATAATTAATAATTAGGCTGTTTCGTTAGTATTTATCTTTACTCTTTTATTATAAACTACTCGCTCTTATTAGCTAGTAGCCTTCTTCGCCTCTCTATTCGCCTATTTATTATTATCGATATTAATATATATCGAAATTTAGTATAATTCTATTACTACCCCGAGATACTTTAGCGAATTAATAATTTATACTATTTATATTATATAGATCTATCTTAAGTGCTTATCTAGGTCTTCAATAGCTTAAATCGATATTTAATTATTTATATTTACTATAACTCTACTAAATTATAACTTTATTTAGTATATAGCTATTATAGTTAGAGCTTAAAGAATATCGTATAGTTTCGCGAGTATACTATATATTAATTGCTTAGGCTTAAATAGATACTGAAAATAGAATTAATATCTGACGATATAGCTAATACTCCTACCTTTTTATTAATCCGCTATCGTCTATATATATTATTATATATCCTTTTAATCGATCTTTTAGCCAGTTCTTTAGCGGCTTTCTTAGTCTTATAAATTATTATTTTAGAAGGCTTCTAGTTAAAAGCGGCGCTAAAAGGCGTAGTTTCTTAATTTTATTGATATCGCTATATCGTTCTTCGAATCTATTAATATATCGCTTTAATAAACTTAGTTTTCTATTCTTCTTAGATTTTCTTTTAGACTTTTATCGCTCGAAATATAACTTAATAATCTCGCTATATACTAAACTAATAGCGATTTATAAGATAGCTTTTAAGATAATCTTATCTAGCTATTATTTAACTAATAAGAGATATACTTCTATATTAAGTGCTGAAATAGATATAGCCTTAAATACTTTAGTTATCTTCCTCTCTATTTAAGATTAAATCCTTTATAGTAATAAGAGATAAGTTTTATTATAGCCGATAGTATTTTTAGACTAATATTATACTAAGTAGTAGTATATTATTTATAAGATAATTACCGCCTAATAGAGCTATCTTATACTCTTATAATTATTACCCTATATCGATCTAATAATCCTCGCTAATATATTAATACTTTTAATAGCTTTAGACCGAATCTTCTTATTATAGTAGCTCTATAGAAGTTTAGAGTTAATTTTAACTCCTAGATAGCGGATAAAGCGTCTCGCCTTAATATATTATCTCTCGTTGAGTTATAAAGAATAGTTTAAGCTAAATCTCTATTTTCTACTAAGATACAGTAGTTGATATTTACTAGAATTAAACTTCAATTTATATTATAACGCTCACTTTATATAAACTTCGTTATGGATTTTACGAAGTGCGTTATAGTTTTCCTCGATAAAGTCTTTTATTATTAGAAGGCTTATATTATCTATAAAGCCGATAACTATCGTTTTTAAGTTAACGCGATTATTATATTTATTAATAAGATCTAAGTTATAGAAGAGATAAAGTATAGGCGATAGCGATGATTCTTAAAGAATTCTAATTACTATAGAAGTCTTTAATATAGAGTATTCGCTTATTTTTTAATACTATTATTCTATTAAATAAGAACGATTCTATTTAGTTAACTACTCTTATATTAATTTTTCGCTTTCGAAGATTATAAAGTAGTTGAGGATAAGAGACTTTATTATATATATCTAAAACGTCTAATAGTAATATCGTAGCTACTTTATTAGAGTTTTAGGCTTAATATATCCTTTCTAGAAGATAGTAAATACCGTATTTATATAACCGTAATCTACGGCCTTTTATATATATGATCGATAGAAGTCTATATATCTTTATAAGATACGCTATTCTTCTAATAAGAATAAACTCTATTATTTTTTCTATAATATTAAGTAGAGCTATTAGCCGGTATTCTTTAGAAATTAAGTAGTTCTTACTTAGCTTCGAAAGGATAATTATTATTAATATTTTAAAGTGCTCTAGATAGTAGTCGTTTATTATATATATATTGAATATTCTATATAGATAAGAGAGTAATGGCTCTAAAATCTCCTTAAGAATTAGATTAAGAATGTATCTCCCCGATACTCTCTTTGACGGTGTCTGCGTTATGGCCTTTCTTATCTTATTTATAATAATCGTGCTTATTAGATAGGCTTATAGATACGCCGTATCAACGTTAATATTATCTAAATCCGCCTGTATTAGTAGTGAAAAGAACGTTCTTATAAGAAGATCTACCTTCGAGCTTAATTTGTTATATTCTTATTTATCTTTATTAAATAGTAGAGGGAGATATATCTATATTATAAGTTATTTTTTAACTTACTTAGTCTTTTTCTATATTATTTATAGCGACTTATACGCCTCTGCTATAAACTCTCTAAATACCTTTCTAATAGTTCTCTTAATTAGGTTATTTTTGAAGTTCTTAATAACTTTATACTTATCTTATACTTTCTTTAAAAACGTCGTTCTCTAGCTTCTTTTTAGCGATTTATAACGTCTTTATACTTTCTTATATTTTAATATAAATTTTAATCTAGATTATAGTAATAATTTAATAATCGAAGCGAACTTCTCTATAGTCGCTTAGATAGAGTTAATAATGGTTGCTACTTAATAATCGATACTATCGTTAATAAGGGTTTTATTATTTTCCTAGAAATTAATTAGATACTCTTTCGATGCTATAGCTTTAGCGAGTATCTCTCTTAGAACCTCGGCGTCTAGTTTGTTAAAGTTTCGACGTGTTATTAATGCTAACTCTATTACGGCCAGCTTAAGCTTTATAAGAATTAAAAGATAATTAGATTCGCTTTCGAAATTATTTTCGATATTATAGTTAATAATATTTGTTATTAATATTAAAGTAGCGAATAGTAGATCTATTATTATTTGACAGTTTTCTTTATATATTATTATTTCTATTGATAATGTTTATTTTATAGCGAATTCTTTTTACTATAAGTATTAGTTCTTCTACTCTCTCATCGATATAAGTATTTAGTTCTTTTTATATTGTATAGTAAAGATTGAAGTCGTCTAGTATAATCTGTTCGTTATTCTTAGACTTTATAAGCGTCTTATATAATTCGTTAAGTTTATTTGTTTATTAATCGCCGAGGTTATAGATATTATATATACGTATAATTCTATTATTTTCGAATTTAATGTTAAGAGTGCAGAGGTCTAGTAAGTAATATAATAAGTACTATTGCTTTAGTAATATTCTCTTATTAATATAGAAGTATATTCGTATATTGTTATAATAGGGGTAGATTAAATTAAATCTATTCTTTAGAGAATAATATAATATATTTATATTAGTATTTCTTTAGGGCTTCTAAATTGCTACTATATCGATATTATAGATCTTTTTATTATCGAAGAGTTCTACTATAATCGTTTTAGATTTTCTTATATTATATTATAGTATTAATAGCTGACTAAGGTGTGCTATTATTTCTCGATATTATTATTAGTATTGCTTACTCGCTTCGCCTAGTTTATAGAGTTCGTATTCTCTTTCTAAGTATTCTTCTTTTCTTAGTTGTCGATGAATCGGATATGTCTCTTTTATTCCTATTAATGAAGATCGTAATTCTCTTATTATCACTCTTTTAACTTAGAGGCTATCTATTATTCTCGAGGTTATTAATTTCCTCTATCGCTATATCATTTTTATATTATTTAGCTTTATTTACTACTTTGAAGGGCGATCTATTTCTAGATAAGACCCTTATTAATAATGTGAAAGTATATCTTCTTTTACTCGGCTGAAGATTTGATATAATAGTTCTTTCGAGATTCGGCCCTCTAATTTCTCTCTTGCTAACTATTCTATCTTTATCCGCTAGCCCACCGCGCGTAGATATTAATCTCGAGAAAAATTCCTTATTTCGCCTATAATTAGACGTATTCTAAAAGTAGTTACTTAATTAATCGCTTATTTAATGGCTAGCTGATATCTTCTTCGTTATTATAAATCGTAAAGAAGTCTATTATCTCGCCATTCTTATTCTTACTATCTCCCTCTTCTTTACTATATATATCTTATTCTAAGCCTTATATAGTCTCTTATAAATCAAATATTTACGAGTATCGGCCATATAATCTTTATGATAATACTTTTTAAGCATTTCCCATATACTAAGTAATTCTTTTTAGAGTATATAGTCGATAGATAATTATATTTTCAGTATACGAAGTATTACTTTAATTTATACTGCTTATTATAGACATAATAGCTATATAGTTTTAAATCGATAACTAGGCCTTCTTTTAGTACTCTATTTTCTTTCTTTAAGGATATTAATTTAATAATTAATAAACTCTTATTATAACTTTCTTTATTCGCGTCGAATTAGCTTAGTTATACTATATTAAGACTTAGCGTATTAATATTCTTATTTTAAACCCTTTTAATTGCCGTAGTTATATCTTTAATATTAAATATATTGATTTTTACTTTATAGAGTAGAAGGCTATATATTTTAGTAATTACTCTCGCGTTATTACTTATCTTTAGAGTCTAATCCTTGCTTTTTCTTAGTCTATTCGCCTTCTTCTTATTTATAGTTATAATATATATATCGCTACTCGCTAGCCTCCTAGCTATTCTAATAGATTTTCTTATAGTATTTATACTCTTTTATATATTTATTAATTATTATAATTATCTCGCTCGATATCTTCCCTCTAATGCTTTACTTACTATCTTATCTTATAACTTTATAATAATCTCGTTTAGCTTATTATATGATACTTGACCTTATTTCGATATTACTAATAATATAATAGAAATTCCTTTTATAATAAAGGAGAATATCGAGAATCGGCCTAGTACGCTGGCGTAGCTAATTGTTGATATATTGCTTTTTAGGCTAGCTATCTAATACTTAATATGCGTAATCTTTTCCTTTATATTGCTATCTTGATTACTTAAGTTAATAGCTAGTTTATATACTTCGTTTAAGACTATCTAGATTTTAAATTTATTATTTATCTTTTTTTATAAATACTATCGCCGCCCTAAGAGTAGTAGCTACTTCGTTTATTAGTGGTTTTTAGTCTTCATCTATTATTTTCAGTATAGTATTCATTAATAACTTCAGTATAAATGCGTGCTCCTTAAAATTATAGCTACTATGGTTTTATTAGGGTTAGCTGGCCTTATTCGATATGATTATAGGGGTATAGGCGTCCCCTAAAGCCAATTAAAGAGGTACTGGCCTTACTAAGTACTTTGAATATATATATCTACTTTCTATAGCTCAATAATATAGCATGAGCGTTGTGCGAAAGTTTTTATCGAGGGGAGAGTTCGAGTAGAAGATCAAGATGCCAAGGCACTTGGCCCACTTTGGTATCGCCCGAAAATGTAGAATCAACCTCATTCTCCGACCCTGCACATCTTTCTTCTCCGTACGCCATTCCATGCTATCGGTTCCTTGCTATGAAAGGAACTAGGCGTATTCTTATTGATGCTCTGTTGGTGGGTATGACCGGCTTTCTTGTGGATAGGCTGGAGTGTATCCGAAGGGGCTGCAATAGAAGAGTGGTTAGAACGAACGCCGGAGATTGCTTAATAGGATACTCACATCGGCGGATACTCTCCTGGAAATGGCGGCTGATCTCCGTGATTCATGATTGGAGTGTAGTCAAGCGGGCTGTTTCGCAAGAAATGTCAGTGCCAACCTGGGAAGTCGCCTAACGAGTTACTCACATGGGTGGGTACTCCGAAAGGGACGACTGGTACTCTTGCGACATAGCTGGAACATAGTTGACTGGGCTGAATTGTATGAGTCGTCAGTGCTAGCCTTGGAAGAATGTCCAAGGAGGACTCACGTGGACGTGTAGGCTGCTGCTGGATGGGACCCCTGATTCCCCCAAAGGCATGACAGGAGCGTAACTGGACGCGCTTCAATTCAGGAACCACATGTCAGCCATGGTCGTGGATTTTCTCCACCAAATACTTACATGGTTGGTGGAGCATATACAGTGGCATCAGGCCTTCCTGGTAAATGTTTCTTAATGTGCTTGGGGTCCAAGCGATCATACCAATTCGCTCCCTTAGGGTTCCCATATCTTTTCACACATCCAATGAAGTGACTCTTGACGTGATCGATTTTTGAAAAGGTTCCGCCGCCACAGACAGCACAGAGATGGTTTCCTCGTCTCGCTGGGGAGACTCTCACCGAGGACACGAACTTGACAATTACTTGACCCCACGAGAGCTTTGAGGGGATTGCAACACCACTCCATGCTTCAAGGCTGTCACGAAACCTGTCACAGCGCGCTTTGTCTCTCATTTCCCCTTTGCAAAGTGGTTTAAGGCTGGTATGACCATTCCACCTCAGTGCGTCTGGATTACCATCCTTGGTTATGCAGTGTGGGAAACGTTCTTTTACATTGTTGCGTGCAGCTAGTTTGTTGTCATACCGTGGGCAGTGATACGGTGAGTCTGTGTTTCGAATGTTCCTCACGGGAGACAGCTTTTCAGGTGAGTAAACACCACAAAACGTGGTATAAGTATCGTTGTCGACCAGATTTGGGTTATTTTGCATGGAGACAGGTTCTGCTCCAGGTTGCATCTCACCGGAATATTGCTGTTGCTCATGTTGAAGTTCCGTGTAATTTGACTCTGTGTAGGGCAAATGAGCATCCATCTCGATTTCATTCATAACATCTTCGAACGCTTGACCGAGCGTTTGGTATTCAGCTTGCTGAGTGATGTCATAGTCCAGATCTTCTTGTATGCTGAAGTCACAGAAGTTGGGGGAAACATCGTGAGCTGCCAGAGGCAAGGATCCCCAGTCCATAACTCCTAATCTTTGGTTAGCATACACAGTTTCATGCTCAAAGCTAGAGACTGACTCTTCTATGTGAGGATGACTTCGGACGGGGGATTGAGTCTGCGCTTCTTGGATGTTCCATGGAAGACAATGTGTTCGAAATGAGTCCTCAGTCTGAGTGTTGTTCTTGTTTTCGAACTATCCTCGATGCCGTTAGCGTCCTTTTGCGGTGTGTCTTCTCAACATTGTCAGTCGCCTCATTTTCATAGACATCCTCCACTTCCTCATTTTCTCTTCGCATTATCACAAGTTGTCCAATCTGACACTATCTCTACGTCAATGGCCCTAAACACACCGCCTCTACAGCGACCGGCATACCTTCAAGGCGTAACTCTGGCGAACTTGGTCGATTACAAAACTAAATGTGCCTTCCACATCTTTGAGCATGGGAGGCTCTCAGCTGCACCTTGTAACTTGGTAGGTATATCTTGAACCTAAAGTTTCTATTCAGTGTCGCGATCAGGGTACTTCCAGGCCACCAAATATACTAAGTCTCTCATTTCCTATAGTGTGTTGAGAATAATGTAGACTGCATCGTTGCGAAAAGACGAGCAAGCAGATGCATGCGATGTGCATACATTGATACGAGAATCTTGGAATGCCAAGCTGAGGGAGTGAAGTAAGTCGATTCCATCAGCTATAGTCCTCTTAATTTGCTAATTCGGTGGATAGCAGCGGATTTTATGGGACCAGGGACTTTTCACAAACCACGATCCCGCTTCAAACAGTTAGTGCAACGCACCAATCCACAGAAGTCGATACGTCAACATCCTCTCTACCTATTCAAGGATCAGCCGCGACACTAGAATCCAAGGCAACCATGGCACGGCCTGATGCCCAGGTCGCTCGCCAGTCCGTCTTTCCAGTCAAAGCCAACTCGACCACCCACGAGGCTGTCCACCCCCAAAGCAATACCGACCACGGTGCTCCTACCAAGCGAAAGCGCAAGCGTCGTGTTTCTGATCCCGCCGATGCTATGAAGATTGCAGCAAAGCGTCGTCGCGGGGTTACATGTGCTACTACAGTGACTGAACATCCTTACGCTCCCACTGCTCCAAGGGTGACTGAGCATCACGGTGCTCCCACTACTCCTAAGGCAGCTCCCACTGCTCCTAAGGCAACTAGCCGTTCGTCTAAACCTACCAGTAAAGCCGTCATTAAGCAAGACATTCCAAACATCCGATACATTCCCGCTGGAAGTACCGATTAGTGAGGCACCCTTTCAACTACGCCGCTATTTCCACGCTTACGATCTACAGTGACCTAGCGATTAGGACCGAGGATCCCCCCGCCTGGGCTCAATGGGCTACTGATCTGGTAAGTGCACACAGCAAACAATGGATATTGTCACAAAGCTGACCGTGCTCAGCGCAAGGAGATCCGTGCTCTTCGTCACCTTCCAGATGTCGGCCCTTACACGCTTGGTATCATTGCAATGATGACCGAGGACGGAGTATGGCCTACGGACTCCGAAATCGGTCTAGGTGGAGAGTAATACGGGGATGGATACATGTGCAGGGAGGAATGATGCATGGTTGTTGATGGACTTCCCGCGAATTTGTCAAAGAGTGTGTTTTTGTCATCGAAAAATGGTGTGAGAATTGGTTTATGTGTCAGAGGAGGTGCGTGTAGGGCGGTAGTATCACGAACAGACTTGACATAGGAGTCATCGCTGTCCGTAGAATCATTCCTTCTGCTGGAATATCCCTCAGACTTCCTGTTGGTTCCCTTGCTGCTTGCTTGTCCCCATTCGACGATATACGGGTGCACCGCCTCTCAACCCCCGAGGATCTACCCAGTTCTCTCCCAGTCCCATCCATGTTCATTCTCAATCTGATGTCCATCCTCAAGCGTATCTACATTCTCCGGATCTATTCTTGGGCACACTGAGGACAACAAACCAACTCATGCCAGCGCTTGATGGGGTATCGAGCCACATACCCAATCATGGAGCCTTCCATCATTTCCAAGCAGTGTCGTGAGACACAATCTCAGTCCCCATACAATGGCCTCTGTCTACGTCTCTCTACCCGATGCCACGCAAAGGAGGCGGACCCCAGCCCACAATCGCTTCTTGCCATCTCAATTTTTGTTTTCAATAAAGGAATGGCTCAGTTTCAAAGCGTTCTCCAGCAGGTACAGTATGGATCTTTCGTCGCTATACTCCTTTCCGCGGTCCGCTAGAGTCCGAGCTAGATCAAGTGGCGTCTGGCCCAGATTGTTTCTCATTTGGCATATGATAGGTAGCTTGTCGGATTTGATATGTCGGAGGAGGATTGGAATCATACTTCGACGTCTCAAAACGACAGCGAGATGCAACACTGTATCTCCTATCAGGGTTTACAGAGTTCATCTGGGTAGCATCGAAGTCCAGAAGCAGCCGGACTATACGCTCATGAGGTTCTCGACCCTCTAGGATAGCGCCATGTAGCGCTGTGTCACCAAAGCGATCTCGTCCGTAGATGTCTGCGCCGGCCTTCAACAGCATTTCGATGACGGCTGTGTTGGCAGCTCTGACAGCACAATGTAACACTGTATCCTCGTGTGAGTTTTGCTCGTCCACTGTGGTCCTGGTCATCGCGCCATGGTCGAGCAGAGTCTGGATTATCGGCTCCTGGCCCTGGTTGACGGCGACGTATAGAGCCGTATGTCCCTGCGCCTTCTTTTCCAACAACAGTTCTATTGCCCATTCTCTTTTGTTTTTTACGGCTGCGAGAAGCAAGCTATCCCCCCGGTAATCAGATGCTTCAACATTGGCCCCTCGCTCAAGTAGATAGCGTGCCACTGTCTGTAAATCTTGATAAATGGCAGCGTGTAGAGCTGTCGTTCCGAACCGGTCTCCAGCCTCCGTATTCGCTTTGGCATCGATCAATATAGTTACAATCGAGAGGATCAATTCTTGTTGTTCCGTTGGCCTCCCAGTCAGAGCTCGATGTAATGGCGTACTACCGTATTTGTCTCTAGCCGCAGTATCAGCACCGTGGTGCAGAAGCAGCTCGATCATCGGAATTGTGCCAAATTTTGACGCTATGTGCAGAGGCCTGTCGGACATGATACCTATACTCTCTAAACCAACACCCTTGCTGATGAGTAAACGGACTAAATTGAGGGCATTTTCTTTCACAGCAATATGCAAAGAAGTATAGAAAGGTGCAACATGGTCGAGTGGGATCAGCCCCTGCTCAAGCAAGGCCTCGTTGAGGGGGACAATGTCCAACACCGCGGCTCGATGGGTAATGAACAAGTCTATGTATGCTGGAAAAGGCATTCGGCCACCGGCTTGGAAATCAAGAATTCGTTTTCGGAAATAGGAGAGCAGTCTCGAGTAGGCATTGACCTCTCGAATCTGCTCACCACTGAATTGTTTCGGATTTTCTGCAAAGAGGCGTCTGAGTAGCGTTTCTTGGCCCATCTCTGCTGCTGGATAATCGCCCATTCTCTCGTAGACTGAGACTAGGGTAGGCAGGACATCTTCACTTTGATACAGGTCCACACTCTCCATTGAGATGTTCCTATCAGAAGATACTCGACGAAACAGGTATTCCGCGTCTCTGTATCGCCCATCGGCTTCATACTGCCGTGCCCAAGCCATGGTTTCTTGCACCACAGCGCTAAGAGTTACGTCCAAAAACCCGGCAATTCGCACCATCGGGATCACTAGTACCGCAGCAGAGGGCATGAGTGTGATGTGGACAGCTGCCGCAGGTCTCCGAGGTCCTGCAAGCTAAGATCACTTGTCAGCGGGGTTGGAAGGGAAGTCAGCCATATGGTGTTCACTTACCAGCGGATCTCGCTTCTCCGAGGTCGAGCTTGAGGCGAAGTTGAGGGTGTCGTAGTTGGTAGGCTTGGTGAATTTCTTGGGCTAACATCGGGAATGGCCGAAGACTCTTCATGCTTCGTTCTCATGGCCGAACACACGTAACCATAATGTTGGCATCTTTCACACTTCGTTCCTGGCCAAGTCCTGTCTTCTGGCAGACACTATATCTCAGTCAGTGGGCCAACTGTCATGAAATGAGGGGACATCTGACTTTCTGTCTATCCTTTCGGCACTGGTGGCATTTTCGGTATGCGATCTTTTTCTCCTTTGGCATATCCGCTGACTCGGCGTCTTCATGTTAAAAAAGGAGATTTCCTGCTCAAGTGGGATTGAGATGTCGTAAAGGAATTACAGCAGATGCGTAAGCCCGGAGGACTCGGATATAATGCATCAGAAGACATGAGGAGAAAGCAAATAGATGGACGAAAGAGAGGCAGGAAGAAAGAAGAAAGACCAAGGGTGAAGACGATTGGTCATAATGAAAGTGGAATTCTGCGGGCTGCAACCCCACTTTCGCTCTCCATCTTCGCTCAACGTGCATGGTGGCGTTAGCAGGAAGGAGTACGAGTACGCTACGTTTAAACACCCGCTGCTCTCCATGCAGCCTTGTCGCTGGTATCCCGACTGATGGCGCGCCTCGAGCCAATCCCTGCCTTTCCACGCCCACCTTGCGCTTTCTTCCCCGAAACGCTATTGATAGGTAACGGTCGCTGAGCTTCGCTCAGTACCTTCGCCCATCAAAATGGTTCCCATGCCTGGAATTTCAGCCCTGTGGTGCGTGTACCTTTCCTCACCTTCGCTCAAGTTTTTGGCGATTTCTGGGTCTCTCAGCGCCGTCTGCCATTCCACTGCGATTTATTCCCTCGTTTTACTAGCATACGATGGGTTGGATGTCGCGCGGTGTCCACATTGAGTAAAAGGCATGACCATGCATGGCAGTATTATATTCGCTGAGCTTCGCTCAGTACCTTCGCCCATCAAAATGGTTCCCATGCCTGGAATTTCAGCCCTGTGGTGCGTGTACCTTTCCTCACCTTCGCTCAATTCTTTGGCGATTTCTGGGTCTCTCAGCGCCGTCTGCCATTCCACTGCGATTTGTTCCCTCGTTTTACTGGCATACGATGGGTTGGATGTCGCGCGGTGTCCACATTGAGTAAAAGGCATGACCATGCATGGCAGTATTATATACAGACTCTGCCATCCTTCCGCTCCTCTTCATCCCTTCAAATTCCTCTGGTTCTTGCTCGTACCTTCCTCGCAGTCTGAAAGAGCTCTGTGGAATGATGCCTGAAGACATTGGTATTGACCTTGAACGTGGCGTGACCGCTTCCATCAAGCAGGGCAATGGCTACCAACCATCTTTAGGCTCCGAGGATGGCAGATTTTGTCCTATTGCCGTCCAACATCTTGACGGACGGGCAGTCCTGATCAACGCCACCATCAAAGAAAAGGATGGAGATCTCGCCCTCAGCTCAGCAAAGAGGCAAATCTGTCGGGCTGTCAGCAAACGCTGGCACCAAAGACTCGTCGGAAGGCTTCTGATGGGTCTCGTCGTCGGCACTGCCAGAGTCAAACAGGTACACCGAATTTCCGGTAGATAATTTGAGTTCTTTCCTTCCGCTTACACTTCTTCTCAAAGGTCATACATTGCGGACCGCGACCGCGTTCCCGCGGGAAGCAAGGACCACCAATCTCGCCATCTCGAGTCTATCTCGAAGACTTCACCCTCGACCTCCTACTCACGGAATCACTCCACAACCCTCACTTGCTCTTACGCTCGGCATCTTACCCCCTGAACGCCGACTATTTCGGCTCTGCAACAGCTGACAACGACAAGGCTCTCGGTCACCAACCGGCACAGTTCAGCAACGATGTCGACGACAAATCCACTAGCACCTGTATTGAGCATGAGGGCCAGGAGGTCATCGTCGTCAGACGGGTCATCGACAGAGCCAAGGTCGCCTGGCTGCTTATTCTGCTCCTCTTCTTCTCGCCTGCCTTGGGGATCGGGGTCGGCATCTGCTCTCATAATGCCGACGTCGGTATTGCTGTTAGCGCGGGTATCGTTGCCCTTGCGTCGTTTGTGCAGGGACTTGTTACTTGGATACAGGGATGAGAATCGGGCCCTAGGCCGTCACAACGTTGACATACAATTCTTGCTGTGATATTATAGAGACACATGATGTGGCAGAGCACCGAGGATGACATGATAAGTCACACAAGGTAAATATATCAGATGAAGTCTAGGACAAATAGTATGGCACGCTCACGAGATGCAACAAACGCCATCTAGATGCTCTCGTCCCATTACACTAGAGTGAGAGATACTCACATCCAGCGTTGGTGATATTAGTGTACATACGAGGTCTGAGTTCCACGCTAAGCGCCTATTTCTGCGCTTTCGTTACTTCTTATGCTTCTCAGCCAAAGACTTTTCGTGCTTCGCCACTAGCTCTTTCCTGCAAACCCAGTCAGCAAGCCCCTCGGACAAAAAATGCAAAGAGGAGCTGAACTTACTGTAATTGCATAGGCGCAGGACTGTAGTGACTAAATTCCATCCCAAACTCTCCCTTTCCCTGCGTCGCCGCCCTCAACTGCGTGCTAAACCCGAACATTGCGTTCAAACTGCAATCAGCATACAGCGTGAAATCTTCAGGTCCGATTTCCGTGTCGCTGATCAACGCATTTCGTTTATTCAACAAGCCCACGATGTTTCCTTGGAACTCATTTGGTGCTGTGATGGTTGTCTTCATTAGCGGTTCGAGCACTTGCGGACGGCCTTGGTTAAACGCTTTGCGGAAAGCTTGCTGTGTCGCGTTTTTGAAGGCCATCTCGCTGGAATCGGTCATATGTGTTGCGCCGTCGTTGACGATCATACGGGTTCCTAGCACTTTGTGCCCGACTAGCGGGCCTTTTTGGCAGGAGAGCTGGAAGCCTTTGTCGCATGCAAAGAGGAACTTTTCGGATATACTGCCGCCACTGACTTGGTCTTCGAATTTGTTCTCTTCTAGAGCGCCGCTGGGTTCCAAGTAACCGACTACTCTGGCAAAATCCCCAGCACCGCCGGTCTGTTTCTTGAGCGTGTGGTCGAAGTCTACTCTCTGTGTTAAGGTCTCACGCCATGCTACTTGAGGTTGCCCGGTTTCACAGGCGACTCTGTATTCGCGGCGCATCCGCTCCACGTAGATGTCTAGATGTAATTCACCCATGCCGGAGATGATGGTTTCTTGGCTTTCAATGTCGACGTGGACGCGGAAGGTAGGGTCTTCACGCTGGAAACGGGCCATTGCTTTCGAGAAGTTCGGAAGGTCTTTGTTGTCTTTTGGCTTGATTGAGAGGGAAATAACAGGCTCGGGGACGAACATGGATGTCATGGAGTACCCAAGCTGACCGTCGGTGAAAGTGTCGCCAGATGCGCAATCGATGCCAAAGACGGCGCAGATCTCTCCGGCGCCAATCTCTTGTACATCTTCCATCTCGTTGGAGTGCATGCGTACTATCCTCGGCACTTTGACCTTCTTATTGGTACGAGCGTTGAATACATTGAGACCCTTGCGGAGTGAGCCTTGGTAAACGCGAATGTAAGTTAGCTGGCCAAAGTTGCTCTCTTCGAGCTTGAAGGCCAGGCCGACAAAAGGTAGAGAATTGTAGGAGATGAGCTTGACCGGTGCCTCCCGTCGCCGTTGGTCCAAGGCTAGATTCTCCACTTCGGAGGGATTGGGTAGATAGTCGCAGACACCATCAAGCATTGGCTGCACAGACTTATCAGCCAGCGCTGAGCCCATGAAGACCGGCGTGAACTTCAAAGATATGGTCGCACGTCTGATGGCAGCTTTGATCTGCTCAGCTGACGGTGTCCGCTCATCCAGGAAGATCTCTGCGATCTCATCGTCAACGTCGGCCAGAGTCTCTATGAGCTTTGCCCTTTTCTCATCCGCAAGCGGCCGCACCTCCGAAGGAATCTCATCCGACTCTCGTACAGTCTCCCCTTTGAGTCCTTCGCTGTAGATAGCCTTCATCCTGATCAGGTCGACTACACCCTTGAATTCGTCTTCGACTCCAATGGGCACCTGCACAGCTGCTGCGAGCAGCCTAAGCTTATGAGTTATCTGATCGACTGCTTTGAATGGATTGGCGCCCGCTCGGTCCATCTTGTTAACGAATGATATCCTTGGCACATTGTACCTCTTCATCTGCCTGTCCACTGTGATCGTTTGTGACTGGACGCCAGAGACCGCACAAAGTATCATGCATGCTCCATCCAGGACTCTTAAAGCCCGCTCCACTTCTATCGTAAAATCGATGTGGCCGGGTGTGTCAATCAAATTAACGTGGTATTTCTCCTCCTTGCCACTCTCGCGCTTGATCCAATCGCAATAGGTAGCGGCGGACTGAATGGTAATGCCTTTTTCTCGTTCCAGGTCCATTGAGTCCATCTTCGCCCCCACCGCATCTTTGCCTCGGACCTCGTGTATGGACTTGATCCGGCCAGTGTAGTATAGAACGCGCTCTGTGACCGTGGTCTTTCCGCTGTCGATGTGGGCCTGAGTGTATCCGTCAACCCCGCTATTCTTCCCTCCAAGTAAAGCTTACTCACAGCTATTCCAATGTTGCGGACACGAGATAGTCGTTGGGCCTCTTGGGGCGCGAGGTTATCGATGATGGTTTCTTGGGCAAGATTTTCTGGCTCCACTGCTTGCTCCAACCTGGTCCAATCAGCTTTGAGTCCTCAACCAGTCACCGATACATACACAGCTGCTGCTACACTTGCCTGGCGCCGCTGCTGCCATCGTCGATCTAGAGGTAAATGCAGTGTCTGTAGGGGGCGGAGGGATGTAGAGGCGCATCTGATCGCATTGAAGCATCCTGACCATGGATAATAAACATTAACTCGTGGATGACTCGAAAGATGCCTAGGCACTCTCAATGCACCATGCGGCCTCATTTCTATGTGAGGGTTGCGTTTGGAGAGACTGCACGGAGGCCAAGATCGCAGAGCCGCCAAGACATAGAAAATGTACCTTGATCTCACCCCTCCTTAGGTCTAGAACTACCGCCGCTTTACTCTCGCACGACCTCGGTGACCCGAGCCATACAATTACGCTGGACGAGTACCACCGAGCGTTCGTGTAGAACCGCTTGTTTCTTTCAAGCCTTTGACTTGCGCTTTCAATCGGCGCGACCTTTATGTATATCATTCTTCGTTATCGTCATCTCTATGACTTATGCATATAGCGAAAGTCGGATGACCCTATCCTCCTTTATGGCACCTTCGCCCGTCAATGGCTCTTTCAACCGCCGGCGGTCTACGTCATGCAGCAGGATCACGAGCGAGGGTAGCGGCTTGCTGCGAGGCTACACGAATCGCACAACCTAGCAACAGCAACTAAACATCCATCAATAGATGCCGCTTCTGGTAGGGAAAGGATAGCAGCAACTGGGCCGCAGGATCTCGATTGACGACTTTTGATTCTTGGTTGCCCAGCATTGCCTATGTCAGACATTGGCGTCCCAGAGAGTATACGTTACCGCGGCCCCTCGAGCTTCGACCAGAACCAGGACTCGAATATCAAAAAGTACAAGCACAATGTTCGAGATGCAACAGCGAAATACCATATGGTCAACGACCCAGACCTCGCGACTGGGTAGCTACTAGACAAATCCTCGACCAGCCTCACAAGCTTGTGAAGGCTGAAGCGTTGTATCAATCTGGGAAGTTGGAAAGCAGCTACTCTGTGTCAAGATAGATGCTTGTATAAAATATTTATTAGTACTAGTTTATGTATCATACTTCTCCGATTCTAATCTTTGTTATCTTGAAGCTAAGTGCGGGATAGTTAATAACGCAGTTGATCCATATTCTGCTTTATCTTTATGTGGAGACTATCTTGAACCATCTTTCCTTATTTCCTGTACCATCGCGGCTCGGCTGATGATGATGGCCAGTCATCCAGCATAGCTTCTTTGACAGCCATATCGTACTTGCCATGATCAACTTGAAATGCTGTGAATCGGCGATAGCAGATGAAAGCAATGTCTGGATAGAATGGGACAAATCTTCCCCCGCTAGGACAGCTATGGCAACGGGTTCTCCTAACATGATAGAGCGGCCGAACATTACCATAGGTCCATTCGGCATCGTCGTCGATATACATGTTCCCCTCCTCGTTAGCATGGATTCCCTCTACTTTGGTTTTTTCTTTGCATCGACAACACCACAAGTTGACCACTGTTGGGCGCGGAGGACCCTCACCCTTTTTGCGTAAGAGCACGATGCGGAGAAATGCAGTCTTGTCGCTTTTCAGCCCGTAGGCACCCTTTGAAACCTAGCACTACCTCCAAATCAGATGAAACTGGTTTCAGCTGTACATGTGGCGAGTATTTTGATCTCGCTTCTTTTCATTGCACTGCTGCGATTTGCAACGTCGTGTTGTTCTCTTCACATAACCCCCAGCTTGAGCGCAGGTAAATCGCGGGTTTTCGTCAATTGTCTTGAAAGCGCCACAAGGACAGACGGTCTCGACTATGCTACCGTCGACACAATTAAAAAGTAGATCGTTATTAGCACTAGTCTGCGAAACCAGATGGTGCTGTTGCTTCAACATTAAATGATGCAACATATCTCGTAGTTGACGGCCCTTTTCTCCGTGGACGTTCTGCTTTTTGACCCCCTCTACATCAACGCACCTCTTGAAAGCAAATTCGATATCCTTCGTACTTGAAACCGGCCGTCACAGAAAAGCACATCTTTTTGGCCTTTGAACCATTTTGAGACGGCAGGAGGACACTGGGAGGGATCATGTTAATCTTTGCAATCTGACTCGATCGCAAGAGTTGTAGACTCAACCGCGGCAGGAAGGATTTTTTTGGTGGCAATATTTACAGCAGGTGGCCTTGCCGTTCTTACGTCGTGTAAACAAGCCAGTTTGCGCATCCGCTGCCGATATGGGTGTCAAGGAGAACGCACTGTGTGAATGGCCCTTCGCTGGCTTCGCATTTAACATACGCGTTTTCTGCGACATCGCCACGGCTCTGTATGAGCGCCCCCTGCTTCCTCGAGAGCGATTTGAGCTCGATTTTGGGTTTGTGGCGTGGTCTCAGAAGTACAATCTTCTTGAATGGCATTTGTCGAACATACGTGAGGACAAGGTCGACAGATCGCTTAGTAGCAGCTTCAATTGGCTCCTGCAAATGCTGAGGATCCCGTGGGAGACTGATGAGGTCGAGCTGCAGGCCTCAGGGTAAAGCTCAGCTAGATTACTCATTAAAACGGCCACGACCACGTGAATTCCGAGTGAATGGGGGCTACATTTCTCATACCTTGTCTTGCCAAGCCTTTTTTCAGCCCTATCAGATTTCTATACCAGCCCTAAGGTACCTTACTTATCAAGTGGCGTTCGACATTTACCTAGACCGTTCAGTCTCGAGGGTTCTCTCTCAACTGTATATCATTTTGTCGGAGTAAGATATCGGCATGGGGTGCATATCGAATACTTTCATGTGCATCGAAGTCCCCAATCACGCGTCGTGTTCTTGAAAAGTCAAAAATGTCTACTTCGTTCTTTACATCCTCGATTATCTTCTCGTGCGCAATTCTTCTGCGAGCCATTCTCTTCTTCTATGGCCTGATACAGGATAAATACTCTCCACTCCCATACACCGACATCGACTACTTCGTATTCACAGACGCCGCTCGCTACGTCTCCCGCGGTCTCTCTCCATACGAGCGAGAAACATACCGCTATACGCCATTGCTAGCCTGGATCCTCCTACCCACCGCACGGCCTGGTGCAGCATGGTTCTCCTTTGGCAAGTTTCTCTTCGCCCTTGCAGACGTTATCGCAGGATGGCTCATCTTGCTCGTGCTCCGCTCGCCTGCAGGGGGCGGCATGAGGACCGATCGGGCGCTAAAGTTTGCGAGTATCTGGCTGCTGAATCCCATGGTTGCGACGATTAGCACCAGGGGAAGTTCGGAGGGGTTGTTGGGGGTTATGGTGGTTGCATTGCTGTGGGCTGTGCTAAGTAAACGAATCATGCTGGCTGGTGTCTTGCTTGGTCTGGCAGTCCACTTTAAGATCTATCCTTTCATCTACGGAGTTTCCATCCTTTGGTATCTGGAGCCTGAGGTAACATCGATATCTGAGAAAAGCTCCGGTCCCTCTGAGAAGAAGCCCCCAGCTGCCTCAGTCTTGCGATCCCTACCGGCATTCCTCACGCCATCTCGCATAATGCTCCTAGCATCTTCGCTTGCCACCTTCCTGGCGCTCAACATCTTCATGTACGCCATCTATTCGACGCCCTTCCTGACCCACACCTACCTGCACCATCTTACCCGCATCGACCATCGCCACAACTTCTCACCGTACAACACGCTCTTGCATCTTTCTTCAGCCGTCCCATCTGCGACTGGCGCTGTCAAATTCGAGTCTCTCGCCTTTATTCCACAACTGGCTTTGAGTGCAGTTTTCATCCCTCTCGCACTGGCAAAGAAGGACCTTGCGGGTACGATGCTGGCGCAGACATTTGCCTTTGTAGCATTTAACAAAGTGTGCACGAGCCAGGTACGTCAACAGAAGAATTCCTTTAACTATCCCATCGACTGGCGCCTGAGGCGTAAAATGTCTTGGCACGCAGGGCTGAAGCTCTGAACTTTACGTCCTGTCAGTCGATGGGATACGGCACTGCCTTGTCTTGATTTTCGCGCTCATGCCCTGTCCTTTGCTTGTTTTATTAAAAATGCAGATGCAGGCTTTTTCGCCAATATATTTCACATTAAGAAGATTTCTTTCACATACGGCCACAGACTGTTGAGAACTCGGCTTCCCGTCCGCTCAGCCAAAGATAAGCCTCAGATCGGCTAATTAGTAGTTGGGTCGGTGACGACCAGCGAATACTAGCTGCTGTATGTTTTTGCATTTTTTTTGGCGCTTTTGCCCCTCTCAGCTTTTGCGTGGTTGGCGACGAGATGAAATTTTCTACACAGTCTGCAGCCAGAACTCTTGCACGCTCGCTACATTCACATTGAATTTCTGCTTCGATCCATTCGTCCGCACCTCGCTAACACCCCCCTCTTCCCCTGCAGTATTTCCTCTGGTACATGATCCTTCTGCCCTTCTACCTCCCCCATTCCAGCCTTCTGTCCTCGCCCCGCCTCGGTCTCACCGCCGCAGCTCTCTGGGTCACCGCACAGGTATGTCGTCTTTCCGCATTCCCAACCCCCGTCCCACTCTCCTGTTCTCGACCCGTCAAAGTAGGGAGGGAGGGGTTTGCTTTGCAGCTGATTCTCAAAATTAGGGTCTGTGGCTCCAACAAGCCTATCAGCTCGAGTTCCTCGGCAAGAGCACATTCTTCCCTGGCCTCTTCGTGGCGGGATTATCGTTCTTTGTGGTCAATTGTTGGATTTTGGGTATCATGGTTACCGATATAGGAAATAAACCTTTTTCGAAACAGAAGGCTGAAGGAAAGATGGTAGAAGAGGATCGGGGAAAGCGCAGAGTGAAAAGGGTAGAATAGATAATCAACGTTCGTCTCGTATTGTCGAACGTTTAGCACTAATCACCTAACACTGATATTCATGCCACATGCGTGCAGCATACCCTCATTACCTCCATTAGATGCCGAAAGGTGACCAGCAATGTAGCGCGTCATAGCATTATCCCCAAAACACCTGGGTATCTCCCACTCCCCTTTTAGTTCATGTAACGTTATTAGAAACTTCCCGCCTGCGCCATAGCCTTGTAATATTGGACCCCAATACTTCTCCTCAACCCTGTGGCATCCCTCTCCAGTACCTCTTCCCCTCCATCTATCAATCTTCCCGGCCATCCCAGAAACCTCACCTCTGGCCGCGCTTCTCTTAACAGCGAGAGGATCTCCTCGCTCCATAGACCCCACGCTCGATTGCCCTCGAGATGAAATGTGGGATTCAGTTGAGGTGCTGGACTATCCAGATCGATGAAGCGTATACGCATGCTTTTGACGGATGTGTACGTTTGCAGCGCGCGGACACCTTGCACGACGAGTGCCTCGAAACCTTGTATGAATGCAAAGTTGTACATCCCAGTCCCGTCAGTGTTAGTCGTTGGGTCACGACACACATTGTTGACAACTATATCGATAGATTTGAGACGTGTGCAGCTGCCGCGTATCTGCTCTGCCGCTTTGATTGCAGAAGAAAAGATGGCACCGCATACCCTCCCTGTATAGGTGAGGCTCTCGAGCTGGGGTGCGACCGCACCAAGGTTGCGGCAGATGTGATGAGTAGGGTAGAGCTTTCGCCATTTCTTAAGGGACGACGCGTTCTTGGTGTAAAGGCCTTCCAGGCAGAGATTGAGACTAGTGACGGTGGGCGGGAAGTCGTAGGCGAGAGAGTCACAGATGGCTCTGTAGGCGCCTGTTTTGGGTTTGTGGTAAGTGCAGTGGAACTCGCGGAGCGAAGGCAGAGCAGTTGCAAAGGTGGAAAAGTCGGCGGAAGAGCGGACCATGTTCCAAGCACCCTTGAGGATGAGAGTCTTAGTGCTTGAGAGCTGCGGCAGCTGAGGTTCATTGATTTCTTGCAAAAACGGTGGAGCGAACGGTTGGGGTTGATGAAGTATGGGCAATTTGAACTGAAGATTTTCTTGCACGAATGTTGGCGTTGATGGTGTGACAATTCTTGAGTCAATCGTACCAACGCCCGAAGGCATGGCAACTCCCGATTTCAGGTTTTGAAGCGCGCTGATAACGTTTGCTTCGCGGAAATAGCGCACCTTTGGAGGCCGCTTGCAGTGTCCTCCTTCGATTGTGAGAGCGCAGAGGTAGGGGAAGAGAACTTGTGCATATCCAAAGACTTCATCCATTGTAGCGTTCTTTGATGCCAATTGAAATGCGGTTGGAGCCGGTTGGCCATCTTCCGTCCGATTTGCGTTGATTGCGAGCCCTTGAAAGGCGTGGAACAGACTGAATTGCCCGGCCGGTTGTGGATCCACCATGAGGCGTTGTTGAGGCTGTCCAGTTCTCATCTCCCATATTGGAACTAGGATTTCGAAGTGGCGCACGTAGGCTTGGAGGTGAGTATTTTGCAGGAACCAGTCTCCACACTCTTCAAGAGCTGCCCTTGTGCCCTGTATTTTGACTATGCTGGCGTTAGTGATTTCCCACTTGGACGGGGAGGATGAAACTGTCTCACTGTGTCGGTAGACTCTCTCTTGAATGAGTCTCCTCCATGTATCGGATACCAGAGCCAAATCTGCCACGTTCTTCCTCCGGGGATGCCGCATTATTGCGTTCCAATTTCGCACGTTGTTTTGAGAACCGGACGGATCTGATGATGTAGAACCAAGATGACCGACCACGTGTCCAAATATTCCTTCCAATATCTCCGGCGGTAAGTCTTGTACATGCGACTTCGGGGATTCTGAGGCTTTGCGCGGCTTCAACGCTGGTATCAGGAAAGGGTCATCCGCAGTATCGATGCTTTGATCCCCAGCTTGCGAAAGGCTCTGAACTGATATGTCGTCTTCCGTTTGGTTCTTGAACCTGGGTTTTGAAGGTGGAGGAGGCTTGACCGTCAGAGCGCGCGGGGTAGATCTGCACTGAGACCTATCAATGAGGGGTGTGGTGGGTATGTTGAGTGGGCGTTCGTTGAGCATGATTGCGAATAGAGAGCATGAGAGGAAGCAGAATGTTTTTGTGATGGCCTGAGATGGTAGAAAATGAGTGCCGGGCTATTGAAGGCACATCTTACGTAAATCCGTAATAGACATGACGTGTTGGCGGCTAGCAATGGGATGAGGATGAGAATGAGGATGGATGTCTGGCAGAATTATATGGAAAGATAATGCTCATAGACTCTGTCAACGACTGGGTCAGTTCAGAGCACTGAGTCGAATTTTCTAAGAAGCCGTTGAAGGAAAGTCTCATGAAGTGCATGAAGCCGTGTGTAACATTTCCCTAAAGGTCAATCTGTCGTTACTTTAAATTTTGGGGGGGGAGCCTTGTAGCCTTGCATTAGCTCCGGGTAGTGTGCTAGCCGCCGCGGGTGTACGTACCGAGGGAGCGGCCACATCCGAGGGGCTCCTTTTCTTACTTTATTCATATTGTACAGACTACAGAGAGTAAGCACTACCTTCCTACGCAATGGCTGTTGACATGATATGGCTGCTGGGCCTCTTTAATCAACGATACGACCTGCCCTCTTCCAAGGGTACGACACCGATGGCGATAAATGAACCCCTGCGGATTATGCACACGTGCATAATAGCGTCTCGTTCGCATAAAATTGATTGGCTATATGTGGCTGGATCCTTGCTTTCAACTACCTTGCCTTGTGCGAGAGATGTGACGTCGACAGTATCTGCGAGCTAGCCAGCAGGTAATCTCATTTGCACTTTCCAAAACCTCAAGGCACCATCCCCCACGAGCAGTTACTGGGCCTGACACGCAAGGCTTTCCTTCACCCCAGCCCCCCCATACCACACAATGAACCGTCATCTCCTGCATTCGTTGGACTTGAAGTCTATCTTTCCTCTCTATAGCATCCATCCGATTCCGCCGACCCATTTCTTCCGCGTCGATGTTCTACATTGCAGACATTCTCTGCCCTCGCCAACATCCACAACGGCGCAAGTCCCACACACTCTTCTGCTGCAAGAGCGACACGCATAGTCTGCTCCGTCCATCTCCCCAGCATCCATTCCGCCCATGCAAGTGTCCGAGTCCTGAATCGGTAGCGGAGCTTCGCAATCTTCGCATAGAATCAAGGGAGTGGGTTCGGTCATCATCGGCTCAGAGACGGTAGGGGTTGAAAAAGGTATGGGCCAAAAGCTGTGAAGAGACGATTGTCGTTGTGGTGGCGATGGGGGAGTGTGGACAGTTTGAGATGGCGCAGGATGTTCAGTGCGGGGAGGGGATCGCGCTGCTGAGAAAAGCCTTTGATATGTTGTTGCTAACAGAAAGCCGTGTCAGGGCAAGAGGATGGAACGGAAGCAGAAGGGTCTCAAATCCAATGCAAGAGATAAGTACCATGGATTTTAGACTCATCGGGTCTGTTATCGCGGAACCTTTTCCTTGTGCGCGAATTGAGGTGAGAAGGAGCGATATCAGGACGGTGAATAGGTTTCTCCGTGAAAGCGGCGTTATTCAGCATAAAGATGTCGGGACATGGGCTCGAAGAAGGGTCGCGTGAGGAAAAAGTGGCGGTGCTTGACGAGGATGGAGGTGTCTCAGAGTCGGAGCGCTTGCGCTTGAAAGCCATACTGTATATAAAGACAAATGTCGATACGGGAAACTTCTTTACTGATATAGAGAACTCTTGTATATTCGAAGGACAGAAAATTGATGACGGGCACATTTTCACTTTCGGAGAACGCGAAAGCACGCCAAGCCAGCCCACGCGCCTAAAATAAGGTATGACCAACAAATGGTTGGCGCTTTGCTTGAAAGGGTAATCCCTGGCGAGCTTCAATCCCCGAGGAAATAGATACGAAGACCAACGGTTATCCAGCCCCGAGCGTCTGCTACAAGACACAATAACCTACATCTACAAATGAATGTTGGAAGAAAAGGCAGGTATCGTGCGTAGGCATAGGCGCTCCTAACAACTGCCTTTGCGCTCACTCGGCTACTCAATCATCTCACTCATCACGTATGATCAGCTATTTTGAAGTCGAGAATGCAGTCACTATCCATACGGGAAGCCAGTCACGCTGGATCATGGTATACTGACCACGGCCCAACACTAACGAGCCAACTCCAAGGCTGGCTAGAAGATGCTGAACGGGACATGGCTCACCTGGGAGAAGTCCCGAGACCAGGTGCGAGAATAATCATTGCTCCGTAAGTCGGGGACGGTCATACTGTTGTGTCTGAAAGTTTCTGACTGTCTTCAGGCATGCTGGATATGCATACTCGGGCCCTGCAGCAGCGTGGGCTTATAGGATGCTTGATGTGTCAAAAGCGTACAGCATGCCAGGCTCTCCGCGATGCATGTCCGTGTACTAATGTACTGCAGTAAGCGTATATTCCTTCTGGGACCCTCTCATCATCTCTATCTCCCCGGTTGTGCTCTATCGAAACACACCCACTATGCCACCCCCAATGGTAATCTTCCACTGGACCAGAACACTGTTGAGACGTTGCGCCGTACGGAACAATTCAAGAACCTGTCCGCCTCATCTGATTCTTCGGAGCATAGTCTTGAAATGCACTTACCTTATATTCATCACCTCTTGAGTATGTCCTTCAAGGGACAAGATTTCCCGCCTCTGGTTCCTATCCTGGTTGGCAGTACGAACCCCACAATAGAAAAAGAATTTGGTGCATTACTAGCACCTTTCGTGGCAGATCCAGCCAATGTTTTCATAATTAGTAGTGACTTTTGTCACTGGGGCTCCCGCTTTAGCTACACATATTACTTACCTGCCAGCACCACGGATCCATCGGAAGGGGTGTCTCTGAGATCAAAAGACCAACCAAGAGATCCACCTATCCATGAGAGTATTGCCAGACTCGACAAACTGGCTATGACAGCGATCGAGCATGGTCAGCATGCCGATTTTCTTGCCACTTTGCGGGATACGGGAAATACAGTCTGCGGGAGGCATCCAATTGGAGTGATCATGGCCGCGATCGAGACTCTGAAAAGTCAAAGAACATCGGGTGATAGTTCAGATCAAGGCAAATTTCATTTCATCAGATATGAGCGGAGTGGCGATGTTGTCGAGGGAAAAGACAGCAGCGTCAGCTACGCCAGCGCTTTCGCAGTGCTATGAGATGAGAACTCGATAAGCTCGGCACTGCATTTCCCCTGAATTCAAAGCTCACTGCTGTAAGACGTTCTCTGTTTGTGCGCAAGGTATGTCGGAAGTCGCAGGAGTTTGCTTTGCGCGTGTCGCGTCAAGCATCCAAAAGCCACCTACACACAGCTTCCACTCACGATTGGCTATGTTCTTTTTCCCGCGCTTACAAGAACCCCAGCCGAAACTATGTAGCCAGCTCTGTTAGCCTTTAGGGTTTGAGTTGCGATATTCGAGCCACACATGCAGGTTCGCGTCCTACTCACATAATCTTACCTTCGAGAAGTGTCTCATCCCACTTCAGTCACCAATCTCACATATTTTGGATGTCTTCCTGCGCAGTCAATGCAGAAACCATTGACTTTACTCGTTGTTATCTTAGCGGAGACTCGGGTAGAAAGTGATATTTGGTTTCATTCAGACTTCGCTCTAGTGGACAAGCGGACCTGTTTCCCATTGAGCCCGTGGAGTACATGACAACAAACACGCTGAGGCGCAGCTTTCATGTTGAGAATCAGAAGGTACTTCCCGCGGTCTCGTGCGTGACAGCCTTAAAGGCGCTCGCGCACACGCTACATGCAAGCATCTTCTGAATTTTCAAGCCCCAATACATTGGCTCGCTATAGCTATAAATTCCCTAGCCCTTCCACTTACTTCTTATCCACGCCCACTTTCTCTACCAGCTCTTTGTGCGTGCTTTTTTTCGAGTTTGCTTCTCTCCTGGCTTTTCGTACCTGCATTACCCTGCAAAACTCTCTCTTACCATCCACAGTGATGTCTTCAACGCTCTTTTTCCTCCTCGCCCTCACCGCTCTCATCCCGCAAGCCTTCCCTATCAGCATACCCGCAAATCCTGCGGTGGGCTTGACAAACATCATCAGCGTCGACACCCCTGGTGACAACCCTCTGCCACCCTCACCACCAGGCTGGTACAACATCCCCGGAACATCCCTCTGTACGTATCCCTTGCGCGCCGCTTAACTCCCCCCCAACCCCTCAACCGTGACCCACACCGGCTCAGCTCCACATCTCTTCCTGCAATCCGCACCGCTGACCCCAAACCCCCTCCCCCCAGCCATCATTCTCACCGGCCCCTTCGGCACCTTCATCCGCTCCCCCGCCGACGCCGCCGACTGCCTCGCCGCCGCCCAAACCGCCCTCGCCGCCACCATCGCCGCCGTCGGCGACATCCCCATCCCCCACCCCGACTGGCACTTCTCGAGCCACAACGTCCAGCTCATCGCCTCCGCCCCCTTCCCCACCCTCGGCACCTACGGCCAACTCTCCTCCGCCCTGCGGGGCCTGCTCTACCTGATCACGCGGGCCGGGGGCCCGGGCGCGAGGCAGCTCGGTTGGGTCCTGAGCGACGGCGCGCAGGGGCTCGGCATCGTGATGAGGGGGTCGATGGCGCCGCGGACGATTACGATTGTTGGGGCGGCGCCGGCGGGTCCGACGGCGGGGGGCGCGATGGGTGGGGGCACCGGGGCGAGTGTGGCCGCGATGGCGACGGCGACGGCGACGCAGAGTGTGAGTATTGTGGGGGTTAAGGAGCTGGATGGTCGTTGAGCGGGTGGATGGGAAGGGTGGATTTGTTTTTGGGTTTTATAGATGGTGGGTAGAGGGTTAAGCAATGTGGGTAGCTAGATGCGGATATATATGTCTTAGGTACACCTCAATTGACTTGAATACGCGCCACTGAGATCGTTTCGTCAAGAATTACGGAAGATTTTATAAAAAAAGATTATCTGAATGATGAATCAAGATACTCCTAGCAAAAACATACAAACCCTATCTGACCCTGCGATCACATCCACCCATCCACGACGTCTTCCTTCCTTCCAACCTCAATGAACTGCCTCCCCAATCACCGCCCCTCCTCTCTACCATGAGAATCATTCCCCGCATCAGGAATCTCAAGCGACAAATCCCGCGGACCTTGCCGTCCCTCCGCCATCGGATACGGCGACCTGGCACGTTTTCGCTGCGGCGACCTCACAGGACGTTGAACCCTTCTCCGCATCCCGGCCCGCGTCTCGGCCACGACCCGGCCGTCGAAAGATACCACGTCGGCGTTTTCGTCCCGTGGAGCGGCACTCGCACTGTTTTCCGCTTCGCGAGACATCCAGATTAGTCCGGTTTCCTGTTTCCCCCAGTCCAGAGGCGGGGTGGCGGGGCGAGTGTGCACGGCTGGAGCGGACATGGGAGAAGGGTTGGGTTTCGATTTGGAAGACGCGCGTGTGCTGGCCGCGGGGCGGTCTCCGTGTTCTGGATCATGAGCTGTGTGGTGTGGTTCTAGGGCGCTGGTGTTCTTTTCGTCGTCGCCGAGGTAGGGGTCTATGCGGAGCGAGATGATGTTGGTGCCGTATGGTGGTGACGTCCTCGATATGTGTGCATGAGGGCTTTGTGGGGCGGACATTGCTGGGCTGCGGGTTTTGCGTTCGCGCTGTTTCCGTTCGACATCAGTCTTTTCGGTATCGGCATCGTCGGCATCCGCAGTGGGGCTGGTAGGCGTTATGGGCACCCGGACTGGAGACCGTTTGGCGGTTGGAATCGACTCGGCGCGGGCAGAGGAGCAGGAATCGCATGGCGAGGGCGGGGCACCGATATCGAGGGGTTCGATATCGGTTCTGCCATTCTGGTCTTGAGGACTCAGACGGGGTGTTGCGTAGTAGAGACCATATGGATCGTCGTCCTTGTTGTCTTCGACGCATCTATGCCAGTCGATGGTATATGACGCGCTGGTACCCTTCGCGTTAGTATCCTTCTGCTTTCGGTCCCCAACAGGCTCACGAAGCCGGACGCCTTGGAGACCATATCGATCATCGTCATCGTCGACATATTCGAGCTCGTCAATTCCAGATGAAGCATTCGAAGAGGAAGAGGAGGAGGGCGTCATGGTGATTGCGTCGCCATCGCTATCGAGGGTGGGGTTGTGCTGATCTGAGGGTCCGCCGGCTTCGCTATTGTTCCAGCCGCCACCTATGGGCCAAGATGAACTTTTGACGCTCCATTTTCTGCTAGCTTTCAGCAATGCAAAGTAAGGATCTTGGCCTCAACCTACTGGATGGGAGAAATTGCAGTCCGATTGATGATTTCACCCACAGGACTGTCAATTGCGAGCCAGGCAGTCTCCTCAATTAGGTGTTCTGGTCCGTTGATACGGGTCTCTGTGGGAGCAACGTCTTCGTTCGAACCTTGACCGCTCCTGTGCGAACCTTCATTCTGTGGAAGCGAACTTGTGCTGCACACGTTGCCGACGGCGGAATGGGTTTCCGCCCCGGCATCAATTGGATCTGTGGAAGAAGAATTGTGCTGGGCCTCCAGATCTTCAACTGCTTGAAATCTCCTTGTATTGAACCTCGCAATCATGAAAAGATCATTGAACACTTGACGATTCCGGAAGATTTCGAAACCTGTAATCGCCCATGCGTAGAATCCACAGAAGAGCAGGAAGAAGAGGTAAAGGTGCAGTAACGCATACACTGGTCTGTTGACTGGTTGTTTCTCGAGGAAGGTCCCCATCAAGTCCCAGAGCGAAAATAAGTGGTGGTAGTAGAGAGCAGCGGCAGCCACCCACGCTATAGGGATCAGAAAGGCGGACCATAGCAGCAGCGCACGCCCTTCTGGTGGTTGACAGGCTCGGCACGAGTCCTTTACTTTTTCGAACAGAGGCTGGAGGCCGCAGACGAGCCAGACCAAGACGGTGACTGTACTGGCTAAGCCGATGAGATCCCGCACAGCATCGAGAAGACTATATGGAACCATGATGAGCGCAATGAGTATGGGATATCGCTTGTGTGATTATATTTAATGAGAAGACGATTTAGGTAGGAGGTGCGCAAGTGACGTGTTAAAACTTTGCTTAAACGGTGATAGAACCTCCCTTGCGGCGATAAATGTCGAAAAAGAGTAAACTTTTACGAAAGAATGTCTTTTGAGATGCCCCCAGATACTCCGACAAACTCCAAGCAAAGACCGAGGCAAAATGATCATGGTTATCAGGTTGTCGCATTGAAGAGGAGTGAGCAAGTTTTGCAGGGAAAAGAATGATGGCGAAATTAGCTCGCAAAAAGAGCAAGTCTGAGGTAGGACAACTCCACAAAAGCCAAAAGTGGATGGTCACCTACGGTTGAGCTGACTCGCGAGAAAGCAAAGTCTCGGATGGTACATCTTTGTGGAGAGATGAGTGTGAGAAATGAGCGAGAATTTGAGAGCGGTATCTGTAGCAACTTTGCATGCCAAAAACTTGCGGAGAGTTGATTTATTTCAGAACTTGGCTATCAGAAGTAGCAGCACTTGATGGAATTTGAGAGAGCAAACTGAGCGCTCTGGGTTCGGTTTCGTCCTGTTTTTGACACACAATGATGTCACAAAGCATCATTTTTGCAGCTCTCCCTTTCACAGTTTGCAAGATGTAGCCTGAAAGGTAAGCCTTGTGGGTCGCATGGTATTGGCATTCCTGCTGTCGTGTCCATCACAATTTCCTCGAGCCACACATTTGTCGGCTCAGCAAAACCACGGATACCGCTATTGAGAGCCAAAGGCTCTTGAAGCCTTGCTGCTCATATACGTAGTACTGAATCCATGGTTTGGGTATGCTTTGAAGATCTTAAACATACGTGAACACCTGCCACTTATGCGAGCTGATCGTTAACAATTCTTTTCTACCAATTTCTGAGGTAGGCAAGCCTAAGCTGCCAGCGGCATGATGGAATTTGGTGGTGAATATACTGATCGGATTACCTGTGGATCTAAACGTGGAATTATTTCTGGCTTTTGCAGTCCATCGGCGTCTTGGGTACGCGGTAGCCTAGTTGCAAGAAAAACTGTTTCTGCTGGACTCATTTTGTCGAAGACACTGTCCATGTACCTTCTCACTTCGTCTGGAGGAGCAACAATTTTAGCTAGCGGTTCCAAAATTCGTGGGTGAGACGTTGACAAGCGCATGGTGACCGGTTGGTAGTAATTTTTGGTGTCCTTGTACTTCCCTGACTTCGCTGTACTACCTCGCCTGATTACCAAGAATGACACAATAACCTGGGTTCCTCCGTAAAGATACTCGAGGATGCTGAATCTTGGGAACGAGAAACGGTCACCCGTACCCCCAAAGTCGAAGACGATAGAGTTGATCTCAGGCTTGTGCACAGTGTACGCTGACTTTGAGCTTGCTGACGGAGCAGTAAATGGTTGGGTCTTAGAAGAGGGTTCAGTCTTGATGGATGGGACTTGGGCATAAGGATTTGAGTAGGGCGCTACCGAGGGGACCTGTGTCCAAGAACTATCTGGCGTTGAAGTAGGAACACTGACCCGAGATACGTATTCTTGCACGCCACGTGGAGGTGGGTGAGGTCGGTTGTCGTCCTGCAAAGGCTCACTCGGATTTGGCTGGGTTTTCAAGATAGTGTTGAGCTCGTCGATATGATCTTGAAAATCTTTAAGCTGAGTCGGAGACGCTTGACCGGAGGCTACCACTTTCATGAGAGTTTTGAGTCCGTGATCAGAGGCCGCCCGAGTCGCTAACATCTGAATGACTGGATCTTGTTTGGGCTCACCATTCTGATCCTGAGACCCGCCCTGCTGACTAGTACTCCTTGCCTTCGATAGGTTTGGTGGTTCGGGAGCAGTAACGGGCGCTGGAGCTGGTAATGGTGCATGAACTATTGGGGGAGGTCCTTGAGGGCCGAATTGAGCAAAGCCTTCATGGAATGGAGGAAGGGTAGTTTGTGAGGAAAGACCTTGTTGTTGGCCATGGTATTTCGGAGGTGCAGGGGCTGTGTTGTAGTTGTACGGAGGATATGTCGCAGCAGTCGCGAACGGATTGTATTGTGGGCTCGATAGTGGAGGAGGTTGTATAGGCGTATAGGCCACGGGATTGTCCTTCACAGTGTAGAGTGTAATCTCGAAAACGTGGGGCTCGACGATCAGTGAGCAGACGCCGAGCTTTGACATTGTCTCTTTTGGCGGGTTGGGAGCCTCGAACATGGGTTTTTTCTTAGTAGGCTTCTCCCAGTAGCGGTCGAAGACTCCTTCCTTAAACCATTTCTGCCTTGATAGTTCTATAGAGGCTGCCAACACACCGCTGATCTTGGTCAGCGTCAAAGACCAAGGAGCACAGGAAGTGCTGACCTCTCGGAGATGGTCTGGTATTCTTGGATTGACAGATTCGCATCTTGTGGCTCAGGAAGAGTTGGCAGCAGGTGTGAATCTTTCAGTCTAAAGGGCAGTCCCTCTTCCTTAGGATCGTTTGGTTGCGGTGGAGCGGAGGGTGCAGGAGGTGCTCGGGGTGGTGCTGGGGGGGTCAAGGCCCGTTTCTTCATTGGAGGCTCACCACGATTTCTCGTAGACAGCCTTCTTTTGTCCATGGTATCGAAGGTCCCGGGGAAGAATGTTCTGGACAGACCTACGAATTCGAGGATATTGAAATCGTGAGCACGAAGGACGGCGTTCCTTGGCGGCTTGGCAAGACCCCCCACTCACTTGTAACTCGCCGAGCTCGCGTGGCCGCTTTACTCTAGCGTGGGAGCTAGCCTAGCAGGGTTCTCGAATCTCGGCTAATCAGAGGGGCTTAATTCGAAACAAACAGAGAAAGTTCTACATTTTCTACTCTACTCGTAAAGGTAGTTTAGTGACACTTTAACACTACATACTGTCGAGACAGCGAATGCGACCACGGCTGATGGGTTGCATGGGAGATCTGTGGGGAAGCACATTAAATTGTACCTAGACGATAGTAGGATGTGAGTCGGGGTTTGAGAAGCAAGTACTCCAGTCTGCCTGTCCTCCTCTTTCCTTCGTGCTTTCATTCACCTTGAAACGACCAGAAGAGACACAACAATGCACAGTCTATGCATACGAAAGCCCTGACCTCGCTTTGTGTTTGTTCGATTTGTACGCTATCGATGCCAATCCATGGTCCATTTTTTACCCTCACTGCCCGAGCAGCTCCAGAAATCAGACTTGCTCAATCGGCAATGCCATGGATGCTGGGCCCTTCCCGACATCAAATTTGGCGTCAAGATTGAGAAGCTGTCTTTCTACTAGGACGAGTTCATGATTCTGCCCAATCTGGAAGCCTCGTAGCTCACTGATCATCTCAAGTTTTGTGCAAAGGTTGGAAATTGGCATGATGGATTTGACGGAATTGACAAAAATGAGGCCTAGGATAATTGAAAATGGGAAAAGGTGGGGAAAGCCGCCGGTCTCCCTTTGAATTTCATGAGTCGTTTGTTCCACTGTCATGGTGATAACATCATATGCAAGCATGAAAAGGCCTTAGTCTCTCAGTCTGTTGTCACACTATTCCAGCTAATTTTATGGCCGCAGTTTCTCAATTTTCCTAGAGCGTCAGTCTTTCGGACCTCGCTTTAGCACAAGCCATTACTGCATGGACACAATCTAGAACGATCTTAGTAACGCACCGTTTATGCGCCAGATACAGTTCGCCATACAATGTCTGCTTTTGGATTTGTATAGATGGAAATAATTCTCGCGCCCATCCGCTTCTTCCTGGTCTTCCGGTTGTGCGGTCTCAGGAGGCAAGATAATCTGTTCGAGCTCATCCATTTTGACTACAAATCGGCAGAGTAGTATTGGTTAGTACGGTGGATGTCAATCGGTATTTTCGGGCAATCTTGGTGGTATGGATCTCCAATCTGACACGTCTAGTGATGGGAAAGATGGTCTAGATCTTCTAAGACCATAGGCTGGGGTATGTGCGAGGGAGTAGTGAAGATCCAACACAGACGTGGATGTTCGGTCCTATCGAGCAATATATGTTGCTCTCTGCACTCCTTGGGCTTTTCGTTCTTCTAAGACCTCATTTCTCCCCTTCTTTGATATCTATCTTGAGCTCAGTCAGAATTTTAAGCGCTCGGTTATCAGCGATGTCCCAATCTCAAAAGCTCGTAATGCTTGTCCTCGCATTTATTGACTTACTATCTCTCGCCGCAGCTCAGGGTAACATTACCGCGCAAGCTGTTTTCGATTTGCCTGTGCCAGTTTGTGCATACACAAGATAAGCTGCGAGACATATGACTCGAGACGAATCTCTCTACTCCTCGTCTCTCTTACAACTCCGATTCCATTTTCAAGTATGAGAAATGGTGACCCGAAATCTTGTTAAGTGGTCTAGCCCCGTGTGCAATGAGTCTCCGCCCAGTGCCTACCCACCCAAGAAAAACTCGGCCCAATGACAAATACATCACAGGTATGATTTTCTGAATAACGCAACCGCATATTCCGGCTGTTCAGAAGCCGATACAGACTCAGCCATCGCATGCACATGTTTCAGTCCCAAATTCCAGCAGGTCATCGGCCCCTGCATCATGCATAAATGCAATGAAGCGGACTCCGAACGTATGTCTCCATCCTCGCGCCAAATCCTGACCGATGTTCTCCCAATCATCGCTTCCCTTCCTCTACCTACATCAAACAACAGCTACAGCCACTGTGGCTAATCAACCCATACAGAAAGACGCAACCCAGCTCTGCGCTGCCGTCGGCGGCACCCCAGTCGATAACGCCGCAGCCATCAGCTCCTTCTTCAACGAAGCTGGCGCGGCTGCGCTCCACACTTCATTTGAAGCGGATGGTTTGGCTTCTTCGCGCCTTGCTATCGCTTCGAGTCAGGATATAGCCAATAGTTTGCAGATAGAAGATGGAGGTGCCGCCCCGGCTACGACGACGGGAAATACGGTGAGTGCGACTGTTACGCCAACAGGTACGAGTATGGCAGGGACTGGGAACTTTGGGGGTCCGTCGTCGGCTAGGACTGGGACAGCGGCTATCGCTGCGTTTACTGGGGGTGTTGGTGGTAGAGGAGGCGTGCCTGTGGCTGCTTTGGGGCTATTGGTGTGGTTGTGGCTGGGGGCGTGTTGCTGTGAATCTTCTTTTATTAAGCCTCAAGCTTCAGTACCGAGTCTTGCCAGGATTGCCCATCGCTCCCAACTCGCACTGTTGACCGTTAGGAAAGAAGCGAAATCCATGACCAGAGTATACAGCAGAACTCCCGCCGATGCTTTGTTCTACTATTTGTTCAATATTAAAACGCGTAATCCATTCATCAATCCAATCAATCCAAAATAGAGATCTCTTAGTCTCACTCCATTTAGCTCGTAATAGAGAGACAAGAAGCATCAGTAAGTTCATTAATAAAAACCTCTTAAATCCAACAATCAGCATCAGCAGAGTAAGTGACCGCCACCTTATATGCAATACGCAAATTACGAGCCCGGTCCATCCAGAGTCTGATGCTTCAACAGTGACATCGTGGCAGAGAACGTCTGGCTTGACGCCAGCAGGACATTTGCCGTTTTTGGTACTTTATCATCAAAGAGGCAACGTTGCAGCCTGACAAGATTGTACACTGATTAACAGGAGTAGACAATAGGGCCAGTCAAGCCAATCACGTAGCTGACAGCGTTAGATAGTAGCTCATACCTGTCGTGAGGCCTAATCCTTCAGCGCTCATATAAGTCAGATATGTGGTGCGCGAACGTAGAGCGGCATTCACTCTAGGCCAGATATAGGTTGAGGCCGGGGCACGTTCTGATAGCTTGGCACTGGAGTCACTCATCTCCTCGCTCCCACGTCCGCGACTGGCTCTTTGGAGAGTACGAATCGGATTGAAGAATATAAGTTCACAATTAGGAGAATTAATTTTAGCAGCGTCTTTAGCTCACTTGGGAGAGGTAAGTTCGCATCAAGTTAACAATTTACCTATTTGTTCTAACATTGAACCAGCGCCAGACTGAAGCAAACTTCATTCGTGGAATCTGGAGGTAGCCCGTTCGATCCGGGCAAGACGCAAATTTTTTTTGATTTTCTTTCCCTTTCTCCTCCATTCTTTTTCCTTTTATCTTTTTAAATCGAGTGAGGTCTTGATTTGCATTAATTCGCATGCCGCTCTATATACTCGTGTGGCCGAGAAGTCTATCATCTTGGCAGTCTAGCTTAGATAGGTTAGCACTGTAGATCATAGGCATAATTCAGTCTCAAACTGCGGAGAAACGAGGTAGTCTGATTGCCCGCGCCGGAGGAATTGCCGGAACATTATATTGCCGAGTGGCAGCGATCACCCTTGTTGCGCGACATAGCGGTTACCCTAGACTTAATAGGGGGTAATTACGGGGTACATTTCTGTCGTCTTGGCGTACAAATAAATATGATTTGACAACAATAAGTCAACCAAATCGAACTCACTGTTACTGCTTTCCGAATTGTGTGCCGTCTCTTCTTTTTGGAGGACGTAATCACAGTAGATGTGGCTGTCAAGCTTTGAGCTCTTTCATTGAAAATCCAGATCTGTCAGTGCTTATTGTCTCCTACATACTGTATAATGGCTATTGCGCCTATCTTCAAGAAGGCATACTGGTCACTTGCCATTGCGGGTGGTCTGTACTTTGCATTTATCTCTCTCCTACTCAACGGGTGGATCCAAAGACAGTGAGCTCGCCCTATACCCTCTCAAACCTTTCAGAAGTCAGGATTGATGTATTAGCAGGGCTTTCTATGCGCATAAAATACATACAACATGGTTGCATGACCCAAACAGGCCTGAACAGTTTGGATTCCTTAGTACTGCTTCTATCTTGGCTTTTGGAAACCTAAGCTGATCAGGCATAGAAAATCAGGTGCAACAATTCGATATCAGCACTCCAGATGGAGAGGTACTTTGGGGATGGCATGTCCTCCCTCTTACGTTATACGCCGAAAACGAGAGAGCTGTGACTGGGCAGACTAATGGAGCTGAGGACTATGAGAACTCATGGGCTTTCAAGCTTCTGGCTGAGGATCCTGAGAGCCGCCTAATCATATACTGTAAGTAATATTGGGCCTTGGAATGGTATAGGGTCGTCCTTCTTACGAGACACAGTCCATGGCAATGCAGGCACGGTAGCTCAAGGATGGCGTACCGATACGTACCGTGCAATCACTGCCGGCGCCTCTAACAAGATTCATATACTGACTGTAGATTATCGCGGGTACGGAAAATCTACAGGTAGTCCGACCGAGGCCGGTCTTATTACAGACGGTATCACTTTGATAAAATATGCGATGGAAGTGGCCCGTATTCCTCCGGAGAGGATTGTCATCGTCGGCCAAAGCCTCGGTTCTGCCGTCGCAACGGCTGCAGCAGAGCATTTTGTTCTTGAAGATGCCGTGGAATTCAGATGTTTAGTACTTTGTGCAGCTTTCTCTGACGTCCCGACGCTTATGTCGACGTACACTATTGGTGGCCTAGTCCCGATTCTCTCGCCTTTAAGACCATATCCTTTCCTCAGCCAATTCTTTGCCAACCGTATCCAAGAGACATGGTTCACATTCGCGAGGCTGGCCAATCTGGTCCGCAGAAGTAAAAACGTCAACGTACATTTGATCCACGCCACAAATGACTATGATATACCATGGTCTCACTCGAATACATTATTCCATGCAGCTGCAAATGCCACTAGTGCGGAAGGCCTCACATTCAAGCAGATAGATGCTGTCAAAACAAAAGTCGACTTCGGCGAGTCGGGATGGACTAACTTCTGGAAAACAGTGCAAGCAGACGGTGGAAGGAAGATTATTAGGCAGGATGTTGTCAAGCACGGAGGTGAGTCTTAGTCTACAAAAGCTGATCAATGATAGCTTACCATAATTGAAGGTCACAACCGTGTGGTTACTTATCCTGTGGTAGCTAAAGCAGTGTTCAATGCGTTCTATATGGAGAGTTAGGATCGGTAGAATCGTATGGCTGTTGCCCACGGCGATGCCGAGCATTTGGACACAAAACCCCAGTTTGAGCACCAAATTTTTCCCTCACAATATCCATAACTGTGCACAAATATCGAGAACACACCATTGCAATACCGCTGCTTTAGCATGCAATATCACAGAAATGGACAACGTGAGGGCTACTTCCCGTCTGAAAGCCCTGCAATTGCTAAGATCACGTGCTAGTCAAACATCAAGTCTGAGCCTGTCAATAAGAAACCAACCATCAAAGACGAACCCAGAAGCCAATCTCCGCCCATGAAAACAATCAAGAATGCGCCTCGCTTCCCTTCTCCTCCGCCACCACCATCTCTGCCTCCGCCAAATCCTAGGGCTCTCCCTCCTCGCACTACACGTGCACACTTCATTACTCCTGACCAGCGCGCCATCTTTGGGCCGGCAGTTGAACCATTTGAGAGGACAGACAGGGTGGGGGCTCTCCCCCTCGCACTACACGTGCGGACTTCATTACTCCTGACCAGCGCGCCATCTTTGGGCCGGCAGTTGAACCATTTGAGAAGACGGACAGGGTGGGCCTAGATGGACCTTGAACTGTAGTAGGCTGCTGCCGGTGTTTTGAGGTGCTGCGTGGTTTGCTAGATACCGCAGAATAGCAATGCAACGGGCCAAAGGCCAATCAAAAAGCCAATAGACATCCCAAGTATTGTGAAAGGCCAATCCGAAAGCCAATAGACATCCCAAGTATTGTGAATCTGCCTTGTAAACGGTCAATCAAAGAGCTAGTAGCCATTGAAAGGTGCCAAAATAGTGCTGCCTTCCTCTGTAGGTTCCGCATTCGGCTAGATTAGGGTTTCCCCACGTCTCACCAAGCTCCCTCGCAGACCATACACTCAACACCCATCAAAGATGGAGGAGTCAAAGATTGTCGACTCCAAAGCCGACGAAGAAGCTGCGAAGGATGTTATCGACCAATCTACCAACGTCACCGCCGACCAAGACAGCACTGAAGACGTCGAGTCTACAGACAACAAAGACACGGACGTGGTAGCTGCAGGCTCGGCAGCCAAGAAAAAGAAGTCAAAGAAAATCAAATTGAAACAGGCGTTAGGCGTAGGCAAGAAAAATGATGAAGATGAAGAGGCATCGGGGAGCTCTTCGAATCCTGCGAGTAAGCTTACGAGCGGAATGGTGGAACAGCTGCTGGAGATGAACCCGTCGTTGAAGGGGGAGGTGGCTGGCATGGACAAGGAAAAGGCTGCTGAGACTTTGAAGAAGCTAGATGTGGCGGATCTACTTACTGGAATGTCTGTGAGTGGGAAGAATCAGAAGGATATGGCCTCCTACAAGTTCTGGCAAACACAGCCCGTCCCTCGCTTCGACGAGGCACAAAAAGTGGAAGAGGGTCAGATCAAGGACATTGACCCAGAAAAGGTTCCCAAAGAACCACCGCCGATGTTGGAGGGGTTCGAGTGGGTTACTATGAATCTCCTGGATGAGAAAGAGCTGGAAGAGGTCTACGACCTTCTGACTGGGCACTACGTGGAGGATGATGAGGCCATGTTTCGGTTCAACTACTCTTCCTCCTTTCTCAATTGGGCCCTCAAGTCCCCCGGCTGGCGGAAAGAATGGCACGTCGGTGTCCGCGCAACCAAGTCACGAAGACTCGTCGCTTTCATATCTGGGGTGCCAGTATCTCTTCGTGTTCGATCGAACGTCTTCAAAAGCACTGAAGTCAACTTTTTGTGTATACACAAAAAGCTGCGCTCGAAACGCCTCGCCCCTGTCCTCATTCAAGAGATCACCAGAAGAAGCTACGTCCTAGGCATCTTCCAAGGTCTCTACACTGGTGGAATTGTTCTTCCCAAGCCTGTCAGCTCATGTCGTTACTTTCATCGAAGCCTCGATTGGCTGAAACTTTATGAAGTCGGCTTCTCTCCCCTACCCTCAAACTCAACGAAAGCTCGACAGATCACGCGATATCATCTACCCAGCTCAACATCTACACCAGGATTGCGGCCAATGGAAAAGAAAGACGTTGGTGCCGTACTAGATCTCCTTGAGAGATACTTGAAACGCTTCGATATGGCACCTATCTTCGACCGCGAAGAAGTCGAGCATTGGCTGCTTCACGATGACAGCGCTGCTGAGCAAGTCATATGGAGCTACGTCGTCGAAGAACCCAGCACACACAAGATCACTGATTTCTTCTCCTTTTACTGCCTTGAGTCTTCCGTCATCGGTAATCAAAAGCATGATAATGTCAGGGCAGCATATTTATTCTACTATGCTACGGAGACGGCGTTTGCAAAGGAAGAAAAGGGTTTGAAGGAGAGGATGACAATGTTGATGACTGACGCCCTGATACTTGCAAAGAACGTACGCTATATTTGCCACTTTGGCACCCGGCCAGGCTAACAGGTTCCGCAGTTCAATTTTGATGTCTTCAACGCCCTTACCCTTCTGGACAACCCACTGTTCCTAGAATCGCTCAAGTTTGGAGCAGGAGATGGCCAACTGCACTACTACCTGTACAACTACCGGACTGCACCTATATCGGGTGGTGTTGACACCAAGAACAACGTCGATGCTTCCAGGAGAGGTGGAATTGGTGTGGTGATGGTAAGTCCCGAATCACTCATCCGGATGATTGAATGTATGTTAACCTAATTATGGCAATAGCTTTAAGAAGACAATGTTGGCGTTGGAGATTGATCGGCATTTTTAGGGTGATACAGCATGAAGCATTTATCTTTGACTGTGCGGCCTTATTTGGACTTGGGCCAAAGCTCTCCTCGACCCTTTGAGCTACAGGAGGACTATGATCCGCCTTTCGTGTACTTTTAGATACCATCAGAATCATCATAGCTTGCAATGCCATCCAAACAGCCTGCCTCTCTGGATAGAATCAAGGTTGTGAAACTGAACTACGCAGACACACAGACGAGCGAGCGCAAACGTTATTTTGCGCTTCACAACTTGAAAGGTGCCTTGTTCTACAATCTCGTGCACGGAGTAGCTGTAGAGTTTCCTGCCCGAAAATACCCCGGTAAAACTCCCGCCTTGAACTTCAAATAAAGTACACCCTCTCGTCGCCCTTGTTCGAGCCAGCAATGGCAGGCATCAAGCGCCCGCGCAGCGACGACGAAATGAATGACCCTCCACGCCCCAATCTCACCCTTCATAGCCATGTTCGAGACCTTCCGCACCGAGCTGGACGAACATCACGACCGCCGTGAGAGAATCATCAAAGCATCCAGAGACATCACGGCCCTGAGCAAGAAGATGTGAGCGACGCCCCCGACGAGCCGAGAATCAGCCGCTCACCGCCTCTCTAGGATCTTCTCCCTCCAACGGTATCCCCCATCCCCATCCCCTCCCCTCCCCTCCCCTTTCCCCTCACCCCCGTCCGCAACCCACTGAGTCCGTCCCGTCCCCTCCAGCGTCCGCCAGCTCCAGGCCCCCGCCCCGCCCGCCGTCGCCACGGAAGTCTCCGCCTACGGGGCCAAGATCTCGGATCTGTTCTCCTCGCTGGCGCCGGACCTGCGGGATCTGAACGCCTGGCGCTACCGGGCCCAGATCGCGTCGGGCGTCCAGGAACACGTCGAGGCCGTCTCCTTCCGGCACTATTTAGAGACGCAGCGGCTGATGCCGTTCGATGAGGCACGGGCGCAGATGGCGGGGGGCGTCGTGTTGACGGGAGGAGGATTACGTGCTCGGGCTGTTTGATTTGGTGGGGGAGTTGATGCGGTTTGCGATTACGGGTATGGCTACGGGTGGGGCGTTGCCGAGGGGGGTGGGGGGAGGGGAGGGATATCTTGACGGATCTGAGGCAGATGAGGGCGGCGTTTGAAGGCTTGGATGGGGCGGGCGGGCGGGCGGGTAGGAAGATGGATGTTATGAGGACTTGTGTGGAGAAGGTGGAGGGGGCGGTGTATGGGATGATTGTGAGGGGGAGGGAAAGGCCGAAGGGGTGGGTTGTGGATGTGGGGGGAGGAGAGGAGGGGGGAGGTGGAGAGTTGTTGAGCAATGACAGAATGGTCAGGAAGAGGCGGGCAATCCTCGCTATTGAATGATGAGATATCGGCTGGATTTGGCAATCGGTCATGTAAAGCTGTGGCCATGGCATGTGTTTTGTAGAATGATAGACCCTGAGTTGCCATTTCAGATTGCCTCCGTCTGTTTCCCCTTCCCCCTGCTAATGTTATGCCACTCTCGCTCCATCCCGCTTTTCGACAGCCCCTTCACTCCTTCGTGGGGGAGGTGGGATCTTCATCCAATATCCCCTCCTTCATCAGCTCCTCCGGCTTAGGTCGCTGCTGTAGCTTCTGCTCCAAACTGTCCGCTCGCATGTGTTTCTGCAATTCTTTCTGCTGGCCCTGTATGGCCGGCGCGGCCGTGGAGTCGGGGAGGATGTTTCCTGAATAAGAAGCCGAGACGTCAGTCATTAGGACGTTCGCATTGGATGGGCCGGCCGGGATTGAGAAAGTCGTGGGATCATACGTCCAATCAGCTCCTCCTTCTCCGGACGCTTCTCCAATCCCTTCCGCAAGCTGTCGGTGGCTTGTTGGCGCTCAAGTTCTAACTGGGCGGATTGTATCGCACTGCTCCCCCGTCAGCTCCTTGGATCTGGGAGTCAGGTTGGTAATCGAGTGTCTACGGTGCGGCGTGTGTGTCACGCAGAATGTTCCTGTTCTTCAGATCTTGAGCGTCTGGACGCATCTGCAGGTGTTTTTCGAGAGATTCTTGACGCTCGATGGGGGAGAGGGGCGTCTCGTCAACGGAGGGGGCGGTGTTTTCGTCTGCCATGTTGACGATTGGTACGATGGAGAACTGCGCTTTGTGTCGGGAGGAGGCGTTTGTATAGCGAGAGGATGCTGTTGGATGATTCGAGTCGGTGGGGCAACAAACGACGCGGTCCCTGGGATTTGTCTTGGCGTTTGCGGGGAACTAGCGGCGGAATTCACCCTTGCACTTCATGCCCTTCATTTGCTGCAATATCTTGCCTACCTATGTTCAGATGATATATGTAGACAGTGTGTTCATGGTGTTCCATTAACCGAGTTGTTCTTCTACATATATAAGCAAACTAGGTGAGTGCGTATACTTCCATGACGGCCGTGCGCAGCGAGCAGTAGTAGGACCACGGCACTGCTTCTCTTACGCAGATGAGTGGGGCATTTTCGAGTCGTCTCGCTCAGCGCATGTGCTTTGTCGTGATACTGCAATCTTCTCCTGCGAGCTCTAGCCCACGTTGTCTATTCCCATGTGCCACGTATTTCTCTCCTTGCTCAGCACAGCTCATCAATTCCTGATCGGACGCCTTTACTCCGAGATTTGACTGCTTCCGAATTTCTTTCGTCGTAACGTGCTGCCACGATACTGGCTGGCGGAACACAGTCTCTGGAGCCACATGATCTGGCTGACAAGCCCATGCATGTAGAGTTCTGGGGGCACACGAACACTTGATCTAGCGGCTAGGGAGCTCGCCTGCCGTGAGAGATAAAGTAGCTACTTTAGGAGAGTAAGTAGTACCGTACTTTATTCTTGCATGGAAGGGAGCCGCCTTTCGGCTGGGCTTCCGGCGGCTCGGGGTGGGGAGGCGGGGTACATGGTTAGCTTTTGAGGCTAAGACCTAGGGACACCCGACCACTTCCAATCAATCCTCAACGTTCAGTACGAGTTACCAATGAGAGGTCCTGTCCAGAGTAGCCCAGGTGATGCCCGACGCAGGATGTTTCTTGCGTCCGGGTACCATGAAGACTTCTGGCATCAAAGTCGATAAAGAGGGGAACATTAATCTAGGGGACCTGGCATGTGATGAGGACAATTCCCAATAACGTGCTGGCCAAAGCGGAGTAAATTTAGTAAGGTAAAGTACCGTATTGTTCCGTTGATGTCGAGTATAAGTGTCAGCGTCTCCCACTCTCTTCAATGTGACACGGAGACGGATCTACAACAATGTTCAGACCTTTGTTTCTCCTCACCGTGGCTGTACGCGTAGCCTTGGGATTTGTTGTCAATAATGGAACATCATGCTATGTATTTCCAGAGTCCATCTCCCACTCCGGCCAGCCAGTCGATGATACTCCCTCCATTCTCCAGGCTTTCGATCTTTGTGGCATCAACGGCAGCGTTATCTTGACCAATAGTACCTTCTACGTTGACCAGGTTATGAATACAACTAACCTGCTAAATTGTGACGTCTCTCTGTTGGGGGAAATGATTTGGAGTACCAATGTGCCTTATTGGCTCTCGCATAGCTATGACGTAGTCTTCCAGAATCTTTCCACGGCCTGGCTGTTCGGTGGGACCAACGTGACCTTTAAAGGCTATGGTCAAGGACGCTTTAATGGCCAGGGTACGCCTGCATCACCATCACCCTAACATACAGCAACCTCTGAATTAGAAGACAGGACAGGTGTGGTATGATGAGAACAGAAACAACAGCAATCAGCCAGGTCGACCCATTGCAATTACGTTTTACAACTCGACAAACCTTTTCGTCGATGGTTTGACGTGGTCACAACCCCAATTTTGGCACTCCTTTATCTCTCACTCTAACAACGTCACCGTCACCAATGTCCACATGAATGCAACCAGCGATGATGGCAACATCACAGTCAACACAGACGGAACCGACACTTGGAACTCCCGGGACATCAAACTACAGAATTGGACTGTGCAGAATGGTTCGTACCCAAGCACTTTTAACGTCACTCTCTGATTTGGTTCCTTCCCTAGGCGACGACTGTATTGCAGTAAAGGGCAACACTACAAATCTTTACGTAAATAATGTGACTTGCTATGGCTCAGGAGGCATGCCCATTGGGTCTGTCGGGCAATACCCACAAAAGCCGGATTATGTCGAAAACATCCTCTTCGAGAACATCGTCCTTCACGACTCGTCTAGTGCTGCCTGGATTAAGACATGGCCAGGAAGGAATGCACCTACGACGAGCAACGGCGACAGTGGTGGTGGAGGCAGCGGATATGTTAAGAACGTGACTTTCCGAAATTTTGACTGCATCAACGTCAGTCAGCCCATCTATGTAACGCAATGCATATATGCGTCCGATCCGTCAATCTGCGACACTTCCCTGGTAAGGCTTTGATTTTACCCCCAAGCGTTTCCTCATCCCGGCATCCCTTTTGACATGCTCGCAGGTCCAGATATCCGATATCACGTGGCAGAACATCAGCGGGACCTCCAGCTACGACGTCGCCGCCTCGATCCACTGCTCATCCTCCGTCCCTTGCCCTGGCCTCGAGTTCGTAGACGTGAACATTACTTCCGTCAACGCTACCAGGGGACTGCGGGATTCCAACGTTGGTACCGTGGGAGAACGATATCTCTGCGCCAACATCGTAAACGAGAACACGACTTCGGGGATCCCTTGCGACGGATGGGCACCGAGTGATTTCCCCCAGCGACTCACTATGAATTATTAGAGCTGTCAGGTTTTTTTAGAACAAGCTCAGCTAATGGATCTATTTGCTGTCCGAGTAGCAAAAGGCTCCTTCTCAACAGGCGTTCGATCAGTGGTTCGCAATGCTTCTCTTGCTCAACCATGTTAAGATGACGAATGTAGACCGTACGTTCATGAAGTCCCATTTTCGGAGTTGTGCTTCTATCTATATGACCAAACTGTGTATACACGTAAGTATCCCATTGAAGCTCATCCAGCAAGCCATACATCCCATTCATGTACCCCCCTCGATGCTGCGTCTCCAGCATCCAGTCTTTGATCCAGCACTTACAACTTCGAGCTCTTTCTCTCAACGCTAGCAAAGAAGGAAACCCCTCTCGCTAGATCCTGCCCCGTTTCCATTCCGCTCCTACCATCACCATCACTATCACCACCACTACTACAACCACGCATTCACGCACTCCCTACGCCGCAGTAGTACTCTAGCCCGAGGCACCAAAAAAAAACCCCCCTCTCCTCACCCCGTCTCTCCCGACCCCACCGTCAAATACACCGCCAGATGTCCCTGATAATGCGCCCCGTCCTGTCTGCCAACGTACACCGCCACATCCAGCTCACACGCCCCGAAGAGCGCCGCCATCTCCCACACCCCCCGCAGCAGCGCCGCCATCGTTCCGTGGGTCAGACCCCGCGCGCCGGGCCGGTGGCTCCGGACCGCGACGGTCGCGCCGTTGGAGCTGAACACCATGCCCTGGTCCGGTATGGGGCCGTCGCCGCGGGACTGGATGGTGTCTTGGACGAGGGCGTCGAGGCCGTGCACGATTATGTAGGTGAGGGTTAGGAAGTCGATGGGGTGGTGGCGGCCGGGGTTGATTTGGAGGATGATGAGCGGGTTGGTGTCGGGGATGAGGTAGTTGGGGGGTAAGGGGTCGTTGGAGGCGTTGCGGTGTCTGGGTCGTGTGGGATTGCGTGTTAGTTGGCGACCGCGAGGATTCTTTCTGATTCGGATCGACTCACGTTGTGGCCGCTGGGGACGGCGGCAGTGTGAGGTTACGGCTGAGGTCCAAGGGTGGTATTGCTGCTACAGGGGGTTGGGGCAGGGAGCCGATGTTCAGAGAAGGTGTTGTTGCAGCGCTGAAAGGTGGGAATTTGACAAAGACGCAGAACTGGCAGAGTAGGAGGATGGACATGTCGTGAATGCGGTCTCGCATGGTATGTGAGAGTGATAGTAGCGATGATTGCTCGTCCAACTTACAGAGGTAGGACGGACTTCAAGCTATAACAGGGTTTAGACGATTCAAGGAACTTCTCGTCGAACATGAATGTACTTGTGTCTGAACGAGAAGAAGAAATATACAAATCCACAAGTTTCGATCTACCCATGTTTGCGCGCATGAAGACCTTGGGCTTGGGACGACAATCGGTGAATATCCTGCAAGGCGGCCATGGCGCGACACCCCCACCCGCGTAAAATAACAGCGGTTGAAGTTACAGCTCCATAGAGCTCCGTTTGCAGAGGAGGAACGAGGTACCGAAGCTTGCCGAGTGTAGCGCTTTACTTCTGCATTTGCGCTTTGGAGATCCAATCCGCACGGCCGACGCATTGCCAGACAGAATGTCACTCTTGGGTTCGTTATCGATCATATAAACCTTGCGAATGCTGTACTCAAGAATCAAATGTTCCTTGTCTTCCCACTTTTTCCCTGTTCCCCCAGGTTTGATCTGACAGATTGCGTATTTGCTTTGAAAACCGAATCGCGAGTCCAGCTGGTTTAGGAATCTGCCATGAGCAAGATTGTGCCCCAAAACCCTCGATCTGCAAAGGTGATAAGACGTAGCCCGAGCATCCTGGGGTTGAGTCTGTCTTTCAAATACTGCAACAGGGCGTGCTCGCGCGACTCCTGACCATTGATCCCGCTTTTGGGAAGGTAAGGTAGCCCTCTAGCTTGTGCAATCCTCTCGAAAACCCTGTCATAGTCTCCCCAAAAATCCGTCAAGCCCGGAGCCATGAAATCATAGCATTGACATCGACTTGAATTGATACCGGACCTAGAGCAGACAGTGGAGTTGGGCTTTCGTGATTATTCTTGTCACTGTATAGGCAGAAGAATCGCTCATCAGACCTAGGTTGGTGAGTGGAGCTTAAACAGCCCTGACCACTGTAGGGCTGATCGAACTTGGTGAAGTGAGTTGTGTAATTCAAAGAGAACCCGTAACTGATTGAATGCTTTCTCCAATCTTTTGCGGTAAAGACGGTGAAAGTAACCTTAGGCAGGACCAGAAGGGACGTTATTGCCCAACTTTCGTCATAGACCGGAGCTCTTCGATAAGCAGATCAACTTGTACAATGACCGACATCGTAAACGCGTCGACCCGCAAAACCCCTTCCAGATCTGGCCCCAAACACTGCGGGACACGCTTGAAGCGATCCGAGTCTGAGAGATCCTTCTCCATCATTAAACAATTCAATGTGAAAGAGGATCATGTTGGTTATTTGTTAGTATGCGTTTTAATAAGTCAGAAGTCAAGGTGGCAGCCTTGGCCTTAAGCAATGCTTGCTCACAGTCCCAATCCGCTGGAGTGTTCCCAGAGGTTTCCATCTCTTCCCATGCATATGGACCCCTTTTGAGCTCGCAAATAGAGGTACGTACTATCTGTAAGTCACAGATAACAGGACTGAGGCATAAGCTGCAAGAAACGCGGATCAACGGTTTCCAGAGAACTGATGTACCTAAGCATGGAAATTGTGATTCACTCTCACGTTTAGCGCGATATCTCGGGCTTTAGATTAGCGTCGGATTTAAAACCCAGTGAGTCTTACTCCGTAAACATTTGTACTACTCCCATCCTCGGTTGTTTCCTACCGCCTCGTTCTACATACAGGCGCTTGTAGAGAGAGACGAGGCTTAGCGTTGAATGAGGCTCATGGAGATGTCAGGGAAACAACAATACTCACTGCCGCCATCCAGGTGACGAGACGCGTCAGGATTCATCCCGCGTAAAGTGCTTTCTCCAAAGCTTCCTTGGCGCAATGTGGACCTTGGAATGTGATAGCAAGATTCTAGACAGTGAGTCTGAGCAACAGTACTGCTGTGAGAGCCCAAGCTAACAAGCCTCCGCAAGACAAAAGGATATGGCTACGCCCGGGGAAGAAATATTTGTTCGGGAGAACGCTGGACCTGTCTAGGGGAAGGAACAGTATGCAGGCCCATATGCAATTTGGTTGGGCCTGTCACCGACCAGCGCTCACATCTCATAGAAAGCTTCCAGCTTAAGGATGAAAAGTCCGTCTCTCGGCAGCACCTTACCTTGACTGTATCCGCCGTCAAGCCAGGCGATGGAGTGAGTCCCACTCATCAGACTACTAGGCTTTCTCTCTGACTGCCGTAGTCGCTTGTACATACTCGATCAGAGATCGCACTTAAAGATGAGGCCACGAAGTTTGGTACAGAGGTTGATGGCGTCCGCATCAAGGAAAACGAGCGAGTGTTAAAGGACAGTGAACACACGTTTCGATTGGGGAAGTCTAACCATGTTTTTCGGTAAGCTTAGTGGTCCTGCTAACGATGGGGAGACTGACAAGCGAGTAGTATCAAATGGCAACCAGTTGTTTTCACTTTCTCACTGAGCTCAAAAGAGATGAAGACCGGCAAGGATCCATTAGTTAATTACCGAAACAGACTTGAGGACCTCGATATTAAAGTCGTCATACCCTACATCGTCGGCGTGACCACACATGTTGTCAGTACCAAACGAAATACTGCCAAAGGCCTCCAGGCTCTCATCAATGGCAAATACATTGTGACGGAAACCTACATTGATGCTCTGGTCTACGCAACAACCCCAGAGAACCTCGATGAGCTGGAGAGTCTTTCCCCGCTCGAGGAGGACTTCGACGCCCATTGGCCAAATGCTTCAGAGCATCTGCCGGCGAAAAGCAAAGAACCCAGCGAAAGACCATCCGAAGACTTTGTACCAAATTCGCATCGTGACAATGTTTTCGAAGGCTATACCTTTGTGTTCTTGGACGCAACTCAGTTCGAGACACTACAAGCCCCGATTACGAACGGTGGCGGGAAAGCTCTGTCGTTCATCCCCAATCCCGGAAAGACTACGGCTGAGGAAATTGTGCGCTATGTAAAGGGTGTGGCTGGAGAAAAGGGTCTGGGAGAATTCGAAGATGGAAGCGAGGGTAAGGGTGTAGTGGTCATCAGGTTCAGGTTGAAGGAGAAGTTCGCAGATTGGGCAGCCCAGATGGATACTACAATATCTCTAGCTCTCGGCCAACGGCTGATCGAACAAAGCGAGTTCATCGAGGCCATATTGCTGAATGATGCCAGCATCCTGAGAAGGCCATTGGAGGTGGACTATGAGGAGTCGGCGCCGAGGACCAACGGAATGATTGCACCAGCAGCATTAGCAGAAGATGTCATGCAAGTGGAAACACTTGCTCAGCCAGAGGTCTCCAAGCCCGCACCAAGGCGAGCTCGTGTTCGAGGAAATGTTGTGAGCCGCTTCAAAGGATTTGGCGCTGACGATGACGACGAGTCTTCAATGCCAACATCTTCTCGACCTGCTCCTGTTGACTCACAGATGGAGTATGCACCGCTGAGTGGAAGGTCACAACGTTATTCCAATGGTGCGTCTTTGGCGGATTCTCCCATGGAGATTGACTCTCAAAACCAAGAGAATGGCGAGGATGAGGCCACAAAATCCCGAAAACGACCAGCGTCAACTCTAGAAGAAGTTGACGAAGATGAGATGATGGACAGTCTTTTGCCAGCTGCTACGGCCATGAAAAAACGAAGGATTGAAGAGGCTGAATCTTTTCAGCGCGACGGAGTTCCAAGAGAGCAATCGTTCGAGACATCCCAGAAGAAGGCTAAAAAGGAGAACACGCGGCAACCGCCTAAAGAGGTCAACATCAAAGAGGCACTGCGTGAGCGACGAGAAAGAGAAGAAAAAGAAGAGGCAGCCAGACGCGATGAAGAGAATCCTCGAGAAACCATAGATGGTATGAGCATTGACGAGATGAAGAAACTTGCAATTGTCGAGCCTATGGACGTCCTTGATCGCTCAAAACGAACACAGCGAAGAGAACATGATAATCCCGCAGACAGCCGGTGGGATGAGCGTTGGAATGGCAGAAAGAACTTCAAGAAATTCCGGCGGCGAGGGGAAGGTACTCAAGCGAGGCGTGGCCAGAGTGTCATTGTGCCCTTGGAAGAAGTCAAGAGGAAGGACTTTGGGATTGGACAAGGGTACTGGGTGGAGAGCGAGAAGACAAAGAAGAGGCGCAAGGAGAATGAGCGCACGACGCAATCGCAGTCACAGAGCCAACCATTTGCTACAGCGAAGAGCGAGGCCGTCGAAGGACCCTCCGAGCTTGTTGTTGATGGAGATATACCTGTGTCCAGTGACGAGGATGCTCCGAGGATCACATTGCGCCAGGAAAAAACTCAACAAACGGATGAAAGCAGCAACAGATCTCAAGTTGTGAATGGGAAGCGACCGGCTGCTAGCCAGGCCAACGGCGTTCCAGCCAAGAAGCAAAAGACGTTTGCCGTGCAGGACTCGGACAGTGACAGCGAAGACGAGCTGAAGTTCAGGTTCAAGAAGAAGGGGAGATAGATGGCAGGCCGTTGAGCTAATTTTGGCACATATTTGCGTCAGCTTGCGCTGTTCACATGGCTTGTACATTCTCAAGGTATCGCTCTCGTCCAACCAAGTTGCTGTATTATATCACGTGCATATACAAGCAAAGCAATATACAAGATTTCTCAACTCCGAGCTCTTTCCTTGCCATCTTCGCCCTTTTAGTCTTCCATCGCCATCTCTTCCATTGCTTCTACCGCTCTCTCCAATTCTCTTACTCTTGACCCAATTCTATTCTTTATCTGTTCTCCATCAGCCGAGTTGATGGCCTTCTCGTAAGCCTCTTTGAATTTTGCCAATTCCTCTTGGGCGGCTGCCCTGTCGTCGGCTGCGTAAACGGTCTTCTTTTCGGTTTCTTCGGAGGCTATCTCGAATTCGTCTTTTGCTGTTGCATAGCTGTGGCTGTTGTCAGTAGTCAAACAGGACAAATGGCTAGGACAGAGACCGACAGTTCTTGTAATTCTTCCACTTGCTCGTCTGCGGAGGTTTTGGCAGCGAAAGTGCGGCGAAGATGTGGTTGGGTGATGGAGGGGAGCACTCGAGGTTGGCGACAGAGGTGGATGGGCGTGGCGTTGGAACGTGTAGGTGCAGAGATGAGTGTCCGCGAACAGCGAGCCAGGATTCGGGTGATCATAATAGTGGAAATATAGATAGAGATGAAGCTCATTGCACCCATGAATATGGAGTCGCGAAATAATTCACACCAGCTACCCGGAGATCCAGACTTCGGTGGCGGCTCGCGGGTTCCTTTTAAACCTCAGCCAACGCTAGTGTATAATACCGGAGAGTCATTAGGCCGGTACAGCCACATTCCCCTGATTAGTAAAAGATTTCCATAGAAAGTAGGGGGCGAATCCTACCTTTCTACTGTATTCTCTTTATACCTCGCTATCGCCTTCTTATACCTTCTAGACTTCGCTTTATTAAATCTTCACATAACCTTCTCTTATATAATCTTAATATTATTCTTTCTTCGTATTCGTTAGCCCTCTTTAATATAGAGGCTTTAAGAATATTTAAAAGAAGTTAGATTAATATAATAGTAACTTAAAAAATATTAATCGAGATTATAGCTCGAAGGCGGAGTTTTTAGATAACGACTTTTTATTACTAATATAGAAAGAAGATAATAATAATAATAATAGCGAATAGAGTAAAGCTACGTATTTTAACGCGTCTAGTTTATTATTATCGAAATTTATTACTCTTTTCTTCCTTTTTTTAAAATATCGAGATCTTTTTAGACGCGTTAATAGATTAAAAAAGAGTCTTATAAGAGAATTAAGCGAAGAAAGATATCTTAATATTATAGATTATTATATTTAAAAAAACTATCGACTAATTCGTTAATAGAGAGTTAAATTAATTTTAGAGAATCTTATTAATATCGATTATAACGTATCTTAAATTATAGATATCTATTAATTCTATAAAGATTTTAATAAATAGCGAGAATAAGAGTTAGATAGCTAGCTAAATTTTTAATAAAACCTCTATAAAGCGATAATAAGATAGATTTCGTTTTGAAATATTAGAAATATTAGAATAATAGCGACGATTTTTTTATTAGATTTCGTCTTAATAGTCTTAAGATATCGTAATAATAATAACGTTTTTCTACTTAAATTCCGTCTAGTCTTATTAAGTTATTCTTCGCCTTATAGAAAGTAATAGCGAGGTCTCTTATTATAACGTAAACTTCGCTATATCTCTTATATAAATCTTATCTTAATTAATAGTAATATTAGCGAGTATAGTTAAGAGGTTTTTAGCGATAGCGATAGCGATAGTAAGATATTAATATCGTCGTATTTTATTTTAGTGTGATTATTATATAAATCTAGCTTAGCCACCTTATAAGTACGCTAATGGTATTTTTCTTAGCATTGACTGAGGTATAAAAGCTACCGGCTCGCGTGCTGTGATTCGAATATCTTTTCAATATGAATTCATTAAATCTTATAGAGATTGAGACGAGGTAGTTTTGATATGGTGCTATTTGGACTCGGGATACTGCTTGTCTCTGTTTCGGTGATCATATACAGGTATCAGTCAACCCGGCGCTCGGCATGGACTGGAAAACAAGACCCAGGGAAGAGCGGCGCAGGATCGCCAATCGCAGAACTAGAAGACGACGACGATGGAGCCGAAACGAGACCCGAAATCCCTACATTCACGCTCGATGAGGAAGGAAGTAATAAAGATGCTGCGCCTGGCGACACTCAGAAGGGCGTTCAAGCCACGAAGTCGAAGCCATCATCTCATCTGGGCACGTCTCCTCCACCACCACCAAGCTCCATAATGCCACCGCCCCCTCGACCGAGCCCAAACGCCAAGCGAAAACCGGAACCTTCCCTCATGCCACCTCCGCCAATGCCCGCACCCACCCTCCGAGCTCCCCCTACGCTCTCAACAACCCTCCGACCACCCCCTTCGACAGCTTCTACCCTCCGCGCTCCACCCTCCCGTTCTCTCGCACCACCAACCTCTTCCCTGTCGACCTCCACCCTCTCCCCCTCCGCGCGTCCCTCCAAGAAAGTCCTCCTCGACCCCGGCCACTCCCCCCTCGACTGGGCGCACCTGACCGCCAATCCTCCCACCCCTACGTTCCTCCGCGGCGCCGACGTACCGCCGCAGCTCATACGGGTACCGCCTTCGGCGCTGGAATGGCATCATGGGCGCAAAGGGAGGGATGCGTGGGGGTGTGGCAGGGCAAGGTATATAATCTGACGCCGTATATGAAATTTCATCCGGGAGGGGTGGGGGAGTTGATGAGGGGGGCGGGGAAGGTGGCGGAGGGGGAGAAGCTTTTTAATGAGAAGCATCCGTGGGTTAGTTGGGAGAATATGTTGGGGGAGTGTTTGGTGGGGATATTGGTGTCTGAGAATGAGGTGGGAAAGGGGCAGGGGAATGAGTTGGAGGAGATGGATTAGGAGTGGACCGTGAATGGTGCATGCAATGGCGTTCCGTTTATAGCATAGATGTGTGCTTTTTCGAGATACCCATGACTTTTACAATGAACGACCTTCAGTCCAACACGGGTCCAAAATGTAAACTCTCTCAAGCGCCTTTCTTCGCCCCCCCCACCCTTCCTCCGAGAAAAAAGTTATTCCGTTGCTCGCAGGTTCGCTACTCGAATCACTCCTGCCACGGGACTGGCGATGTGATCATTCGATTCAATGCCAATACATTGGCGAAAAGAACCATGCCAGCCTTCCGCAGACCAATTGGAGCGGCGCATATCTCCAAAACATTGACAAGCTCAGCATCAAAGAATGGATCTCTCGGCCGTCGAATGCTCTGCTCAAGCTGTTGTCGCACAAGAATATCGAATCTTCCTAGCTTGCTACCTTTTGTCTGTTAAACAACAGATAGTCTGCCAATCTCTAGCATCCCTGCCTGGTGGTGCCTCAAGCGAATCGTACCCTTCTCTCTTCACCCTTTCTTACACTCAGCCCTTCTCTTCCCCCCCACTGGTTCAAGCTGTGCATTGCCAGTGGCGGGTCGAGCCAGCTCCAAGCTCGGCGAAGAGTACAGCCGTCAATGCTCAATTTCCCCAAAGCTCATAGGCAACACTGGGGAGGATTCGAGCCACCAGGTCAGCGGCAACAGCCTCCTAGGGCTACCTACCTGTACCAAAACTCCACCTCTCTGTCGAAGTCGTCGGTACTGAGGGAAGTGATTCCTTCAGGCACAGCGCGGCCCCTCGCTTCGCGAACACCAATCCATGTCTGTCTCGCGGCTGCCTTGATAGCGTTGCCCATGATCTTACTTCCCTGGGCTTCAAAGACAACAGATTGCCAACCCAGCGTTCGGGCGAGATGAGCTTGCGCGGAGAGACTCTGCTGCGACTGGAAATGGTCGAGGCTTTGCTGAAGGAGAGCACTGGTAGTGCACATTTTTTAGTAGGGATGAAGCTGACGGAGCGAAGGCTGGGTTGTCTTACTGGGCTCCTTTGTAGTCTTTCGTCCTCATTTGGTGCTCAGCGAGCTTGAGGTCGAGGACTCCTTTCCAGTTGGCGCTTTCGGACAACTTTCCTTCCTCCGGCAGTTTCTTCAAATTTTCGCTGGCCTTTTCGTAACAATTGAGGCTTTCGTCTGGTTCTTCGAGAGCGTTATAGATGCCGCCCATCACAAAATGGAGTCGAACTAATCTGTTGGCGGCCCACCGTTTAGCTCTCATCCTGCAAATCGGTTGTTGTTTACTCACTCGAGCGAAGAGTTGCAATCCACGTTGGAAGGTTTGCTTTGCATTGCCAATGAAGCTTCCGCGATCCCAAGTGCCATGGCCGGTAAATTCTGCATCAGATAGACTAGAGCAATGTTTGCAGAGGTTACTGCATGGATTTTCCATGACCTTGGGGTCAACAGCTGGAAAGCACTGACGAGCTCTCTTGCCTTTATGAAGAAGGCTAGTGCTTCGAAATTCTTGCCGGCCTCAACATGGTGGACTCCTTGGTCAATCCCACGGCTTGCTTCATAAAATCGTGTGTCAGTAGTTTCTGCTTGTAATTGGACAGCTTCAGCATCATGTAGACGCGAGTCCGGGTTGCCATCATGAGGTACGTCTGATTCATTGGTTTGAGTCGCCGCTCCAATGGCGTTTGCTGCTTTCTCAAGCTGCGCAGCGAATGATAACCACATTTCTTTCGAGACTGTTTCTGAGACGCTCCAGCGTCGACTAAAAGTGTTTGGTGTAAAGAGACGGCCTGAACACGATCTCGCGACCATCGGCCGTGACCAGTCCAAGAAGATCAAGAACGATTGCTCGAGGATAGAACTATTGAAGCAAGCGTCAACCGTCTCATCACTCGTACTGACTGGAGCAATAGTGAGAATGGCTGAGCGATAGATGTCTGATACTCTCGACATCGCATTCAGCAAGTCCTCTTGGTCACCTTGGACAACACACAGCGAATGGATCCAGATGTACCGCACACCCAGGCGCCTAGTAAGTTCAATCGCATCAAATACGGATCTTCGTATTTCGGAAGGTTCGATACTTTGCCGAAGTCTGCTCATATTTGAAATCGTCAACTGCGTCTCCGAAGAGCCCCGAGAGCCCCAACAATAGCTGAGAGCTACATAACAACCAGTCTGGCCAGCAGTGTCAACAAGGCGTGGAGATTGCGTATTATCTAGACCAACGTCGATGAGTCTTGCCGGTAATTTCGTAGTAGAAGTTTCCATTTGAAGTAACCTCGGATCGGGCCTCTGTGATCTAGCAATCAACCCATGAGCAAGCCGTATCAGTACCTGATCTTCCTCGGCATTGCCCCGGTGCGCATTGTACCTGTACGAGAATAAGCCGCTCGGCTCTTCTGGGATCAATCGGGACTTACCAAGTTGAGAGGACAAGTACCTTGAGATACGAATCATTTGAGAGTTCCTGGCTCAGCTTGCCCTTTTCCCGCTTCTGATCATACTCCACAAAGATGCTAGAGAGTTTGTGGACATGACGATGAAGAGTATCAAATTCTGGCCAATTCCCAAGCACGATGTTCTTCATCTTCCTCCTAGATGGCCATCTTGCCTCAAGAAGCCGGCTCGCACAATGAAACCCTCCCCTAAAATTGCCCGGATCAAGCTTGGCTCGGAATGATGTGGCGGTCACGCGGTGTATATCAAGTCCACTGGGATCCGCCTCGGCAGCTAATAGAGCATGCGCAATTAGCTCATTCTTGGCATCGAAGTAGTCATGATCATTCATTGGGAACGCGTTCAATGGGACGTCTTGGAAGCGTTGAGCGCCGAGCAGGATTGCGTCGTCAACACAGTATGAATCGAGAAAAGTGATGACGTTTGCGAGAGCATATGAAGCCGATGACAGGTTGGCACATATGAGAGGGCTAGAAGGCTGAGAAGCGAGCACGCGACTCGAGTGTTGTTCCAGTATAGCCATGATCTGGTTGTCTTTGGATGAGCTCCGGCGATTGAGAATAGTACCCACCCCGCGTAGGGTTAGCGGCAGACAGCGACAATCCTCTGCAATTCTCGCCAACATTGCAAGGTCTGCTGCAGGGTTTGCTGCATCAACTGCACGAGGTGCCAGCGAACGAATAAATTTCGTGGCATCCTCGACAGTAAAGGGACCAACCTCAAAAGCGTGCAAGCACTCATGTGCCTCAATGTCTAGTCCTTCTCGAAACGGTTGCCTGCTCGTCACTATGATAGAGCCACGATGGCGATTCGGCATGAAGCGTGATAGAAGCTGAAGCTCATCCGCGTCATCGAAGACAAGGAGCCACCTTGAGCTTGTGGTAGATAGCCAGGCTACTAGCTTTTTCCTGCTATTCTCATGATAATGATCTCTGCGATCTTGGACCAGACCAAGACTTACTGCAGCTTCGTGAAATGACTGAGCAAGATGAAGGTTACTGTTGGCACGAAGCCAAAAAACATGATCGAATCTAGCTTGAATTCGATATGTCAATTCCAACGCAATGGCACTTTTCCCAACTCCGGGAGCGCCATGTAAGACGATGACGGCACCGGAGTCTGAGCTTGCTATACAGCCACTGGGCAGCACAGGTATAGGCAAAAAAATAACTTCCAATGGGATCAAAAGTTCTTGGCGGCCAAAAAATCTTGCATCTCTACTCGGAACTCGCATGGAGAAGATCCGAGATCGGCGTTCCACGCGTGGCGATTCCAGAACCGATAAAACCTCTGGAGAGTTCTGCTGCGTTACGTTTGTGACCGAACCTTCATGTCTAGCTTGTTCAATCTTGATCGCCTCCTGGGATTTGATTCCAGTATCATAGTATGGTATATTCTTAGGCTTATTGCTGGCTTTTGCAGCGAGAAGATCAGGTGGCTTTCTTCTCGGGTCAGGATGCTGAACGCCATGACCCGTGAAACTAGCCTCGTTTGTAATGCCGCTGGCTGATATATTATCGGAGCCACTGGCCGATTCTACCATCGGAACTGGAGTTGCGTCTGTTGAGGGTATTGGATGCATGGTCAGGAGAGTTGCTTGAGGTGAGGCTGGCCCACTGCTAGTCATGTCCGTTGCAGTTTCATCCGTGGGCAGGCAAGTGCTTGGCCCGGCACGGACCTGAGCCTCAATCACTGGTAGTTGTGCAGGAGTACCAGAAATTGAAAGCTGGGCGCCAAAACTAGGTATTGAAAGGAGCCGGTTGTAGATTGTACTTCTCGGGTAGAAAGCACAGTTCTTCTTGTCTCCTTCTCCGGGTGGAATTGTAATCTCTTCGTCTGTAGTCGTCCACATCCTGACACTCATGGTTGCGGAACATATGCACCGAGGGTCTTCAGCGCGGAATTTCAAAACATGCTTCCTTTTGGACTCGGCTGCGCATGAGACTTGAAATAGGGTAGAATGAAGAGTAAATTCTTCGAAGCGGGCGGCAATATGCTGGAGGCATCTGGCATCCTGAGGGCAGTTGAGATGTTTTGGCAGTGTCTTGCAAGGCAAACACTTTGAGATCAAGGGGATCCATTCATTTTGATTATCGAGATTAAGATCTGGATCTCCAAGCATAACGAGAGTCTCGATGGTGTTGAGCAAAGCTTCCATATGTTGATGGTGTGAGCTTCGATATGCTTCGAGAAGAGCCTTGAGTCATCAGCAAAGTTGAGCAATTCGGCATAGTCAGGCACACCTTCTTGAGCACGAAACTACCCAACTTATGGCCTATTAGTATCAGGGTGTCATCATCTGACTAGGCGTGCCGTCAGTGCAAGCAAAATTAGAAAAGCAGAATTTCATCTTCACCAGGCCATCATCCTGTTGCATAGCCGTAAGTGCCTGTAACAAACGTTCTCCAGCTTCACAATACGCAAACCACGAAGCAAGGCTGTCAATCCGTATGTCATGGTGGAAAATCCAGACTACCGTGCATTTGTTCTCCGAAGCAATAATATCATCCAGCCACTTTGGGAAGTGGGGGCAGGTCTGGTCTGCTAGCGTTTCTCCATTATTTCCTGGTACAATAACAATGCTGCGGTATCCATGTTATCAGCAAGAAAAGACTGAGACTCTAGTGAAAATTGCTTACTTCGTTCTTTCAGAGGTATCTGCTCTCTTCTCGCGTATCTTTTGTAGCCGCGCCATATTGACCCGAGAGACCTGTAGAGAAAATACGCCTTATTACCACGAGATCATATTAGGCCGCCTAAAATCTGAGTTTCGCGAACTTTTCCAGGCAATGAGCTATTTGTTTTCAACCGTGCTTCACATCGTGATGAACAAGCAGGTGCGAGCAGCATTGGGTTAGATATATCTTCGCAAGCACAGCCTCACAGAAATTATGCAAGGCGTCCTGGAGCCTTCGTAGCTATCGAGGCTGTAGCTGTGCGGTGTCGTCATTTTCTTCTAATTGGCTGCGGAGGGACGCAAAGGCGATCCTGCCCAAGATATGCGCGCTGGCGCACTGTACCATGGGTATAGAGGCGCTGAACGCTATAAGTAACCCGGATGTGGAACACCGAATACCAAGGTGAGTATCTCCCCAAAAGACACGCCCTTGAATCAGGATAATTGCGGCGGTGTGATCAAATCGCGCAGAATTACAAGCGCACAGCCTCAGCCTCAGCCTCAGCCTCATACTTGCATTCGCACGATGGCAAGAGGCCCAGGCTAGATCATTGAAGCGATGATATATGTATCGTGGCATGCACTTGTCAAAGCTTCGTTTATAGCGATCAGTTGACCTCTTAAATCGGCGAGCTCCTGATCAAGTCGTAGTTAGTTGCTGATGGCTACTTCGGACGTCTTGGCCGATATTTCAACCACCGAAGGTACATCTAGCAATTTTCTCCTTTTACCTAATGAGAGTCTAATACGTCAATAGAGAAAACAAAAGAATACACACAATCGTTTCTGGCTAGGATAAGATCCTTTCACAACGACCCACTACACTCAGCAGCGTATCTCGGCAACCTTGCCCGCTTTTTGCACAAACCCAACCAGAAGTCAGCTAGGCACGCCCGTCGACCGAATCCGCAGCGGTTCGTGCCAGAGAGCTTGGCCGAAGAGGAATGCCGACCTTTTGTTTACGAATATGCTCTTTTCCCGGATATGGATCCGAAGCTTACAACATTCGATGACATCGACAAGTATAAGCAGGCCATATCGATTAAAAATCACAACGCGGACTGTAATGAGCTAATATTTTTGGCTGGACGCCCTTCCCCTGAATGGCTCTCTGCTGTTGGAGCGCGGTATAAGCTCGATCATCGGTTCTTCCATCAACATCTTAATTTTCTTCCCACAGGCCAAAGAGACTGGTTTACAGCTCCCACGTTGCCATCAAGATCCCATAATGTACTCCGATTCTGCATACCTTCCATACTCTTCGTCGGCGAGCACCGTTACGTGAATATAGTTGATCTGCAGGAGGCCAGAGGAGATTGCGAGCGCCGGTTACTGAGTTGCTTTCGATCGTTTTTAGAAGGGACTTCGACAGAAGCAGGACAGTCGATTGTAAGGCGAATAAACATCCATAGCGGAGACAACCTCGTCATCGAGCAAGAGCTCTCATCCTGTCTGCTCAAGCGGGGAGATCGCTGGACAGGTAACGATCATAGGATTCTGCAGAGAGGAGCCTGCTAACGTCTTCTTACAGTGCTTGTATGGACGGACTCCGGCCAAGACAATGACTTTGCATTCATACCCACGCCTGATACTGATCGATTCAAAGGCGCAGTCAACCGCTTAGACTTCTGTCCAGTGTTTTTCGAGAAGGACCTTTCCGAAAAACCTCACCTCTCCCGACCTCCGACTGACGCCCAAAATCCACGGCTAAGGCAGGCGCTCTCCTCGCTACCTGGTAACTATGGCCATACACTTGACTGGACAAAGGCAGCTGTAGACCCGTTGTTTGCGGTTCAAGAACTTTTTACCTTCCACGCCGCATCGGAATTGCAATACGTAAATATGCTAGAACAATTTGCCACGGATCAAATCAGTCGGGCCGAGTCAAATCTGGCAGGAACAGACATGAGTTCGATTCTGCACTTCGACTACGCAAGAAGCATACTCATCAGGCATGGGGCGCACATTCAAAACCTCCTCGGCTCTCTCGACACGTGCCTGAAGGGTTGGAAGCATCGAGCAACTCAAACTCATTGTTGCGATGAAGAACTCATGTCAACACTCCGGGTTGACCTCAATTACCTTTCGACTCGTATTCAGAATGTTATCACGCTCTGCGAAGCAGGACGGTCCGCAATCATGAGCAATGCCTCCATCCAAGAGGCGAAACGTTCCAACGAACAAGCCGTCCTTGTCACGAGTTTGACAAAGGCAACGAATCGTTTGACTTTTATATTCTTGCCAATCTCATTTCTTACATCAGTCTTTGGAATGAACTTCCGGCAGCTGGGACAAGGAACATTGTCCATCTGGCTGTGGGTAGCCATCGCGCTTCCTTTACTAGCTTGTTGTATCGTCCTAGTGGAGAGCGGAGGCCACCTAAAGACCATTTTGTGGCGTGGTCTTAGATGCTTGAGCGGGCAAAGCTGAGAGGTTTGTTGTATGATTGAATTAGTACTTAATGTTGACCTCAAACATGATACACGTACTATTGTAGCTAGTCAGCAGTAGGGTCATGATTGGGCCCCCGCGCCGTAGTACGGCTGTTGTTAGAAGTAAGGTATTTAGTTCGTATTAGGTTCGATTCTGGAGAAGTGGGTTTGCTTGATAGAGCGAGGCACCAATTGGTATTTCTGTTCGGCTTTCAAAATCTCTCATTGAATTTCATTTTAAGTTATTGGCGCTGGTTACGAAATGGTGTTGCGGTGCTTTTTATTTTCTACCGATTCTAGAATGAGTAAAAGAGATCTAGGACTCAGGATTTCATACATAGATCAACTGTAGAGTAAGTAGAACTCTGTATCCCAAATTTGAATTATGTGCCCTTGAACTATGTGATGGTGGGTTTATAGGGATCTGAAGGTACCTTAATTGACAGGTGTGTGTGCGATATTCTCAGCGCTGGTGGCGCCAAGGATTGCGGAGCGTTGTGCACACGCTAAATCGTCCTGGGAATACTCCAATGCAATTCAAACACGTCCACACATTCTAGTACAGATGCAGTCTATAGCTGCGAGGAGCAAAAGCTTGACTAACACTGGATTTCCTCGCCATCACAAACATGAGATTTTTGTTGATGCCAAACGCAAATATAAGTGGTACATTGGCTAGTCTCGAAGAAGGAAGGTGGCACGGCAGATTGAAATCGCGCAGAGAGCCGAACCCTAAGTTCATGCGAACCAAAATCTGTCCTCGAGTCCTCCAAGACACCGAACGGTCCATCTAGGCATTTGATTGCTGCAATTCTCCCTTGATCCCTTCCAATCCACTTATCGCTAACCCATCCCCACCATCTCAATCCCTCCTCCCCCCCCAACCTACGAACAATCGCAACGATGCGTCCAGTCCCTCCCCCTCCTATCCCTCCTCCTCCTCCCCCCTCGCCCTCAGCGCAGAGGTCACAACCGAATACACCATCACCCACCCATGCACCCGCAAGACCCAGCGCGGTGACAGCATCGCCGTCCACTACCGCGGTACGCTCGCCGCCGACGGCACCGAGTTCGACGCCAGCTACAACCGGGGCAAGCCGTTGGACTTTACCGTCGGCAAGGGGCAGGTCATCAAGGGGTGGGATGAGGGTCTGTTGGGTATGTGCATTGGTGATAAGAGGACGTTGACGATCCCGCCGGAGTTTGGCTACGGGGAGAGGGCCATGGGGCCTATTCCGGCGGGGAGCACGCTCGGTAAGTCCGTTCGGGTTGGGTGGGGGGTTGTAAGGGGCTGATGTGTTTTGGGTAGTTTTTGAGACGGAATTGGTGGGGATTGAGGGGGTGACGAAGGATGAGCTGTGAGTGTTGGGTTGGAAGCAAGATGGATGGGGTATGGCATCGGAGGCGGGTATGTTTCGATCCACCGTCAATGTCATTCATGGGTATGCGGAGGAACACGTAGGCTATATATCTGCGGCTGGATTCTTGGTCTGCTAGAGTCCAAAAGGAGAATGCTTCTTCGCGCCTGTTTACCTCCCTCGTGTCTTATTAGACTGGAAAATGGGGGGATGGAATGAAACGTGTCACTGTCCATGTCCAACCATAACCCGCGCCATCGATGGACGCCCAGGACCTGCCCAGTATTTTGAGATTGTGCACGTGAGAAACAGCCTATGTGGGATGTGTGCATTCAACAGTAATATCCATCAAGGCGGGAACAAAACAATCAGGTCTAGCACGTGGCCGTTTGAGAAACCACTCCGTCCAGACCTTGACTTTAACACTGCTTCAAACGAAGACAGTGAAAGGTTACGGATTTCCGACTATGGACCTGGCTTGGTTCAAATCATGGGCTGGCAATGGGACGAAGAGACCAAGAGGGATATCATGTTATGCTAAGGACGGGGAAGTACATGTCGTTCAATCGGGAGACAGAAGGTCATCGATACACGGGAATGAGGCTTATACTGGCTAAGAGCGAGGAGAGCCTCTCGGAAGATTTCACTGTTGGGCCTCCCTCTGCCGCTATCTGTTTGGGATCTCCAAGCGGGAATTTCAGGCTTTCGGAGAGTACGGGGCAACTTTTTTCATGTCATAGGTTTGTGAAGGCAAACGCCGAGTCGTAGTTGTCATCATCGTAGATTGGGCCGCCTACAGACTTCTCTATTGAATGTGGCCCTGGTTATCTATTCGGAAAATACTAATCCATGCAAGACTAATGACCCACCTTCGAGGACAGAGATGTGCTGAGCCGCGGATATTCTTGAATACAATATAATTGGCGAGTTGATGACAGCCAGTTATGATTTAGATCGTGGAGACCTCATGGTTTGGGCGTGAATACTTTTGCCTCAGCAGGCGGTCAGGACCAAATATCACAGCCCCTTTCTCGGGAGCCACAACCGTTTGCCTGTTGGCGGGTCTCTTCAGTGGCCAAGGAACGTCCGAGCTTTTCTCCAAAGGTCGAAGTTACCAATCTACAAACACCGATGTACCTAGCTGGGTCCGCTGCAGCGGAATAACATGTTGTATCATTTGCGCCCTTGACAAACACCACTATACGGAATGGGAGGCCGAGCGAGCAATTGAGCGAAGCATAGTCGAGAAGCCATGTAGGGCAATACCAGTACTCTAGGGGGTCCTCGTATGTGGTCCTATGAGAAATCTGTGCTAGGCTTTGCATGACTTGGAATGGAAGCTCCGCTCCTTTTTCGTGCTGGGATTGGCATCCGTAGGCTAAAATAGGGCTGGCGAACAGTAGAAGCCAACGTCGCTCGCTGTTTTGAACCAATCGAGGACCATCGAAAGCGTCAATCTTAGAGTCGAAACCGCCCCTATGGCTACATTCGACTGGATACGGACATTGTCGCAGACAGCTACCGTTGATATAAGATACTTTTACCGTCTATTCTATTGAATAGCCTGGCAATTTTCGTTCAAATCAGGCACGACGCGCCGTGTCCCAATTTTCCCGAGAACATTTTCTCGGCGATGATGGGCACCACTCACTTACGAGTACGACAGATGCCATTCATGGATATCTAAATTTTAAACGTTCGTGTCTGCGTTTGTTTGTGGGGTTTTGGATATGGACCAGGAAAATTGAAGTCGCACTCATTCATCTCACTGGTAAGGTACTGTTGACCCAAGTCCCAGTGGCATCAGCGTTCTGAATGATGTCGCCGCTTACTGTTTGGTAGAAAATATTCAACTCCCAAGGAAAAGTGCCTGGTGTTGCTTGCCACATTGCTACGAGCGCGCTTCCCGCCTGTGGCATATGTAAGCCGGTCACAGCTGGTGCGGGGTGGGCTTCCGATGGAGGCAAGAGACTACCATCTGAGGACGAGACGGACGAGCACATCATTTCGTTCGAGGTCTGTTGAAAGCACAAAATGCCTCCGGTGGCCGGGGGTCCGCAGAAGCTCAAAGCTGTACTCGCCGGTACATCATAATAGGTCTCGCTGGGATCTGTCAACACAGTGAGCACGGATCCTAATCGGAGATAGCTATAACCCACCTTCTATCCAATTATCGTACGATGCATTCTGAGTGGCGTCATGGGTGGTATTGAAATTATTGGACCAGATTTGAAACTCATTGTTCTTGTCGAATACATAAAGATTGCCCAATCCTGAGTCGTCCGACCAACCAGACGCAATCCCAGCGTTGCCATTGGTGCCGGGAATGACGGAGTGTGAGAAGTATTGTGAGCTGATATTCGGGAACAAAGCAAGCTCATGGACCTTGTTGTCGGGCGCCCCATAGTATAAACGAATCCCTGGGCTGTTTCCGTCTTGGCCGAGCCAGTGGTCACTGTAGAAGGCTGTCAGGGCTGTGGATGAAACTGATGCCGTGAAGTTGTAACGGCCAAGAGAACCGAGCTGCCAAGTTGCGAGGTCGTCAGTACTGAATAACTCTTGCAACGTGTTATTGACATCGATATAATACAGGTGAGACTAATGGGTCGTCAACTATGAATCGTATACACTTAGTGTGAGGTCAATCTTACATTCAACTCCCCATTACTAGCCGGGTAGGTGAGAGTCGTCAGCGGTGTGGTATTTCTTGCGTTTGAGGCAACAATGGGGAAGCCACCGACAAATGGTGAAAGCTCGATGCTGTGTAGCCGGCGAATCCGGGCATCGTAGTCTTGATAGAAAAGACTGACATCAGGTACGTCAGTGAGATCCAAAGCTATAAATGCTAGGCCAGTTCCATTAAAAGCTCCGGAGGTGGGCAATTCGTCCTGGACCCGAGCGGTAGATTTTGAGTTGGCGGGTGAGCTCCTATGGAAAGGTTGAGATAATTAGCTGTGTCCGCAAGAATAAAGGTCTCCGACATACGGCTTGAAAGGCTTTTTCAGCCGTAGTGCCAAAGGTATAGCAAGTGCCAATACTATGACAGCTACTATGATCGCAGCCACGAGTAAAGGTAGAAAGCGTTTTGGTTTCATGGATGAAGGGCTCCCGGATGGGATCTCGAGGTCGGAAGAGCCAGCTGGCCGCAGCTGAGCTGTCGTTACTTTATCATGCGCAAGCTCTTTCTCTGGGGCTTTCACCGGTTGAGGTGTAGAAGTTGGATGAAATTCTCCTGGTGTAGCTTCGATCCCTAGCGAATCCGGTAGCTCATGAGGTCTAGCTGCGCTCAGATCAACTTCCATCCCCTCACATGAAGTGACAGTCCTTCCGTGTCCGAGATTCGTCAATGCCATATGAATGTGTATCTTTGCAGGGTTCTAAACAGTAAATTTGAAAGCAATAATGGCAAACGGCATTCCTGTCACAGATACTATAAGACTCGCGTTGATTATCTTCAGCCGCCTGGACTTTGTTGAGCAAGGCAGACTTACGGAGTATTATTATCTTACTGATGCACGAAGAGCCATAAATAGCGTAAGCCGCCCTCATCCGGCCCTTTTTCACACTCTTGAGGGCTGAGCTCGCCGAAGCGGATCGCTGATTCATATTCCTTCAAGCATCTCGAAATTCGGAGTATTGCTCTACTCCGCTGGTCACATTAAAGACTGAATCACTTTGAGACAGAGCTAAGTCGGACCACACTAGACTCAGCAGAGCCTGAGATTTGAGAAGATGGAACGCCAGTATCTTCAAGCATGGCCAAGTGCCAACCAAGCAACCCCATCTGGCGTTTTGGCCGCATCAGAGCAGCCGCTCCGGCAGATTACCTTTTCACATGTAACTTTCATGCATAGCAACAGCATGAAGGACCAAGGATCGAGACACACGTGGTAGTCACTGCAGATCAGATAACGAATTTCCTTTGAGCGCGAATGCGACCCTTTCCCGCGCCCAATCGCTGGCGTCGCTGCCTGGCTGCCTCGGCTGCGACGTGCTCACTTCCTCCGTGTCCAGCCAGAGGCATTTAGTCAAAGAAAACATCTTCTACCATAGAGCGATTGAAGCTCTTGGCTCAGTATCTTACCACTCCGTTGATATGGTCGCAAGGCCTTGGTACAAAAGGTGCGCGTAGCTCCTAGGGTATCAGCATATGCAGCTTACCCTACCGAGGTACTTGGGATCTTGTCGAATCTTCAGGCAGTTACACATGTATCGAGGCGCATAAGTAGCATAAAGTGCCATATCTGTCCACTAGATTAATCCGATCAACTTACGTCGCCTCTATTCGCGATCTTGTGATTCATCAGTATCCATGATGCATTGCCTCAGGCTCAACCTTGTACCTCATTCCCTTGTCACCCATCAGACTCTCAATTTCCGGTGTCCCGGTGGCCAAATTCCCACCCTCAGAATGCCTCCGCGCGCCCTAACCGGGGATGCGTGGTGTCAACTCCTTCCGGCACCCCTATCAAATCACCTTTCCTCGTCAACGGCACAGAACTGGCTCCTCCACTCCAGTGGCCCTGCCCTGCCTCCTCATACGCCAGTCTCTGAAGCTGTAATTTCCCATCGAGCGTCCATTGCAAACCCTTGTATTCCTTCCATTTCAACCATTTGCGGAGAAGTCCTATAGCAGTCGGCAATACTAGGCTGGTGAAAATGAGCGCCGCACCGAGAATCAAGATAATCGCAACACCCAGTACGGAGAATGAGATCGTTCCGCCGGAGCTCCTGACGATCTGATTCTTGCACATCTTCTCCTGTTGTTCCACGGGCCTACTCAGGGTCATTCCGTCAGGTATGTAACCGGGCCCTGTAGCGTATTCAATAACTCGTTGCTGTAGCTTGGCCATGGAGACGGAAAACCAGGTGCTGACTTCTGTCATCCATTGATTGTTTGGGAGGGGAATTTGATCGAGATTATTCACAGTTTCGGAAGCCCGCAAGGCGCTGGCTCCACGTGAATTAACGCTGAAGTAGGTTGTAAGAAATTGAGTGATGAGGTCAAGTCGTAATGCAGTCACCATTTGAGCCTGGTTGAGGCTGATCTTGTTTTCGAATAAGGACTTGTGCGCCAGGACCAACGAGGTCAAGGGTGTGCATTGCTTGTTCGTTGGGTTACAGTATTGGTGTTGGTCAGTGCAAGCGAGAGCGTTGACCCACTGATCTGATGTGTAATACGTGTAATTTGTAGTACCGCCATCGATAGATAGGTTAAATGGAGTAGTGGCAGCGTAGAATGGATCTGTGACGGGCGCCTCGTAGCGGACAGAATTTGGGGCGAGTAGAAAGAGGGATACGTCAGCGTCGGTGCGATTGAGGGCATCGACAGGATACCATGCATTAGAAGCCGCCCCTGCAAGGTAGGCGAGAGATCTAGGTTTAGACTGTCAGTCAGGATTCTAGATCGTTCCACAGTGGGAGAGCTCACGTGAGCTGGTAGCTGTTACTTCCCACTATATTATGGGTGTCGTATTGGTATGTATAATTGGAGATTGAAAGAACAGAACCGTAGTCAAACTGCTGGAGTGTATCACCGTATGCGAGATCACTTGGATTGGTGTCATTGACTTCTGTTACATAGCCCCTGGTGTGGATAGGGGAGCCTAGTAGCTCTCCGTATCAGTACTTCTTGTTTGGGATAGAGGCACAAGTCGTGAGACAACCTGCACGACTCAATCTGCTCCCAGAACGTAGCTGTCGACACAACACAGGGTAGGAGTTCGGCATGAAAGGATCAGGGGGTAGCTTACACGTTGTGACTTTGCGATATTGGATCCGCTCAAATTTTGGTGCGTTTATTCCGAGTGCTTGATGTGAATCAATGTGGCCCGTGTCCATCTCATAAGCAGACGATGCGCCGTAAAAGCATAGGTCAGGTGCAAAGGGACATGTGGCATTTTGGTTGACTTTCCAAGGCAGCTGCTGTTGAGGATATTGCGCGCATTGCAAAAGACTCTGCGAACTTCCATAGCAGGCCCGTGAGTAGGTGGTGGCCGCAAAGGTGTCATTAACGTCTACATCATTAAAGGCAGCTGAATGCTGGCTAACGGCGTTTCCAGAGAAGTTGAGAAATCCGCAATCGGAAGATCTAATCAACGTCTCATTTCCGGCTGCTTTGGTGACTTCCGAGGAGAACACGCCAGCAACGCCTGCATAAATTTGGAAGTTAGCTTTGCTTTATTAAGGCGACGACCACAGTGAAGAGACACGCCTAGAGAGTAAGATCGGCCTCTTACTGCCCCGATATGTCTTGCACCGCAGGCTGAGTATCAGATGGGAACGATTCTCTCAGCAATGTACGTACCAAACAGAACAAAATTGAGGAGAGCGAGAGCTACTAGCGGTAAAGTTCGTACTAAAGGTCTGAGTGCATGCTTTCTCCAGTACCAGACCAATGAAACAAGCTCAGCAGACGCCCCAAACGGACTTCCTGTATTCTGGAGTATGGCTTGCTGTTGATGATGAATGCCGTCTTGAGGGTCGCGCGGGCTGCGGTGCTGGTGCAACGCAAAACTCATGATTTTCCAGCAAGCGGCACCGGCACCTGTGACAAATATGCCGAGGAATGCGGTCAGTAGTTCGCCATCGCGCTCACTGAGGGTTATGGTTGAGCCAAGGACGAGTCCATGAGACCAATTGATCCATGGACCTGTATGCACAAAAGGTGCAGCTGTTTGTGACATGATGGAAGTACGACGAGCTCGTAGCAGAGATCAGAGGAATCGCTGACTTGGAGTAGCATATGCAGGTGGGAATACCAAATATTTATATTGAGGCAGAATGATGGAGGAAGGAAGGCGGAGGAAAAGAGAATCTAGCCTGACTGAAGACTTGCCTACCTGAGCGCTCTGCAGACCACCCATCTCTTTCAGCTCCGTACAATTACATATCCAATGCCAGATCTAGAACCCTGGACCGAACTCGCGAGTCAAGCAGTACTTTCATGCACTCTGCAGATTGACTGTAACCTTAAGACGGGGAAGTTGCATTGGTGTGGTGGTGTGCTGTACTAAAAAAGGCACCTTTTCTCAAAACGGAAAAGTGAAGCGAACATGATCAAGTCCGCATCTTCGTTACCAGTACCGTCCTTTCCAAACCCTCCACCCACCGCGAGGTAGAGACGGACAAAGACAGAAGACTGAAGGTATCTACATGCTTCAGGACAATAATGGCATATTATCAAGTAATAAGTCAGTAGTAATAAGCAGCAGCAGAAGTTCAGAATATCATCTAGGTAATTTGCCGTCAAGAGTCAAGACACGACTCCCGACCTTGACGGACGACCGTCCATTTCGACCCCTCACCGGTGTGGCGTCAATGCCAAGGATGCTAATATACCGCACCAATCAGAGACGCGCATAGCCGAGACCTCAATTTCAGCCCCCTGTGCCCCTCTAAAGGTTGTAGGCCCTCTCAAATTGCTGGATGTTGACTTCACTCCCCTCAGCCTTGTCCATTGACTCATTATCCATCCTTACATGAATCCATCCCATCATCTCTACACAGAAAGTCATCTCTACCAGAGCAATGAGTTGCTATGTTCCATCCCTTTATGTCATCCATGGCCTTTGGGAACGAGGAAGTTTGACGAGAGTTGATCCAAGGATGGCCCCTCGACCGATGTGACATGTGTACACCTACACCGCTGGCTTGCAGTCAAGCATGGAAAGCAATAGAAAGGGAACTACATGCGCAAGGCTGATTATTCTCAGCCGCTCTCATCGGACCTGTGTGATTTGTTCAAGCAAGCCAATTCAGCCAGCAACACCCCTCCCTCTCCATATGGGGGCCACGACCTTTTCTCCTTTCGGTCTCTGACTCCATTTCCTCTCTCTTGGCCACATAGCCTTGTGCACCATGTGAAGCTATATGTAAAAGCCCGTGCCCACAATGACATTCCTGTATCATTGCTGTCGTTGCCGATTGAGATTGTCCCATCGTCGCTCATTTGCGCGCTGTCAGGTCCGAAGTTGTTCAATATGCAAATCTACACCAACGACAAGACCTCTCCCAGGTCATTCCCGTGGCTCTGGTACCTGCGTCTGGTTGCCCTCGTCGTCACATTGATCGTGCTCGGCATCACAGCGTCAAATACTGCAACCTTTCTCGACATAGGATGCAATGCACCGGGTAGAGTCAGCTACAATCTCGCCGTCGTATGTCCATGTCCACATCCATCGGCAGGACGTCCGCTGACCTTGATTCCAAGTCGATCCTCTCCCTCATCGCTCTCGTCTACTTCATCCTCGCTTCGGGCCCATCCCGCACCACCAGGCTTCTTCCATGGTTCATATGGGGTCAGCTAGCCCTCGATGCCCTCATGTTCATCTTCTGGCTCTCCGCCGCCGCGACCTCGAGCTATAGCTGCACCGACTTATGCAACGCTTGCGGCATTCTCGATGGATATGTCCTCTTCGACTCCGAGTCCTGCGAGTGCTCCGACTTTTTCTACAAACGAGACTATTCTCCGAGGCGAGGGAACGTGCTGCAGCCGAGGAGGAGTCATTCAAGCAGTCCCAGCTCAGGCTCAACTGTGGGTGGAACGATAGCCGCGAAGCAGGCTTTTGATGCCATCATGACGTATGTAAAACACTCCCTAGACTTGATTTCAACCAGACATCTGACCATTAGACAGGGTTCTCTTCGCCCTGTTCATAGCTGCTGATATTTTCTGGGTCCTCAAATCGCGCAGATCTGGCACCGCTACAGCACCCGCTCCCACAATCGGCGCGCCAATGAAAAATGAAGACGCTGGTATGTCCGCAGGGGGAGGCGGAGCGCCAACATATACCCAGGAGCCCGGCTCCCAGTACAACTATCCAATGGCCCCCCAGGGCGGCTACACGGGCCAGCCAATGCAGAACCAGGCCGGGTCACCCCAGCAGTCGATGCCCCAGGAAGCATACTCTGGAGGCCACTATCCTCAAGGTCAACCTCAATATCCAAGCCAAACCTCATATCCTCAGGGCCAGCAGGTCCCATTGCAGACGTATCCTTCGCCACAAGGAGAGTACCCACCGCAATACGGGGGCTCGGCTCCACAGCAAGCGAGCTATCCTGAGCCCCGAGATGGCGTCTCGGAGATGCACTCGCCTACGGAACCGCCAAAGATGAATGATCCGTATCATATCTGAAAATATACTATGTGGTACATGGATGGGTCGCCGGAGGCATCATAGGTTGAGGTCAGGCTTGGAAGGGTAATGATTGGAACGGAGTATAATGTCGTCGACTCCGATTGGATGGGATAGGGCTCGTTTGAACATGTCGTTTTTTTTGTGATTTACATCGTCAAATTCTAATAAAAGATCCATGCCTAGGGCTATCCTGTTTGTAAACGGAGTAGGTCCATTTGCAAGTGATACTATTAACCTCCGGTACAGACACGGTCATCCGAGTCTCTTGTCCGTCAATATGTTTCTCACTTAGCTGGTCTCTTCCGTTTGTCCTTTCTCCACTCCCACCCGACGACAATCTTCCCCCTCCCCGGCCTCGACACAGCCGCCAGCCTCGCTCCCACAACCCCCTCCGGCAGCATCTCCACCGTCGCTTTCCGCAACCCCGCAGCCCACCACCACATTTCCAACTCAGTCCTCTCGTCCTTAAACAAAAGATCCGAACAACAACACACGCTCGGAGAGGCCAGGTCGGCAAACGCTCGTTCGCATCGCAGCGGTCTTTTCGATCCCCGCGCCGGGCTGTGTGCGCGGCGAAGGTCTTGCAAGGCGCGCGAGAGACGAATGCCTCGTCGTGCCGCCTACGTTGTCTGTCGACGCGGGTCGTTCGGACGCACGGCTTCGATGTTCGGAGATCAGGTCGCCGATGGGGGTTTGCGGCGCGTCTGCGATCCGGGGGTCGGAAGGCGCGGGTTGGGGAATTTGCTCGAGGGGGGGGGGGTTGGAATGGAGGGATGGTGGGGTTTCGGAGCGTTGCGGCCGTGCGGGATGGTGGGGGGGTCGTGGTGGCGTGGCTCGCGGGCGGGGGCGAAGCCGGTGCCGTCGCGGGCGCCGGTTATGAGGGCTCAGGGGGGAGGAAGAAGGTGGGGAGGTGGAAGATGGCGTAGGATGTTGTGGCGAGTTCGGGGGCCGGAGAGGCGCGTCGAGAATCATGGTTTTTGCTTGGTAGGAGGATGTATATGTACACGGCATGGCTGTCGGTGCTTCATGGGATGCTCGTCCTGCAGGTGCATTTTGAGATGGAGAACACCGTTGACGGAGATCTTGATGTGGGTAGAGTGCCAAGTACTGATGATCGAGTAAACACCGACGGTGATGTCCAGGACTGCTGCCGTCGGCGAATCGCCGTGTATCGATGATGATATTGCAAGGATTTATACAGTGAACACTCTCGTATCTTGGATTTTGTGGTCTGGATAGATCTCGATATGGCTTGGTCCCTGTCTGGCGGCGCAGCGGGGAAACCTTGGAGGAAATCTCATGTAGGCGGAACCCTCCCGAGGAGGACTTTTCGCTTGCAGCAGGGAACGACACCTTTGAAAGGGCCTTGATAGGAGTATGTAAGCACAAGAGTCATTGAGGGTGCGCAAAGATCCCTATGGGTTTGTTGTGATAAGATACAAGATACCTAGCATCTTGGGAGGTGAGATATCGAGATGCATGTGGTATCTCCAGGAGATGAGTTGAATGATGCCCATGGTACCATTTCCTTCAGGGTTGTCGCACGTCGTTGGAAGTGAACAATTCCATCAAATTCTCATCAGTGGTGCCAAATCTCATCAAGGTGATGGTACCGCCTGTTTAGAGCGCTCCGTGTTCGCTTTCATCGTTGTCGTTGTTCTTGGCCACCATTTCCAAATTTCTGCGAAACCATCAATTTTGTTCCAATTACAACAGTCTCATTTGATTACGGGTCCTCTCTGTTCATCTTGTTGAATAGTGAAGACTTGAAACGTCTGTCGTATGTGCTGCGCGTTGGAGTCCCTGGGGGGCTCAGACTCGTATTCTGGAATGAGGCCTCGTGTCGATCAAAATCAACCAATCATAGCCGTGGTCTCTTAGCAGCGTCATGTTAGTTTCGACACTTGGTTTCGGAATCAGTATGCGCGGTTCCATATAACATCAATCGCTCGCCATTCACCTTCTGCGTCTAACCCGTCGGTACGCACCTACGAACCTTCAATCTCTTCGTGTGAGTAAGGAACACCGATTTCGCACTTCAATCGTTTATGAGATCCTCCCCAGACCGACCCAAATATGCAATATCTAGCACTTCTCTGCCTCGTAGCCGTCAGCGCTTCGACACCCATCATTGGACCTATTGGACCTATTGAACCTATTGGACCTATTGAACCTATTGGACCTATTGAACCTATTGAACCTATTGATCCCATCCATCCACGCATCGAAATCTTCCTCCCGGGCTGGCCCACCTGCCCCGACCATTGCTTCCTCGCCGTCCCAGACAAAAGCCTGTCCAATGGCCAAGAGCCAGTGCCAGTGTGCTTCGACGAACCGGCTCACGGTACACCATGCAACTACTACTATTGTTGTGGCAAGCCGGTAAGTTCAGCCGTGCTGGTCTCGAGAACGCAGACTGAGAGTATCCTTTCTAGGTCACGTGCGGCGTTCAAAAGAAGGTCTGCGAGGCCGGGACTTTCTCTACTAGCCTTTGGGTACCAGCGCCGCCGATGACTGGGCCTGTGCCCCAATGACGGACGATTGGGTATGGGATATGTGAGAGGATGGGCTGGAGCGTTGATGGTTATTGAGAGGCGCAATGTATGACTGCCCTCTTGATAGACTTAGGCATGGCTCGAATCCTGCCGCCAGGTCTTTTTTTAGTTGGGTCGGCACAGTCGCTCTTGAGCGCAGTTATATTGTTTCATAAAAAGCCACAATTACTTGTATCGCTTTATAACCCGGTTCCAAAGCAAAGTGATTGGTATGACCGAGCTATATCAGGCCGAAGCATACATACGGAGACGGGCACCAGAGAGCCGCTTGAGGTCTAAGATTGGTACGTTAGTCGTGATACGGAAATGGAACACCTTTGGAGGCAGTGTGTAAAGGGACGTATCTGTCTGCTTCTCAAGCTTCAACAGCGTGCCTGGTGGCATGTTTCTAGTGTGCTCTGGGACAGTGTAGACTGAGTCTGCAGAGACAGAGGTATGAGCCCGGTTCGGCTTCTCGAATTTGTGTGCGTTGATGTTATTGTGAGATAAATGAGCCAAGGTTTGGTCTCTCTCAAAGTCTGTTGGACATGTCTTCCCTTCCCTTGACATGTCCTGGTTTTTATTGCGCCGAGGCTGGTAGTCGAGCATTGCGCCAAGGCAGACAGTGAGCGACATGAGGAGAGTCAAGAGGTTTATAGCTTACACGATTACTTGACTCGTATCAGGTGGTTTAATACTTAAGTTCTCAATTGCCGCTATCGTTTTCGCCCTGGACTTGACAAGGAAAGCGAGTCAGTAGTATAGAAAAATGCCTCAACTACTCCAAGTAGTACCCGATTTAAAGCTGCGAAAACAACGATGCTTGTATAGTACTCCGGATCCACACAATGAAGATCTCATGATAAGAAGCTACAGAAATGCGACATTCTTCGGCTCTATACGAGCATTCAAACCCGCGTACTATCTACAAAGCAAAAGCTCAATCTTTGCATTGAATTTCACAGCCCCTGCAGAAGACATCACTGGATCTTGTACACAGCGCTAGTGCTTGCAGCCCGATTCGTCACACTAACACTGCCCCTTGGCCATCCTCAACTGGGCTCCCAACACGGGTTGTATATATTGGGACCTGCATCAGGACCAGGATTCCAGGTCGAACAGTCGCAGGTGTATGGGCTCTTGCTGCCATCAAGTTGACAACAAGGACCTGAGACGGCTAAGGCAGGCGCGCAGACGCCATCGTTGGCTTGCATGATGTGCGCGTTCGGTGTCAATTTGCCGTTATTCATGGTACATTGGCTTGTCTCGAATTCTCCGTTGACTGGGTTGTTGCCGTTGGCGGCGTTGACGTAGCTCGGGGGGTAAGAGCGAATGATGAGTGGGATGGTCTTTATTGGTACGTGGGAATAGAAGAGCTTACGCTGTTGGGCAGGGTTCTGAAGGTAGGTAAATGCTGGTCCCGCAGGTATGTCCAAGCTGCATTTCTGTTTCGTCACCTTTAAAATATGTCGCTTAAATATAGAAATTTTTCTTGAACACGCGGTAGAACCTTCGGGTCCGATGCTGTATATGGTTCGCCCGAGTACTAGTTACTGACCTTGGCTTCTACTGACACAATGCTACATGAGGTAACAACTGGAGCGAGGGCGCCGTAGAGGATGGAACTGGTGGCGGCGTGGTCTGAGGGGGTGGCGGAGGCGGGGCACCTGAGCTTGTTCCAATAGTCAAGGATGTGCTCTTGCATGTTGGTGGGGTCGTGACGGTAGGGGCATCACCGTTACCGTTACACGGTTCATAGTGATTTACGGTCCCGCATGTCGAGTCTGTTTTCGACACTGATGGTAAGATCCTGGTGAGCAAAGTCACCTGTGTATCATGAGGTGGAAGTCGGATTGCTTCTTTGACAGGGATTTCGATGATGTAGAATGTGTTGGCAGGTGCTTCGAGGCTTAAAACATTTACATACTACAATTTCGGGCCCGACAGGTTCGACGGGCGTCATGGTTGGACAAGAACCGTCAGGGTTCGCTGTATAAGTCTGGTCTTCTGTAGTGATCGTCTCAATTCCATCAAAGATTGTCACGATCAAAGGCGTCAAAAACGTCCATGAGCACACACTGGCCGACATTTAATCCCAAGTCCTAAGCGGGGTGACATTGGACAGCATTCATGGAACGTACCAGTAGGGTGATGGACATGAAGCTGGGTTATTCCTATTTCCACAAAAGGATTGTTAATTTCCAAGCTGTAAAATCGAGGACGAAACTGGGGCTGCGATAGTAGAGAGTGTCGCACGCTGGGGAACAGTTGACGATAGTCTCGGCAACAGCAGCTTCGATTCCTTGTACTATCTCCTAAACCTGAGGTCGGGCAAGGCATTCAAAAACAAGGTATGCCGTGACTAGGAATGCACTTTAAACGCAATGCATGTTGTATGGTGGAAGACTCCAACAAAGAAGATGTAAAGGGAGGAGTAGAAGGTTGACAAAACAATCAAGACCAGACCTTCCGCACTTCATTGTATTCACTCACCTGGGGACCCCTTGTTTTCCGGATATCAGCGTCAACATCAATCTGTAACAATCTGACCGCGTCCTTGGAATTTGCATCGGTCGTTGCAGGGATTTCTCGGCCAACCATACTTTAGACAAGAACAAGGTTACTGGGAAGTCCATCGAGACCTCTTGAGACGACCGCGCCAATGTCGTGCAAGCTTGAAAGGAGCTCCACTCGAAAAGATCATTGTACTTCAAACACCATTACAACGTGGAAGATTAGTTAGACCTATACTCGTAATATATCGTTCATAAGGAAGCAGAAACGACGATAGCCCATGAACGCGGAGATTAGATAGGGTGAGCAGACATTCGGAAGATGAATAGTGAATCCAGCAGGATTGACTGTCTTTTCATTGATGGGCAGCCTAGCTGTAATCGTAGTCCGACTATTCGCTCCGCTCATAGTAGTCCTCAACTCAAAGACGCACTAGTCTTAAAGACGCGAAAATCTATTATTCCTTCCTAATTCTATATAGATCTCGATCTATAACTTAAATCTTAATAAATATATCTTAATATATATATATTAGCTTTTATAGATTATAATTCAGCTTTCGAATATAAGCCTTAATAACCTTATTAATCTTTTCTTATTAAATTTCCTCAGCTCGAGTAGCTCGCTTTAGAGTCTTTCTATCTTTTCTATAGCTATTTCTTTTATTATAGTTAGAGATTTACGTATTTAATCTATTAACATTTATTCTTTCTTCTAAATAATCGTCTTTAAAAGTATCTTATATATTCGCTTAACTACGGCCTCTTTATAAATAGTCTTAATATCTCGCTTAATAATTTATCTCGAGTAGTTATTAGTAATAGATTCTTTTTATAAATCGAGTTAATAACTATTATATATTTTTTAGAATAATAAAAGTCTAAGTAGTAAGTAATTCTTTAAATTATTAATCGTATTTAATAACGTCTTCGACTTTATAGAGGATTCTAATAAGTATAAGAGATATAGACTCGTCTAAAGTTATAGCGCGAGGTGCTAGATTTCTAATTTTTTAAGTACTACTTTAGAGTTATAGGATATAAAATTAATCTTTTAAAAGGCTAAATATATAGTACTAGGCGTAAAGATTTAGATTTTTATTTAATTAAATACTACGAGAAAGTCGAGTTTATTAAAATCGCTACTTTTAAGACGTATAGTCGAATCTATAGTCTTCGTATAGTAATATTCAAATAATTAAAAGTATCTTATATCTAATAGCTATATAATATATATAAAATACGAGAAAAGTATAAATAAGTCGATCTTTAATTATTAGATAAATATATAAAATTCGTAGATATAATAAGATCCGAAGTCGTCTAGAATTAAGACCCTCTATTCTCTTACTTAATAACGATAAGAAAATATATTAAAATATAGTAGCTAGTTATATATTAGTCGATTATTTAAATATCTAATAGATAAAACTGTTACGAGCGTACCCTTGACACACCACTCAGCCCTATGGCTAGCGGGCCTTGGCGGAGGCATCCCCTACCATATCATGCCTCCTTCCCACCTACATAGTTCGGTAGCCTTATTATCCTAGTTCTACCTCACCCATACTGGTATCGCACCTATGCTGGTCCTGACATTATAATAAGGCTCCTTCGTATACCCGGCGAAGAGAAACGCAATCGGACACACTCCATTCGAATTAGCGGACGAATTCAAAGAAATGCGCTGGCAGGGGCTTTGTCAAGACGCCTTAAATGGATGAGACATCGTATCCCTGGGTAAGCCCACCAGACGGGTAACTCGATTTCATAGCGGATCGGACTCGGCAAACAGTGGTCGAGAGATAAACAAGGCATTGGACCATTCGTACGACTAGCGAATCGAAAGAAATAGCCAACACCCCCACACTCACAGTGAGCCTGCTACAATGGCAGCAAACGTTCGACCTCTTCACTGAGCATGTCGACAACACACTCATAGTGAGCCTGCTATAATGGCGACGGGAACAGCCCCGAAATGGCTACGATTCGACCTCTTCACTGAGCATGTCGACAACACACATAGTGAAGCCTGCTACCAAATGGCATTCAACACATTCAATTCTTTCCCTACCTACCTACCAAACCTACGAATCGACAAAGACAAAGGATGGAATGGAGGATGGACTTGATGGCAAGAGCATGGGAGACACAGGGCAAATCTACAGTGAAGCTCCCAGGCCAGGCTGCCAACAGGTGTTGGAGGATAACACATGCATGCGTTGGATTTTCTTCAGTTCTACCGATGGGATTGATGGCAAGAGCATGGGAGACGCAGGGCAAATCTACAGTGAAGCTCCCAGGCCAGGCTGCCAGTAGGTGTTGAAGGCGAAAAAAGTGGAGGACTATGGCAAGCAGACTGGGCAAGGGGAAGAATTCGGAGAATCTTGCTGGCACGCAGGCAAGATATGGCCAATATCTCCAGGATCTCTGAAGGACATGGCAGGCATGGCAGGCATGGAACAGTCAAGACCAGCATGCGATCCGGCAAAACCTCGGACATGGTGTTTTTGAACGAATTGAAACCATCCGATGTTTGACTGCTACACCTTGGCAAATCCTCTCCGGTCGAGTCCTGCAGGGACTATGGATGTTTGGAGACACAGGGCAAGCAATGGGCGTGCATCTCCGGTCTACCAGCCATGGGGGCCATGGCTATTGAGAGGGGGGTAGTGTTACGAGAAATGCGCTGGCAGGGGCTTTGGCAAGAAACCAAGTTGAGCCATCGTATCCCTGGGTAAGCCCACCAGACGGGTAACTCGATTTCATAGCGAATCGGACTCGGCAAACAGTGGTCGAGAGATAAACAAGGCATTGGACCATTCGTACGACTAGCGAATCGAAAGAAATAGCCAACACCCCCACACTCACAGTGAGCCTGCTACAATGGCAGCAAACGTACGACCTCTTTACTGAGCATGTCGACAACACATAGTGAGCCTGCTACAATGGCGACGGGAACAGCCCCGAAACGACTACGATTCGACCTCTTCACTGAGCATGTCGGCAACACACATAGTGAGCCTGCTACCAAATGGCATTCACCACATTCAATTCTTTCCCTACCTCCCTACAGACCTACGAATCGACAAGTGCGTTGAGACAAAGGATGGAATGGAGGATGGATTTTTGATGGCAAGAGTATGGGAGACACAGGGAAAATCTACAGTGAAGCTCCCAGGCCAGGCTGCCAACTGGTGTTGAGGGGTTTCATAACACATGCATGCGTTGGATTTTCTTCAATTCTATCGAAGGACTATGGCAAGAAGACTGGACAAGGAGAAGAACTCGGAGAATCTTGCTGGCACGCAGGCAAGATATGGTCAATATCTCCAGGATCTCTGAAGGACAATGTGGGCATGGCAGGCATGGATGGCACAGTCAAGACCAGCATGCGATCCGGCAAAACCTCGGACATGGTGTTTTTGAACGAATTAACCATCCGATGTTGACTGCTACCGCTACACCTCGGCAAATCTTCTCCAGTCAAGGCCTGCAGGGACTATGGATGTTTGGAGACACAGGGCAAGCAATGGGCGTGCATCTCCGGTCTACCAGCCATGGGGGCCATGGCTATTTGAGAGGGGGGTAGTGTTACGAGCGTACCCTTGACACACCACTCAGCCCTATGGCTAGCGGGCCTTGGCGGAGGCATCCCCTACCATATCATGCCTCCTTCCCACCTACATAGTTCGGTAGCCTTATTATCCTAGTTCTACCTCACCCATACTGGTATCGCACCTATGCTGGTCCTGACAAAAACAACTAATATAGTATTCGAAGATAAGTTATTTTTATTTCATTTATATAGAATATAGATATCTTTTAGAATTATAAATAGAGGTATACTTTAGTCTACGACGTTAATATATTTCACGAATATAATATAATTACGATTATCTAAATCTACGAATTATAAAGACTTACTTTTATCTAAAGTAATAATATAATAAATAATTTCACAGTTAATTCGAAAGTTAGTCTCATCTATATTTTAAATATTCTAATATTATATACTCTTCTCTTTATAGCCTTATCGAAATTTCTTATACGCTATATATATACTCTTAATATTATATATATTCTTACACTTAGTACTAAGAGATTTTTATTTTTATTTATAATATTTAAGATATTATTTTATAAATTATATAATCTAATTTTTATCGAGTAATTTAAGAGAATAATGCGAATTTAAAGTAATTTTTAGAATATACTTAATAGTATTTTAAATATAATTTAATTAAAATAAATACTCGATATTATTTAAACGATTAATATAGTTATATAGCGATTATTCTTAAGTTATAGTAAGACGTATATAAGTAGATATTCGAGTACTTCTGAAGCTTATCCCCGAAGCTATCTTTACACCCGTCGCGGTTTAAGATTATAATACTCTACGGCCGCTATAGCGCTATGAAAATAACTATTTTTATACTTATTAATAGTCTTCTAGACGAGTTCCTCTTACTTAGAATAAGATAAAGATATAATGTGATAAAATAATAATAGATTATAATATAGGGTATCAAATCGCGAAAAACGCGTCTTTGAGACTAGTGCGTCTTTGAGTTGCGGACTACTATGAGCGGAGCGAATAGTCGGACTACGATTACTATCTCCACGTGATGCGAGCTCGATAAGGTTCGTAGCGAGCTCGCAGAACCGGCAATTCGGTGCGAGTTGCCTCCAAAATCACAGAAGATCGGTTTCTTAGTCGGGACGAACCCTAACCCTAAGCTACAATCGCTTCGTTCCTGGAAAATGGGTAAAGTTTGATTGAATTTGGTGGAAAATATGCTGCTCTACCGCTGCTATGCCGTCCGTCAACTCGCAGAAAGAGGCTTGCTACTGATGTCCTTAATCTATGCCAGGAAGCCATGACGCAAATCGCTCGCTGTACTTGTATCGTAAAGAAAACAATGATGGGCGTGAGCCGGAGAAGTGTAATGTAATGATCCACCAACGCCTGCTGTCACGGGCTAGAGCTTCAAGCGCGAGCCACGATCATGAAAGGATAAAATGCCAACAGCCAGACTCAGACACCATATTCTCACCCGTGCTATCGGTAATAAGATGAATTCGTGTAGTACCTCTGATCCTTATCCTTTGTCTGGCATGACAGAGACTTCTTCTGGGGCTGACCGTGGTCGAGGAAGCTCTGAGGATAGTAACGCTCGTCTGTTGTCTTAGACCTCCCATCGTCTCGCGAAGAGGAGCCATGGCTGATCGAAAGAGGTACCTTGTCCGAATTCGAAGACCGGCCAGATTGACTGCTTGACGACTTGCCCGAGGATGCGGAGCGCGGTTCACTCAAGGTTGTGGCGTACCTTGGCTCGAGGTACCTGTCGTCGTATCTTACGGAGTCATAGGGGGCGCGTTGTTTAGAATCTGTGGAAACTGATTAGGGACAGTGCTGCGACGTCGGGTGGGAGATACACACCAGACTGGCATGACAGAGGAATTTTGCCTGAAGAGTAAGATGAGGTCGAGCGGCTTGATTGGTTTGAGCGAGACATCGTCGATGTCGCTGATAAAAGCTAGGTCTTGTATGTCTTGGGTATGATGCTGAGCAGAGTGGATCGTTGTTGGGTCGTTTGGCTAGGATTCTTTGGCGGTGACGGACAGACAAGAAGGTGTCGCTGCTATTGGGTCCAATTGAAGTGTCTGAAGATACGCAATGGATGTGAAGTGCTAGATTTGAAGAGTAGTGGCAGTATTTGGTCTCTGGGGTTATTAAGACGAGCGCAGAGAGGAAACAGCACGTGAGAAGGCCCAAGAGGATGGCTTCGTAAAAGGATTAAATGCAATTGGTTTATATTTTGAGTCGTATGGAGAAGTTGCACACTCAATCGACTGATGCAGGTACAAATTGAGAAGAGAAATTCTACTGAAGAAAATTGGTTTCTTATACCAGCACGCCTCATAGCCGGGGCAGTATGAGCAATCTTCAGGAGTCGTCAGCGGAGCCGCATCGGATCACATGCTGCCTAATTGGCATGGTGAAAGCACCACTACGGCCCTTGTAACATCAGAGCAAGGCACCCGTCCCAAAGCGGTTAAGCGCGAGGCAGCAATCTACTAAGACTGACCGGCGAAAATAAAGGACAAGAGTCACTTGGAAAATGATCGAGAAACAGGGGCTTAAGAGTCATTTCGACGGTCGGCTGTGTCCGATATAATTCGAGTATTGGATGTGGTTGGGTACTTGCAGAAGGGGTTCGTTGAACGCTTATCGGCGCCTCCGCCCCTGCAAGGCACAGTGTTCGCAGGAATTCATTGAGGCTTCTGATTTGACCGATTGACTCAATCAGGGTCTTCCTGCAGCCTAGCTAGGGAAGGAAGAAGCGTCTTGGTGCAGGCAGATTTTCTAGTCGAGAACTGAGCGGCTGTTGACCATTCAGATGCCCAGCCACGCGCCGCAGTCGATGAAACGAAGGATGGGAAAAGAGGCTATACTGGGAAACACGTTTGCTGTGCGCTCACTCAGCCCATGGTTCAGCAGGATAAGAAGGCAAGTAGGCGATGGTGAACTAGAGAATGAAGAGTGAAAGCTGAAGAGGCGGAGTTGTGCGCTACGCCAAGACTTGTCCCGAGGCGGATCGTTGACTCCTCATTCTCGAGTCTTGATGATGACTCTTTATGCGCGGTTGAAACGAATGCATGTTTCCGCATCATGTCTTATTCATAGCATTCGGAGGCTTTTCATGCATACCATCTTGCGTCTTACAATCATTACTACATCTCACGATGCGACAGTCAGCTGATGGTGTCCTGGCTCGAGTAGCGTAGTTCGCGTAGGACTCCAATCAGAAGAGCCCAATCATGTAATAAAAACACAAGCTTTTCCGGGGGCCATAGACTCCGCTGATGCTGTAATTCCACAAAAGAAACCAGCAACCCCAAAGTTTGAGACTTCTCTACTCTACGAGTATACTCCCATCTTGAAAAATTTTACATGTTGAGGAATGACACCCCCCAAGATTACGGATACGAATACCCCATAGTAGTATACTTTACAGAGTATGCTATTTTCGTCGGAGCCTCCTTATGCAACTAACTAGGCATAGGTGCAACCAAAATCTTCGTTTCAGCATTCATGCCTCATCAATGTTCCATCGTTGCGTAAATGGTGTAGCAGTAGCACGACAGGGTTGCACGAACACTGTGCCGCGCGACCATGATAAGACCATGTGCAAGAATAGATCGTTTATTTTCTAGCCGTATCAAGATACCAATCCACATCATCACTCACTCACTTCGAGTATTCTCAGTCCAATGTATAATTTCCAAGTTTCCTGTGCGCAATCGGTTCCATCACTAGTATCTTTCTGATATGATTCGGTCAGTCCTGAAGTTCCATGCATCTGCTTCCTGTGCGTTGTTTCATGATCTTTTCATGTCCATTTTTTTGGCATGTATGCCCAAAACTTTTCCCAAGATAGGTCCCGTGGACCAAGGTGCTATCAATTTCCAAGGGTTGCCCCTTTTCGAAATAATCGTAAAGGTTGTAACGCGGACGTCGCCCTAGCGAGGCACACTACCCACGTTGTTCACGTTGCCCAAGAATACGACCAACACGGCGCAATAACTGCCGCACCACAGTTTAGTCGATTGCGGGACAAAAAAACACGCATGCCTCGCAGCTACAAGTTATGCCCTGGCAACGATCAGGGCGGGGGTACTCACCCTGCGGATGCGGCCACGATCTCATGCCGTCTCGCCTTCGTGAAGCCCGTGAGGGCAGCAGAGAACACAAGGGTAAAGACAAGGACTACGCCGATAGTATCCGGACTTGTGGCAATTGTTCCCTGAATGGAGAATCTGTAGAGGAGCCAAATCGGCACCACGAGGAGAGCCAAGACTATGGTGGTGATCATCATCGTCACGCAAGTCGAGATTCTATCGCGGTCGTAGTAGTGGATATCTTTGTCGTCGGTCTTGTCTCTTGTCTCCTTTCGAGGGACTGTCAGACAGCGAAATGCGGGCATAGGAGAGTAGATTTGGAAATAGTACTGACTTTAGGGCAGAAGAAAAACTGTCAAGGATTGTCAACACTTCATCGACATAAGATCTCTGAGACTTGGACTTACCTTGATAAGCCTACACCGCAGCACCTTCAACGTCCGCTCAAGCAGTCCATCGAGCCAAGCATACTCCCTGCCCGGTCTCAAAGTAATTAGATCTTCTTTCTCATATATAAATCCCATATCCTCTTCAAAAAGCTGACCTCCATCATTCTCCATGAAGTGTAAGACGCTCCGATAGTCTCGATTCGACGGCCTATCCATTGCCTTGAGCTTTTGAGCTTTGAGCAGTAATTCCGCTACGTCACAGTCACCCAGAAGCCCCTTTATAGTCCCGACGACGCAGGTACTGACCATACTCAAGCGCGACCTTCTCCATCCTCTCCAACAGCTTTACCCTCGATTGCCCCTTCCACACCTCAGGAATCTCTTCTCTCTCAACATCGAAAGGTCTCGACATAAGATAGCTTTCATTGCCATCAGCGTGATCTGTTTGGTCCATGGCGAGAAGTGTAGCTTCCATCCTGCTCATCTCGTCCTGTTTAGACAGCAAGAGGCGGGAATATACCGAGCCGAAGCGCCGGTATACCATGAAGGCATCGTCGCTGTCGAGGAAGCAGGAGATTTTCGGGAAACCCCTTGGGTAATCTTGCACTAGGAATGGTCATTTGAGGCGAATTTGGGTATTTATGGCGACTCACGTTTTCGGACTTTGGGCTTCGACATGCTTTGGCAAGCGGGGTCTTTCCATGGCAGTTGGCCTGATGCGACGAGCTGAATCGCGGTCAAGATCTTAGACTTGACTAGTGCGATTTAGTATCTCTCCCCAAAAGTTTGGTTGCTAATATCTACAGCGAGTATAAGAACCAGTTCTTTCCGCAAGCGTAGCATTTTTTTCTGTGCTCTCGGTGGGGCTTTCCTTGAAAGTGGAATCTGAGAAAGATGAAGAGACTGGTAAGCCTTTCTCCAATTGGCTTGCCTAGCAGCATCAGATGTCATTTTTTATATATAAGATGATTGAAGGGTAGTTCAATAATTCTCTCCTGGGTTCTTCAACGTTATATATATTCATCGATTTCGTGAGCTAACTAATCGAAAGATGACACGGCCATAACATCGTCGATTGTTCCAAGCCCTGTAACGCCCGGCCGAACATGAACGACATAATCTGTGCTCCTTGGAATCAAGCACCTCTCAGACGTCTTGCAGTTCGCCATCTCCATTCAGCCTAGCTTCGTTTCCTCAGTCTCGCCTGCGACTCGCTCATTCTTCCAATCTTTTGAGCGTGTACATCCATGAGTGACGCACGTTATCGTATCTCGCGCTCACGATAGATACTTCGTACTCATGGATGCCTTGGGCGTTCTGTTTCCACAACTTCTTGCCATATTTGAACTTCCTTGGACGCTGCGGCTTCATGTCAGACCTCACCGCCAACTATAAGTTTCAGTTTTTTAATTTTGTACTCACCCTACAACAGGTCTTTGGCCCACATCTGCCCTGCTATCCGGCTTGTGGGGTTGCAATTCATCGGCATCTGGTGCATTGGAACACGGGTTTCGATGATCGCTCTAGGCTATGTTCAGTGCAGGTCAACCAACAGTGGAGGCTTGAGATAGAGCTTACGGAGCCTTGGGAACTTTTTTTTTTAAAAAGGGGGGTTTGAAAAAAAAAAAAAAAAAAAAAAAAAAAAAAACCCCCCAAAAAAAAAAAAAAAAAAAAAAATATTTTAAAAAAAAACAAAAAAAAAATTCTGCTTTGCTAGTGATCTTTCTTATCAGAAACCAATAAAATTAGGCGTTTTCGTTCAATTCGGTCCAATGAATCGTGCAGATTGAGATGCAGGGAAGCTCTTTAGGGTGCCCCGCGTGACCGGGTGATTGGCAATTGGAGATCCACTAGATATGTATTGTCAGCACATTCCCCAAATCCGAAGACCCTGCACCAAGTCAACCAATGTTCGTGGTTCCACCTGCTTGGGACAGATTATGTGCTCAGTTACGGCAGACTCGACTCCAAAGACGCCTTTGTAAGCACACCATTTCGCTCGTTGCACGATTTTTACTATCGGAAAGTGGAGGCTAAGTGCCTTTCCGCCATGAAACACTTTCCGCCATGAAACATCGTCGAACCTTCACGAAGACAGGGTTTAAACATGTAACACGGCCGCCCTTCACCTCTCTGAAAGCATCCATAGCACACGACTGATGCTGATGTCGACCGGTACGGCACACACTATACGTCCATATGGCAATGGCACAGCCTTGTCCCATGCAAGGCATTTTATTGAAAGGAAGGCGCACGGTGCAGAGAATCTAGATGATAAATGAGCCAACAGCAGCTCTGTCTTACATAGTACCCCCATTAGCTTGGCTACTATCTCTACTCTCACTGGTTGTCCGAATATGGACGATAATACCAGATCTCCGCTGACGAAGAGCCCTACGATCAACATACCACCAGAACCTTCCACTGTCAATTACGAAGCCCAGGATAAGAAGGATGACTCTGACTACCAAGCTCTCTAGGGATGGACAAGAGGAAATATGTCTTATACGATATTGAAGTTTTACTCTTGTGTTGGGCGGAGAGTAGTGACGATTTGGCGATGAAAGAGGAAGTATCCAAACTCAAGGGCACTTTTGAAACCCGCTTCAATTATTCGCCACAGTAAGATTCGGGGTTATTGGGTCGCATGATATGCCCCTGTTTCAGGGCCAGGTCGGTACCCCTGCAAGGCGTAGAAGACAGGTGTCCAGTACGAGCTATATAGCCACCTGTTTCGCACCTGTCAATAGCTCTTCATTCGATTTCGTCTCTTTCAGAACTATTATATATTTTTTATTCTACCCACCCATACCTATATATAGCTAGCTATTATTTCACTCTAGCTCTATACTATAGACATATATCGAGCGGAAACCGCAGGTGCAGGTCAACACCATAGTAGCTGCTTTCATCGGCGCTCACGATGGACCAACCACCTTGCTCATAGTATACTATGCCGGTCATGGTAAACCTGGCAGCTACTATGGCAGTCTGGTATTACAAGGGTAAGTTCAACCTAGCTATCCTACTGCTTGGTTGCTAATACCCCCAGGCAAACTTCGGAGAATGATCAACGGCAGCGCTTAGACTTGCTCGAGTGGAATAAGACCGAGCAGCTTTTGGACGATGCTGACGCAGACGTCTTAGAGATCTTTGACTGGTAATCTCCTCTTGCTCGTGGAGGGGACGCTGCTGACATTTCATCGAAGCTGCTACGCAGGGAACTTGGGTCTCACCAGAGGGCAACCCAGGTCAGTCGGATTAGCCAAGCTTTCACGAGTATAACTTCCGGCTGATAAGATCTAGATTGTTCGAATACCTGGCAGCGACCAAAGAGATGGCCACGACACAAGTTCCTGGTGAAGACTCATTTACGTCAGCCCTTATATACGCACTAGAAGCTTTGGTCGAGGAGAAAGGCATGTCCACAACGGTGGAACTCCTCAGAAAGATTAAGTCCCATGCGCCCAACTTCCCTAGTGATCAGATTCCCGTGCTCTCCGATCGAAGAGACGATGCCCAAGCTGGTCGCATCATGCTTCATCCACTCCACAGAAATCAAGAAGATGGCTCACGAACCGCTATATCATCGGAAGAAACTTCCAATCTAGATGCTCTCAAACGCCACACCGTGACTTTGCATTCTGATTTCGCCAAAAAACCTCCATCTACAGACATTGAGATTCTCGGCCGCCATTTGAATCAAATTTTTGAGAGGTCCACCCTTGGTGTAAATCGAGTGCGGTGGGGGGGTATGAAACGATCAGCGGCTGCCCGTGCTGTTGGAAGCTTTCAGGCTGGTTTGCAACGATCTCGTCGCGCGAGCATGAAACAGTGGCCGATTTTTGCTACGAGTACGATAGTCCTGAAGACCTTGCAATAGTATACTATGGTGGACACGCATATGAAACGGCACCAAGCTGCGTTGGATCTGGCCACTGCTGAATCGTGGTTAGCTGGGAAGAGTTCCGAGCTGCTGACGCCATCTTCGTCAGGTCGGGACTCACCGCAGGCGCTGGAGCTTGCAGCAACAGGGAGCGTGGGCGTCAACCCTCCGGTTGTCAGCGCCATATCATTCCCAAATTCATCGAGCTCAAATGAGGAGAGCGACGACGGCCACATCTTAGTCCGCAGAGTCCGAAACAAGAAGCAGAAGTCCGATACGGATGGAGAAGAGGCTTCCCGAACGACACATAGACTTTCCGTCGGAAGTCATTGCTTTACCGTTGGCAGCCCACAGAGCTCGTCAGCTTTCAGCGCCTTCTAGTGTTGACAAAATAGGATTGGCGCCTGGATATTTGTGTAGAAGACAATCAACGCAAGCTGTTTTAGGGTTCCACAGTTCCGATACGCGCTGCAAGAGACGAAAGGACACATTTTCGTAATATTGATGGAATGCTTGTGGAGAGGCGCTCATGTTGCTGTTTGAAGGTTTTCTTTCGTAGGTTTAGCGGGCATCTTGCGGGTCTGTGACGACGTCGTACTCATTCCCTCTCATCTCGAGTCGAGCATTCTCCTCTACATTTGCCGTTGGCCTGATCAGGCCGGTTTTTGTGCAGGGCTCATTTGTACGTAATTCATTCAAGTTTTCATCGGCGTCCACTTCCCACGGGTAGAATTTTCTCATAATGTAACTTGGAGCAAGGATTCCCGCATGGTCATTTGATCTGTGCTACCAAGGACTAGAAATGAAGTCGACGGATGATGACTTTCAGGTCTAATCTCATGCCATGGGGCATCACAGTATAGCAACTCCCGACTGGCACCATGATGCACCTGTATGCCACTTTCGCCATTGTTACGACGAATTAGGGTACTTTGAAGTTTAATGGTGATTCTGGATGTACTTGATGCTTGATCATGTACATAGACAGAAACAGCGGGAGGGGCTGCACTCTCAATTGGACTTCAGTATGGTCAGCAAGTAGCAGAATGTTAGTCTCAAGAGCTTCAGATAGTGCTCTCGTCATTGGAATGAGGGACTTTCTTTCTCCACACCTGATCATAGAGACTAATTGTTGTTCCTTCGATTTAGAGGTGTAGAAATGTAGTACTCTACTAAGAAACAATTGTTTGGATATTGCCTCAGTCCCTCAGTCCCTCAGACGTGCCAAGATCGCTAAGCCCCTTTAGGTTAGTCCGCTGACTTCGCAGTCTTCGGGTGACACCTAAAATCCGAGACTTCAGTAAGTCGTTCTTTCACAACAGTAAAATATTGAGAATCCAAATTATAGAACGTAGAATAAGATCTCTAGGGTTTCAAGAATCTTTTAAGTCGGAGTTATTTATTGATGACTGGGTGAGTTTTCGGGAGAATATCCCCTCTCCCCAGATTTTCGGATTTAAGACCGTGCATTATCAAGCAGCGGGCATTACCGGGTATATACTTCTTAGTAACCCAAAGGGGCTTAGCGATCTTGGCACGTCTGAGGGAACTACCTCCGGGCCCAATTTTATTAACAGACTGCACACTGATTCACAAAGAATACTCCAGCACTTATGACTGCGAGAAGAAACTTACTGATGTGCCTTTCAAGTCTTGAAAATATCTCGGCCCTGAGGGATATGGGCTATATAAGCTATGGGAGCCCTGTACTCTGGCCCTGCCGAGGGGTAAGAGTGGTACAAATTGCTTTAACGCTTAGTCTGAAAGTTGTGTCTCAAATACAGTGATCTTGTGGTCATGCTTCAATGTATGCTGGTTTCTATCATGCCTTATCTCTTCCTGTTTCTTTACTTAGCCTTGATGCTTCTGTTGCTGCGGAACCCATGCATTGGCATCGGAACCACGCTTGATGTCCTTCCTAGCGGTCTATCTAGACAGCTAGTCCTGCCGGCGAGGGTCGAAAGGAGAGATCTCTGGCCAAAGTCCTGTTAACGGAATGTCACTTATCCCAGTACCATCAGCTTACCTATCAGCGAGGGGACCAATGCTAGTATCCTGGTGGCGTGACACGTATGTATCCGTTCCCTAAATCCGTCTAGGAAAAGCTTCCTGGAATATCTGCGCACAGAGCTCATCTCTCACACAACCTGCCCTCACCAATGCCCCACGTCCGAGCATTCCTCATAACCGCCGAGTCAAGGACGGCTCTGTTATCGCACAAGGTGCAATGGTCGAATTGCCTGTCGCAGATGAGGACGTCGAGGTCAACAATGCCGCTCAGACTGGAGCCGAGCGCCTGTACCACCTCTGCAAAAAGTAAGACTAAAAGTTGCGCGAGGTACGGTCATGAGCGGATTGTTCGAGAGAGGCTTGCCTTTGTCTATACCACTTCTATAAGGCATCAATCCCGGTATCCACTTGATCACCGGCTCTATAGTCACGGCTCCTGTAGTCGGGATGTCTAAACGTTGGCACAAGCGGAGTCCGAGAGCCTGTTCTGATACGGAAGGCTTCATTCTGACGAGCACGTGGCGGAGTGGTTGCCGGGCCCCCCTACACAGCGGAACATAATCGGAACGGCGGTCTCGCTCGATGGACCAGCTAGGACGGTCTCCTCGCCAAGATATGTAGAGGTAGGACGAGCAGGGCCGATGAACGCGGAAGGGATCTTTGGTATGTCGACGTGGTTAGCGGCCACATCCATGACAAAGTGGTGGAGATCGCCAAGATCTGGACGTGGATGCTGTCCGGAGCTGAATGCTGTGCTAGAAGATACCATCATTGGTTGGATGGAGGAAAACGACTGGGGTAAGATTTTAGGGACGTTGGGTAGGTGAATGTGCAAAAGGTATAGATATTTGCGTGAAAGAGGTGGTAGGAGCAAGAACCGTGTTAGGGCCGAATCACGCGGCGAAAATGGCCACAAGATGCTCGGAGTCACAACCAAGCAAGACATTCCAGCAAGTTCCGACATTCTCCTTGATACTCTACAGCACTTACACATTGGACTGAGTCTCTATCCAACCTATCTAGAAGGGCATTTTTCCCTATATTTGGGAACGAGTATTCATGAGAGGAAGGGAGAGGTGCGACAAATCAAGCAAGCGTGCCGCACCTAGCGGGAATATCATTGCACCAATCTTCATAAATCACATCCACGCTTCCTTGATCTCATTTTCAGCAGGTAATCACACAAGACGCAGGATCATGACTCCATCTCCGAGTGTTACCGCCAAGAGGCATACACTCCCTGCAGGACGTAAGTCTGCGAAGGGAGGTGTTTGTTCTTGCCGGAATCTAACATCCGCGACAGATGCTATGAACACTGCGAGGCACCAGACCGAGGCTACCTCGAGCGAATCTCATGAGGACTTAGACTCCTCATCTCACCCTCCCAGCAACCAAACACCACAAGCCTCAGGTTCTGTGGTGCCGCCGAGTGGTCATACTCCAGCCAGAAGATTCCATCCGGATCACCCTGGCTTTCTACATGTAGGCCAGCGTCGTTCTGACTGGACAGACGTCTGGCTGTCAACTCCGCCTAGGGGCCCTTCGTTCCAGCAAGTATTTCGCGACCATAAACTCGCGCATGTCTCGGAAGAGGGACTGGAATTTGACTGGCTCGATGGATTCAATGCCAACAATTATCCAGGAACCACTACCGCTGAGCAAAAAGAGGCACGGCGTCTACACCTGAATGATATCCCATGTGCCAATCGCGTCAAGACTACACCAAATCAATCACGTGCATCGGCAGATCCAAATCCGCTGAGGGAAAGCGCGAAGTCTTCGTATGATGGGCACGGGTCGATGGATAGAGCGCCAACGAGCTCGCAAGTTCCTATTCAGACTTTATTGGTTGTTTCTGCAAACAACTGATCAGATTATGTCTCAATTTACGTCTGTCTTAAGGCGGGTTGGACTATCTCAGACCTCTTCGAGTCACTGCTCGACTATTGCAAAAGTCGAGGTCAGCCAGCCGAAAATGCGACTACAATAGAAGCTAGGTTTCTTTGGAACAATGAAGCGCAGCTCTTGAGGAAGACAAACCAGAGGAAATGGTTATCTTCTGGGAGGCTTTACGAAGAGCTTGGGAACAAAAAAGGAGTTAGTTCCTGGCGAATGGGTGCGAGATCGAGATGATACTTCGTGTGGAAGAGGCTACATAGATCGGCACTGACTTCTCGTGCCGGTAAAGGAGGGTGGTACTACGCGAGAAGGCCAATTGCTGCATCAATGGCCAATCATCATGCTTGACCTTCTCCGTGTGCTACGAGGTCGGTTGATTGACTTGTATTCCAACCAGCATGCATGCATCAAAACTAGGGGATGCATAGAATTGTAATCTTGCTTCCTCATTCGAAGTCTTGTTCTTGAATGAGTGCTCACGCAGGAACAACAACACTTTCATGTATGGCTCTCCGTTAAAGTCAACTCGATCAAGCCATTTCAAAGTATCTTGTAAGATCTTACAATGACAACTGAGGTTTGATAGATGCACCGTAGAGCTAGGACACCAACCAGAATGCGGCAAGCAGGAAGGGTGGAATCAATCTGGCGGCTTTCTCCAGTTTATATTGCACGGAGGGCTATCTAAAGTCAGCAAGGTCCGAGTCAAATTACAAGCCGTTGCTCCAAAAGTATCTTCATTGTCCACCACTGCTAAAGCACAGCATTATAGTGTTGTAAGCTCTTGCATTACCAAAAAAGCCCTGGCGTCGATTCACTCGATCCATTGACTAGAACCCACATGTTTGTCCCAAGCCATTTCATGCCCAAACATCCAATCCTGTCCCTAGCATCCGCCCCTCCAGTCTCTTCGCCTCCATCCTTCTACTCCCCAACAAGAGGCCTTCACGTCAAAATCGACCGCAACAGGCACTCACGCAGCAACAGCGACAGGATTCACAACCTCTTGAACCACAAAGACCCTAGGCCCGCACTCACGAAAGCAGGGAAGCCAAAAGCCCATCAACAATCGCTCCACAAGGACGAGACCGGCCACTTTTATATTATACATAGCGCAGTTACTCCTCCATGGCTTAAAACCCCTGAAGTCCAAACAAGCAGCCACGAAGAAAGCGTTATTGGCAGCTCTGCAATGGGTAGCAGGCTTGACGGTGCCAGAGACCATCCTCAAGATCGAAAGAGATCTAGCAGCTGAACGGCTGCAGAGAAGAAGCATCAGAAGCAGGAACCGCTTCGAGAGGGGACAAAAGCGTAAGAAAGAACGAAGCGCCAGAGGGACGGATGAGGACGACTTGCTGGCCGACGTCCAAGCTCATTACCAAAGAGGAGTCCAAATCGATCAAGGTACGACTCCCGGGGTATCGTTGCTCGGTAGAGTACTCGTACCCCGTAAAGAAATCGCCATGCTCATAACGTCCCCGCCACAGGTTTCAAAGCGCCTAGACATCAGCGATCTATCAGGGGCCTTCCACATCGCCGCACCGGCCTTCTCAAGCGACTGGGATTGCTTAAGGCCCAAATCCCGCCTTCTTTTCGACATCAGAGCACGTCTGGGGTGCCTTTGACTTCGGCGCCTTTGAAGCGAAATCAATTGCGCTTTTCATCGACTGTCACGCCTGCAAATAAATCTGATGTGGGCTTCGTCTGGCGCGGATGGTGAGGATGAGACGGAAGATGATTCTGATACGGGCAATGAGAATGGCGATGATGATGATGATGAAGAGGAAGAGGAAGAGTCCGAAGAGGAAGAGAACCAATGAGACGAGACGGACGGGTAGGACTGGGAGGAGATGATGGAATAAGGGAGATTGGGATGCTCTCGTTGTTCTATGTATGACACAAGCACTTCAAGCAATCCAAAGACTCCGAGCCAAAGCCCGAATGTCCAGCAACAAAATTGTAAAGACTAATTTCGAAATGATACCGGAGGTCGCCGCCTGATCTGCGCGCGTGCTGAAGCCGATAAATGTCGCAGCAATGGGTATCGTGAACTCCTTCGAATGCAATGCTTCAACCGGGAAACCCTGCGATCCAACCGAACGCGCTGAATGCTTCTCGCTTTACAATGCCTATCCAAGCCGCCGTCTGCGTACACTGAATGCATCTTTGCTGGCCTGTCCCAATTTCCACCAGCCACTGTTCCCTTTTCCTTTTCCCTTTTCCTTTTTTCCTTTTCCTTTTCCTTTCCTTTTCCTTTCCTTTTCCTTTCCTTTCCCTTTTCCTTTTCCTTTTTCTTTCCTTTCCCCTTCCCCTTGCTCGTCCCCTTTCTCTTTTCTCCCTTTTCCTTTCCCTTCTCTGTACCCATTTACTCCTTGTTCCATTTACCCTCTTTTCTCCCCGAGACTTCTTTCATCAGGGACTGAAATCGAATAGTGGAGTGTCTGCGTTCGGCTTCTGACGTACTAGTACAAGATTCTCCTTATTTCAAAAACCTAAGATATCTTCCCCCAATCCTAGATCTTTTTGCACAGCCCAACCTCAATTGACCTCTTTCCATTACGCCAGGAACCGATACTTCGAGAAGCCTTTTGCAGTGCAAAACCTCCTGCATGCGGCTTTGATGGTACAACAATGCTTTTTGTTTCCAAAACCAGGGGCGTTCTCCTCCAGTCTTGACATCTTGCTGTTTTGAAGGTGCAGCAATCCTCCTCGGCTGCAAGATCAGTCGCGTACTTCTCCGCTCCTGACATCCTGTTGTTCCTCCTCTTGCTCCTCGTCATGTAAACTCTCGATCCATGACAGCAATCACCCTAGCGCTTCGATCCATTCATCTTTGGTACTGAGAAGCCATGACTCCCGCCTGCCGACCATCCATTCATGCTTCTGCGTACTCCTAGAGTCTTTCTTGGCGCCACCTCTGTCTGTAGTCGCGCAATGCTCGTGGTGTGAAACGTCCTGGAGGGCACAATATCGGTGTGCCGGGGTGCTACCTCGCTGTCTTCCACCCTGCTTATCATTTTGGGGGGCGATTGGTGTTCACATTGATTTTCTGCTGCTTCCACGAGCTCTTCAATGTGCGGTGGTGAGCTAGACAGGAAGACATAGGGTTTCTTCCTTAGAGGCTCTTCTTCGTGGATGAGAGGGCGCGGTCGATTTGTATTCGAGAGGGGTTGCAGTCGGTGAGTTGCTAATGCTTCAGGTAACGGTAAGTTGGGTGTCCTTGATGTTGGGCCCAAACGGCCGACCAAGACCTGATTCGTAGTGGCTGTGGGACCTGTGACTGTCACGTTACCAGAAGTATGATTGCGGCCTGCAACTAGGTTTCCCAGTGTTCCTTCCGCGAGTTGATCGGATGGTGTGCTTCTCCCGTGCTTTCCCGCCTTCATTCCAAAGAAGCTCATCAGATTGCCTTGACCTCCCCCTTGTGCGAAGCTAGATTTGCTGTTCAATTTCGCTTCTTCCTTGCGTACTTTCGATGGCTTTGCACCTCGATTTGGCATAGTGTCCATCTTCTTATGTTCGTCGACATGTTGTAATTGCGTCGCTGCTGAGATGAAGCCCGTGTTATAAGAAAAGGTTGAGCTACTCTGCATTGTGGTTGTACTGCCAATATGTCCCGCCACAGGTGGGTTCGCGCAGGCTGTCATCCCTTCAACAACACTGCGTTCGCTGTCCTGCATCCTCCTTCGCTTGTATGGATGCTCGGAGGATTCGTTGGAGTCCCATTTGCTCCGTCTAGCGCCGGTCGCCTTGACCTCTTCTTCCCCAGTGAGAGGCCATAGATTATCGTGCACGCTTTTTAGTGTCTCACAAGCCTCAGAGATTTGGGCTTGAGTTGGACTGTCCCTTCTTAGTATTCGCGCAATGTCATTGACAGTGCTGCTGTTTATTGTTGGGCCCTGGCTAACCAGGAGATTGGTCACCGGCTTGGTTGAAAGGAACGGTGACATGGCCGTTTCTTCCCTTTGAGAGTTCTTCATTGGACAGCTGATGTAGAGCAAAGCTTGGGCTCGGGTCATTGCAACGTACAATAGCCTCCGTTCCTCGTCCGTATCTTCTGCTCTTGAATGCGGTATGCAACCCTCGTACGCGGATGGCACGAAGACCACGGGCCACTCTAGGCCTTTCGCAGCGTGTATAGTGGAGATGGTGACCTGTGACTGCAGTGCTCCTTTCCCTTCCGTGTCTTCCTCCTCTTTCTGAAGCTCCGATGCGAGCGCAACGTTGGCTAGAAACTTGGCCAATGCTTCTTCTGCTGCATTACCTCGCTGTTGTTCCAAGCCTTCAATGTTGGGGAGGTCATCGTCTTCTTTCCACTCGTTTGCATCGCAGACCGTAAATTCGGATGCTTGCGCAGTAAGCTCTTCGACATTCGCCCAACGAGCTTCAGAATCATCCGGATGGCTCTTTTGCAGGTAATTTTGGAAGTCGAGCTTCTCGATTATGTACCCCAAAATGGTCTTAGGCGAGTCAGGATTACTCGTATCCAAGATCTTGTTTCTGGAGGTCAGGATGAGGTTGACAAAGGAGCCCAGTCCTTGCTTCGCTGCTTTAGACAAGTTTGTCCTGGTAGTGTTTTGTGTAGAATTTCGAAGCAGTGTCCAAAGGGCCAATTTTCGGGTCTCCGCCTCTTCTAGCAGCGCTTTCACGGTCGTTGCACCTAAGCCACGTGCAGGTGTGTTGATGATGCGAGAAATGGCATCGTTGTTGTTCGGCTGACTGACCACCCTTAAGTAGTCGAGGAGAATCTTGACTTCTAGACGATCGAAGAACTTCTTGCCTCCTACCATACGATAGGGTATTCCAGCTCTGCCCATGGCTGATTCGACCTGGCGTGATAGTGAAGCAGTGCGAAGAAGTATAGCGAAGTCCGAGTATGCGAGAAGACGACCAGTCAGTCCAGCCATCCTTTGTAATTCGAAGACGATCCACAAAGCCTCAATCTCAGCGGTTGGTAGTCTTCGCAGCACGGGCATAGTGCCGGGGCAGTGCGTGGGCAGTAGAGATTTGGCAGGTCGCGACGTGTCTTGCTGTATTACTTCGTCCGCTGCCAAAAGTACCGCGCCTGAAGATCTATAGTTGTCTTTGAGGTGGATGGTAATCATACCAGGGTATTGCTGTTGCATTCTTTCCAGGTTCTTGATCTCTGCAGACCTCCATCCATATATGCTCTGATCTGGATCACCGACTGTAGTGACCCTCTTGTTCTTTGCAGCAAACAGCCTCATCAAGTCGAATTGAACCACATTTGTATCTTGAAATTCGTCGATCAACACCACCTCTACATTCGAAACGCATGTAGGATTTTGGCGGAGGAGGTCAACGCAGCTCAACAAGAGATCATCGTAATCAAGTAGATTGGATTTGGCCAGTTGACTCTGATATTCCTCGAATACAATTGAAAACTCCTGCTGTTCCACATTCTTCTTCTGTGGCAGCTGTTGGGCCAGTTCCCCTTTCTGCTTTCCAACTTGCTGGTCTGGTCCATGTAGACCCTTGGATTTGCAGCTCGAGATTCGTGACTGGGCCTTCTTAGCATCAATCTTGAGCCCTAAGCGTTTGATGATCCTCTTGATGATGGCTGTGCTGTCCGAGCTATCGGCAATGCCGAATCCCTTGTGAAGGCCAATGAGATGGCCGTAGGTGACAAGATATCGGCGGCATACCGAGTGGAATGTACCCAGGACTAATCGCTTCGCGGTGTCACTACCAAGAAGTTTGGCGATTCTCTCCTTCATTTCTCGCGAACTCTTCACAGTGAATGTGAGACAAATGATGTCCCATGGTTTGTATCGGTGGTGTTGAAGGAGGTAAGCCACCCGTGATGTGAGTGTCTTTGTTTTGCCGCTTCCCGGCGGAGCCAGGATTTGTAAGACATTAGATGGCGAGGTAACTGCATCTTGTTGTGGTTCATTGAGTCCTTGGAGAATAGGATCCATGGCTAATGGGTCATGGTCGATGTGAAAGACGAAGTGGTGTTAATTGTTGATTGACGCGAACGAAGGTGGGGGTCGAATTTAGCGCGGAAAGCGCACCTGGGCACGTGCCTTTAGCCAAGAGCCAAGCTCACCGAGAAACCTAAAATCGAGCTGAGGTCAGAGAAGAGATCTTGGAATTTGGGAAAAAGCTCTCATGACAATGAAGTGAAGATGAGATAGAAGAATGGAGCGCAATCATGACACTTCGAAAGGTCTGCTTGGGCATCCTTTAGCAGACTACGCTCGAAAGATCCTGCAGTACCTCTTCAGGACGATCCTTCCAGGTGACTCGGATGGGTGTCGATTAGAATGGCAGACGCTACTCTCCCGGGGACTACTTCAAGCCACTTGCGAGGACATCTCTACTAATTCTCCCATATAAAATAGGAGGTAAAAAATGGAGACGGCTCATGCCTCGCTCCCGGATGCTTTCATCCCATGTTTCTTTCATGTCATCGTCGCTTTCTACGACCTTCTATCATTGTCGACTCCCTCTCCACCCTCCAAAGCCCAAATTGCCTAGCACAGTAGCCGGGATCTATGTCGCGCCTCCTCTAACAACCCCCGGTATCGGTCGTTGCAAGCCGATGTTGTCGATAAGAGGAATGGGACACAGAAGGTCCTGCTACCAACACTCTTAAATTTCGTACCGGCATCCTTCCTCTAAAGTCGCTGAATACCCTGGACAATGCTTCAGAAGTTTTCGGAACGCCCGTCCAAGCCCTTTCCTTAATGCCCCGATGAGATCACCAAAGAAGCGTGAAGTCTCATCCATGGCGCTCGAACGAGTAGAAAGAGCTAGGATGACGAGACCTACTGCGATTGCGAGTTCTTTCGCAAATACCAGCTACCGTGTCGCGATATTTGGGCTCAGCATCAGGCTCTTTGGGACGCTGAAAGTGGAGGATTTTGACCGCTGGGCGAATAATCTGGGAGGACTCGGGCTTAAATGCTCTATGAGGGTATCACCTCAGAATACTACGAAAGGGATATTTCGACGGTAGGAGATTGAGGCTTCGGAAATATTTTCTCAAAGTCATTACGGGACCAAAAAATTGGTCTTTGGGCTTAGCGGACTTTCAGGAGGGTGTCAGGCCAATATGTCGTAAAGGGGCAACGTAATCCTCTGGGCACGTGCCTCTAGGCCAAGAGCCAAGCTCACCGAGGAGCCTAAAATCGAGCTGAGGTCAAGAGAAGAGATCTTGGAATTGGGAAAAAGCCATGACAATGAAGTGAAGACGAGATAGAAGAATGGAGGCGCAATCATGACACATCGAAAGGTTGCTTGGTTATCCAGCAGACAGCTCAAAGATCATGCAGACCTCTTCAGGACGTACCATGCAGGTGACCGGATGTCCACGTTTGGATTCCTTTTTGGCGACGTGGTCATCGTCAAAACACCACCATTGACCATCAATCTTCATCCAAGATGTCCAATGGCCACCGGAGAAGCTAGATATTCGTCAGCCTACTTCAGGAAACAAGGGTAGGCTGGGCTCACTCTATGCCCCTGTGTTTGATGGTACCGATGGCCTCGTACTGAACGTCTTCTACCCCATCCTTCATCGTCACACCCTCCGAAAGTGGTAGACTGACGGTGTCCGGATTCCGCGTGAAGGTGGCCTCCATCTGGTTCTCACTTCCATGGACCACTACACGATTGAGGTTGACCAAGACGTAAGGGCTCAAATCTTTGAGCTGCATCCACTTCGAGGCTCTGCTTGTTTCACCACAGCCATTGCAGTGAACGTCGACACTGTCTGGATTAGAGTACGCATCCAGGCATTCTGTGATGCATACCCTGCTTTCGCGATCAGGCAAGTTTTTAGTGCTAGGCATACTTGTGGTGAAGGCAAACTTCTTCTCAACACAGGAGTCCCAAGCATGGCCACAGGACCGGCACTGGACCTTGCTCAAAGTTAGCGCAGCCGTTGAACAAAGCGAGAATATTTACTTACCTTTGTGATGGCCTCGAGGCCGAAGAGCTCTTGTACCAGAGAGGGGGCCTCGAAGTTTTCGGTTCGCCCGTCCACTTCTTCGATGTCGAGATGATCAAGGAGCTTCTCGAAGTACTCCATACACTCTTGTTGATCTTCTCCATCGTATCGCTCCCCTTTGTCGTTCGCCAAAAGGACTCCACATGCCTGCCTAAACACGTATGAAGACGGTGCCTCTGCCAATGGGTCCGGGTCCAGCATCTCGTTGAGCAGGACTCCGAGGTAAGCGCCCAAGCAACTAATCACACTGTTAGAGGGGCAGAGTGGCAATGGAACATTTTACTCACATCTTCGACTTGTTCCTCTCGAGGAGTACCCTCAGTTTCCCCTTCGCCTTTGACTTATATTTATTTTTATTGTCACCGCCCTGCCAGTTCGCTGCATTGAGAGCAACATACTCCGCTATTTCCGGGATTACTTGGTTGGCCAAACCCCGATAGTGGTCGGCCATCCTAGGAATGTTGGCGATTGCCTGCAACACGGAGTTGATGTAGCAGGCCATTGCTCCGTTATATATGCCCCGAGGTTCCGCTCCTCTAGCTCCTGAATCTTCTTTCTTGGCATTTGGGTTAGCATACCCAACAACAGAGGGTTTGGCATCCTTACGAGACTCAGTGTTCTTGTCCTTGTTCGATGAGGTTTTCTTGCCCTCCTTGGCAAGTGTCCGGTTCGCTGACGATGTGTGATCGGAAATACCAGCGGAAGGTGACTTCTTCCCCGAGTTCTGATGTGTTGTTTCGGTCTTTGAGTTATCGACCGAGTTCCCCGCCTTGCGTGCATGGCTCTGAAGCTTCTGAGTCTGGTTTTTTCGTACCTTGGCCACTGGAGTTGACTCTGGCTCGGCGATCTCCTTGACAGATGGCTCTGCCTTCCCCCGGGCATGTTCTTTGCCATGCGTTGCGCTTCCGTCACCTTCCCTAAGCTTCTTGTGCGTGTTGCCCTCCTCGAATGTTGTGTCCTTCTTCCTCTTCAATGACTTCTCAGTCCCCTCTGTGGAAGCATTATGGCCCTTGTGGCTCACTGGCGGGATCTGAGGGGAGACCTTGACGGACTGCTTCTCCAACCCGTTTTCTATAAGCTCCCCATCAGACTTGGGCAATGGAGCTGCTTTAGCGACCTGCTCTGCCGAGGGAGACTCATTATCGAACCCCGTCTGTATTCTCGTCCTAGAGATCCCCTTGCGACTTGCGGTTGTCTCTTTGGGACCAATGCCCCTTTGCGGTGTGGCTCCCGATGTGGGCAACTTCCCTAGTTCTTCGTTCCGGGACGTCTTGATGACAGCGGTGTTCTTCGCAACGGGACCTTTCCCATCCTTCTTGTGCGACTTTGGCGGTGTTGGTGATTTTGGTTTCTTCACCGCCGGTGTTGCCTTAGTGGGGGCAGTTTGCACAACACGTCGCGTCTGGACGGCAGTCGGTGGGACTACGGTTCTTACAATCTCTGTCGTATGAACAGCACGCTTTATAAAAGTTAGCCATAGATAACCCACGGTGCAGACAGTACTTACACCAGCACTTGCTTTGACTTTTGAGTCCTTGGGGTAAAGAGAGTCGAAGAAGTTCGCAGTTGAGGCTGCTTCGGCTGATGACGGTGCTTCTGGCATTGCCTGTCCAGCCTTTGAACTTTGTGCAAGCACGGGATTCGATGACAGGGGGGAATTTGATGACGGAAGGGCATTCAGTTTCTGCTTCTTAGTAGCGCTCTCGTTCAAGTTATTCTCAGCACCTCTCTTTCTTCCCAAAGTTGAATGGACATCTAGCTCCATTGCGTCATTTCTCCGAGCTTTCTGCTGCGTCACCGACTTGGTCTTTAGGATCGTGCTTGGGCGTGATTCTGGTGCCTGTCTGGCGGTACCCTGGTAACGTTGCCCAGGAGCCCGAGGTACCCAAGTACTAGTGTTTGCCTTCTTAGGCGCCGGAGCGTCGTCGTGGCCATTGGCTTTACGCTTCGATGAAGAACCGTCTATAGGGTCATTGTAGACAGCCATCTACCAGATGTTATTCGACGAGACAGTTAGACTTAATCGGTGAAAGAAATGATTACCTTGCTCTGATTGGTTTTTTTATTTATACTCTCCGTCGTGTGGCCCTTCGCGAATTTGACGGAGGGTGGGACAGCCGGAGTGTTTGGGACGTCCAGAGCCGGCGAGGTGGTGTTGATCTTGTGACCGTTAGCATATTTCAGGTAGTGGTTATTTGGTTCAACTACATACTTCAAGACTAACACTTCCAGGATTCTCCGCTCGGATCCGCCTCGCCTCCGCGGATGCGTGGGCCAATGCAAGTTGTTTTGCAACTCTGGCTTTCGTTTCCGCCATTCTTCGGTACTCGCTTCGGCTATACATGTTGAGCGGTGCTGGATCAAATAAGTCACGTTCAGGTGTTGAAAGAAGATATGTGTAATGAGAGAGTCTGCGAAGTTAGTCTGGCAAGGCTGGATGGCGGTAGACAGAGTAAGTCTTGTGACGAACTTGTGACAGGATAGGGAAAAGGAAGACGGTTGTGGGTTGTTGTCGACGATGACTTAATGTAAGTCTGTCGATGTTGTGTAGATGTCGTGAGGAAGAGGAAGACTTGGTGAGGAAGTGTCGAGTGGAGTAGAAGTTGACGGAAGTATCGAGAGCTAGGAGCAGTACACGTTCCCGGTGTGTTGTGCAAAGGCAGGTAGGTGCAGTGCTCTTCGTGTGAGAGAGAGAATGCTGACAATACTTTGCAGTGACGTGGGAAGGTTGAAGGCAGATGGTGGACGATGATTGGTTGAGAAGATGAGTGATGTAAGTAATAAGGAACTCGAAGACGCTGCGGCACTTCGGCTGTGTCTACGAAATTGAGGAGGTTGGAAATTCCCTTAGCGCCCGCATTTGTGGTGTTGAGTCTACGGCTGTGTTGACAGAAAGTTCGCTGTCGTCATGATAGCGATCCGTTGTGCCGCATTCACTGGTCCCCATGCTTCTTGTTTGTCTGGCTGCTTGAGCTCTTTGTTGGTCAACGTTTGATTTGTGCTCAAAATGCTCTTATCATAAAGAGCTATTATGACTTTTTCCAAGGACCGCCACGGTGCGTAGAGTCCTTGATACTCTAGTAGATCACCACATCCGTCATATCATCAACGTCAGCATCTACAATGGCTAGAATACGCCGTTCGAACCACAGCATCGAGCACCAAAGCACCAAGGGCCATAGCACTGAAAGCGAAACAATCAAAACCCTACGGCTCCAGCTACGCGAAGCCCGCAAGAGTGATCTCGCCGACTTCCACGAAATGCTCAGCAGCGGCGACGTAATGCGATACTGGGCTTGGCCCACCCATACCTCCATCGACGAGACAAAATCGTACCTCAACGACATGATCGCATCGACTACAAACGGAGATATGGAATTTGCCATCGTGCTCCCTGCTCCTATGCCTGTCGACCGTTTTTCCACCGCTGTCAGTAAAGACAAAGTCATAGGCACAGCAGGAATCTGGGACGAAGCAACAGGTGAAATTGAACTCATGCTCCACCGCGATTCTTGGGGCCAGGGTTACATGAGCGAAGTATTGACGACGCTCATACCTAGATTCTGGCAAAAGGGGTTGCAAAAAGTCATTGCGGATGTGGATCCGAGAAACAAGGGTAGTATTAAATTGCTGAATAGGTTTGGCTTCGTGGAAACGCGTAGGGAGAAGAATACTTTCGAGACTGATATTGGGTGGTGCGATAGTGTTTTTCTGGAGTTGTGGAGACCCGAGAGAGGTGTTTGAAAGCTCCTCGAGACAGATGGTGAGAATGTTGCGGTTGACGAGAAAGGCCTCAGGAGAAACATCGCCTGGACATCGGCTAGCTCGGAGCAAGGCTTTCATGCGAGAGTTGACCGTTGACCACATGACATACCATTAGACTTTACGAGCAGACAACGAAGATCCTTGAGAAGGGTCAAGAGGTAGAATCATACCCCAAGCAATTAATCCTTACCGAATCATACCCCAAATTTTGGTGTAGGGGTATGATTCAGTAATTAGGGGTATGATTCGGTAAGGATTCATAGTTTCGGGGTATGATTCGGTAATTAGCCCAATCTGGGACGAAGCAACAGGTGAAATTGAACTCATGCTCCACCGCGATTATTGGGGTCAGGGCTACATGAGCGAAGTATTGACGACGCTCATACCTAGATTCTGGCAAAAGGGGTTGCAAAAAGTCATTGCGGATGTGGATCCGAGAAACAACGGGTAGTATAAAATTGCTGAATAGGTTTGGCTTCGTGGAAACGCGTAGGGAGAAGAATACTTTCGAGACTGATATTGGGTGGTGCGATAGTGTTTTTCTGGAGTTGTGGAGACCGAGGAGGGTTTGAAAGCTCCTCGAGACAGATGGTGAGAATGTTGCGGTTGACGAGAAAGGCTCAGGAGAAACATCGCCTGGACATCGGCTAGCTCGGAGCAAGGCTTTCATGCGAGAGTTGACCGTTGACCACATGACATACCAATAGACTTTACGAGCAGACAACGAAGATCCTTGAGAAGGGTCAAGAGGTAGAATAGATTTGCTTTCCTTTCAACATCCGCTCCCCCAATTTCTCGGTGATGTTTAGATGTGGCGGCTATGATTAAGACGCTACACGCGCTAATTGAGGTGATCAAAGTCTGAAGGCCTTTCCTTGTCACTTCCTTTCATATTCTCTAAATACACATACCCCTCCTTGAACATAGATGAATGAGCCCGAGTCAATGCCAACGAACATCCTCAGAGCCGATCTTCATCTATCAGTAGCCGAGCGGATAGTATCATGATGGCAACATTTTCCAGTCTTCCAAACGAGCTTCTTGTTGAGATATGGCGCCATGTACTGCGGCCAAAAGACATCAAGAGCTTTGACTCTGACGTGAAAGCAAATCCATGTTCTGTCCAGCCCATTCCTGCTGGAGCATCGCGAGCAGAAGCGCCAGTTCTCAACTTTTGATAACGGGGGTCGAGAGTCGAACATATCCGCAGCAGGCTTGCTCAAAGGTATCACGACAAGTCCTCGGGTTGCGCTCTACGTGGAGGACTTTGCCATCACTAGCTGGCGTGACCGTTGGGAGAATGAAGAAAAGGCAGTCAACACGCCCATGGCATTCGATCCACAAGCTGAGGAGGAGGGGCGTCGCTACCGCCACACACCTTACGCGGAAGAAGACTTGAAACTTTTGGAACGAGCGGCGAAGAGGGTTGAGCCCGTTGTCGGCGACGTCGAGTCTCTTGTCGAGGGAATCAAAAGGTGGAAGTGAAGATCCTATCATTGCGCTGTACGTGATGAATTCTAGATTCCCCGTTCTGCTGTCGTACGAGTCGCCAGACCTGTCTAAAGAGTCCTCCGCTCCTGAGACATGTCTCCGGCTCAGTCATCCCTCCCGAAAGGGTACGCTGAATCCGAAATCCGCCTGACTCCTGCTCCCTCACCAACCTCAACTCCCTTACGCTTGAGAATAGATTGCATGAAATGAAAAGCCTTCCCAACCATCACTTCCCAACTCCCCATCGCAGTACAAAGACCCCCCCAACCCCAACCCTCCCAACAATCTCAGAATCCACTCAAACTCCCCCTTTAGCAGCAGTAGGAAGGCGCCACATCCAGCCCAACGCCGGGTACAGTAGACGACCTTAGCAGAGGCGTAGGTGCGCAGCGTTCGTAGGCACACGGACGCACGCGACAGTTCGACGAAAGCGACGGTGGGGAGGAGGGGTGCCGGAACCGAGGACTATGTCTGGTCCTTGCCGGTCTCCGTAATAAAAAACCATTTCCGACATTCGGGAGGACTCACTCGGTCGGTCGGTCGGTGGGTTTGGTTTGGGCTGGATGTAGATACGGTAGGCAAGTGCGACGGTTGAGTAAGGCGAATGAGTGGAACGCTGACGGGGCGAGGCGAGGATCGTAAATGTGGGACTTGTTGATCGGTGGTGATGGACGCGATGCGGAGGAGATGGTTGGGTTCGGCAAGGCTCGGTACCGTATTTGTGGTTTTCGGGCTTGGATAGGGAGGCTTACGCGTTGTCGACGGATTGGGCCCTGGCTGGGGCTTTGCGGCAGGTAAGGTGGGCTAAGCGAAATGCTTTCTTTGCGTGGGTCCCTGATCGCGGGGTGAGATGAGAGCGAAAGGGTCTGACGATATTGCAGAAGGGTTGATCTTTGGATGGGGTTGATACTCGTACTAGTACACGGGACAAGGTGCATGTTGAGAAAAAGAAAAGACCGTCTGGAAGTATAATATGAAGTTTCATTAATAAATACCATATACACATCTCATCCGTGCTCATGGCATCAAGCCACTTTGAATATCCCAACAATTATACGCCTCATATTACCATGCCCGATATCGTAAAGAACGCCGGACCGGTCGATGCCGGACATCCGAAACCCCTTGCAGCAGAACGGTGGGCCGACGGATATCATGTATACAAAGCAAGTCAAACCGAATGGCAGTGGCAGATGGTAAATATCCAGAACGCCGTCGCTGTGCAGCAAGTAACGCCGACTCCATGCTCGAAGTACTTCAATCCCAAGCGAGTATTTCACGTGGCTAGTGCGCTTCGTGTTGCATATGCAGGAACGGAATCCCACAGGAACGTCCTGCGCGGTCAGATCCATGGACTGGCGTAATCTCCATGTTCAATATCGAGCTGAAAGCTGGAGAGGTTGCCGTAGATTCAGTGATCTTCTCTTGGTGGTCGATCTCGTCCAGTATCGTCCCCGCCATTCTCTCCTCTCGCCTCTCTCCAGGCCTGAGCTCCACTCCTCCTTGCTGCCTGCTCGGGAACCTTGATCTCTTCGCCGCCTCCATTTCGACCCGTTGGTAACATCTTGCCGATTTCCGCGGCAAGTGCTTGTACGACAAATCCCCGCAGCTCCCTCTCTTCTCTTTCGTCTTCAATGAGGAGTCGCTTCCGCTCGTCTTTAAGCATGGTCTCCCGTCGCATCCGTTTGATTTCGTTGGTGATGAACATGAGGACTTCCTCGGGACATCTATTGCGCTCTACTCCGTGACTTGCGGCGTTGCGCACGTAGCGACGAGTCACGTCTGTAGCCCCGTCGATGGAGAAGGCAATGCAGTAAGACATCTTCTTGCCCCAGCCTGATGACCGCAATCAGCCTTGGCTCGACCAATTGCACAACGGAAGACGACTCACCTTCTGAGTACAGCCGAGGGTTATCCCAAGCTTCCTCGCAAGCATCGACATGGATCCATCGCCTCTGCTGCTCCGAGTACACCTCTGTCCATACATGGTCTTCAGCATTCCACACCCACCTCACTCGACCTCCGACAGCACGGCAGAGCATGCTGAAGCAGTTGGCCCATTCCCCGCACCGCCCTCTTCTTGATTGCAGCAGCGCCCACACATCACCATATCGAGGAAACCTTTCCAGCGCATTGCAGTCGGTACTCGAACAGCGATATGACTCCACCTTGGCGGCGCCCCGGGCAGCTTCGTCAGGCGTGGGAGGGGCGAACCCATTCGCAAGTGTAGGTGATCCGCAGACGGTACATGGAGGGTTGTTGACGAATTGGAAGAAGCTGCGCTTGAACCATCTGAAATGAACAGGTCAGATCGTGCACTGGTAGAGGGTATGGAGTGACCTTACTTTAAAAGAGCTCGGATAACGCAGTCTTGGTACCCCCATTGCGGCTTTGCGTTAGGACCAGTGCTGGCTGCTTCAGCTTGCAGCAATTGACTCTCGTCTTCTGCTTCGCTATAGATTCGATCTAAGGGTATGACCGCCAATGCCTCGTCCAGCAGGCCTGGGTTTTCGTACTTAGTAGGGTTGACTGAAAGTGTGATGAGTAGGTTGCGGAACTTCAGTGAAGCTGGGTCCTGGGGTGGCGAGGCCATCTTGGGGAGATTTCGTAATGATGGATACGATGGTGGAATATGCGGGCTATCTGAGGGACGTCGGGGCGCATGCTGTGAGGGCGGTCGTGATGATGTAGAGGCTTGTCTTCCAGGTCCTGGTGAGCCAGCCCGTGATCGCGATTGTGCAGTGAGAGTATTCAACCGCTGTGTCCTCAGAAGTTGTTCGAATTGGTGGGTTAGATCTTTCGCATTGAAGGCTCTTTGTGGTTGAGGTTGAGGTTGAGCTTGCGGTTGCGATTGTGGTTGGGATCTTTGCGATCTTCGTGGAGGAGGTGGGGGTGGTGGAAGCCTGCGTGGAGGGCCATTCGAGTCACCCATGATGCTTCGAGCTCGGTGACTCGGTGATATTGTTCCCCTTCCTCAAGTATGCGTATGGGGGAAGAAGGTTGAGGTTGTTTTGGAGAAGAATTGGATGTGTAATGAGGGCTTGTTTGAGAGCCTTGCCTGCCGCAGTCGAGCTGCACTGCCGGCCGATCTCGCCACAAAGTTTGCGACGCTTCTCTCCCTCCCTCTCTCTCTCTCTCTTCCCTTCAATTAAGCACGAGGTCGCTGGGTAGACGAGTTGATGGACGAAGTGAAAAGGTGGTCAGTAAGATGTATGGATGAGAGGAGAAGGTCGCCTCTGAGAGGAGGACGACGACTCTTGACAGAGTGAGTAAGGTAAGTCTTTCCTTTGAAATTTGACCCTTGCCGTCACGGGGAAGAGAGGACGCGTGGATCCTGACTTGCGTAAGCTTCTATCTACCCAATCAAATCTTCGGATTTGACGATGAGTAAGCTGAGGCTCTTGGCATCAGGCGCCAAGGCGCTTTATTGCTTTTACTCTAAAAAGTACCTTGTAAGTTTCCAACTACTCTATCTCTGAGCTTGAATTCACAGTAGTTTCTACAGTTCTTGTTGTGGAATCTGCATGCTCGTCGGCGTGGCTTTGCTGTCCGGCAGCTTTTTAGCCAATAAATGTCAATGTCCCTTCTTCAAACAAAGTCACAATTCCAACTTTCTCGCTGCCCTGTTGTTGTCCTGGAATCTGGATTCCAATCCGCCGCCCAGAGTCTGGATCCGGCACAGAGTAGGAAAAGGCCAACGGTCCAGATGCCATGATAGCTTCTTTTTTCATGTTCCTCGGCGTCGCGACTCTCGTCTGAATCAGAGGGTCTGCGCAAGTCGGAGAGGCGACAACTAGAGTACGCAATTGAGGAACCTCGCATGTACGGGCTTATATAGGTCTAGCGTAGAAGACAAGCATACGCGTTCCCAACATTGGACGCTTCTTGTCATCTCCATCGCATCCAAGGACAGTACCTTACCAAGTGACTAGTTGACGCTGGGCTTTACCGCTTTTAGTACCCTCGTACCAATCGAGTTGAAGCACTATGGCACCGAGGATGCCCAGCTACCTTTACCTTTACAAGACAAGTAGGTTTGACTATGTTTTTGATCTGCTCAGCGTGAAAGTCTCTATCGCATATGAGTTCTTGGGACATTGAAGATCGCAGAAGCAGGACATAAGGCATTCGATCAAATGCATCGCCTGTGTTACCTGCTCGTGAACCTTTTGATTACGAATGATAGCAGAAAGTTGCGTGATATTTGTCGACGCTAGATGATTAGGTACTCGTAACATGAGACAGCGTGACCTCCGACTTGCTTGCATACATTGTCGTGATCTTGACATCAAACAACGAGCCCAATCTGTTCTTGATGGGAAAAAGTCAGAGAAAAGATGACAACGAGTTTGAGAAGGTGCGGCTCAAGAAGGCTGTGATTGGCTATGGCTGCGTCGTTGCTTATTGAGCCGAGGGTAGAGTCACCGTCATTGTTGTCATGAGCTAAGGCACAGAATTGCACTTCCGCACCATGAATCCACCAACATCCCGCCTACTACCCTGCATCTTAAATCCTTCTAATCCAGACCACCCTCCAACACCTACCAAGTCCGTACGCGTGTCCACTCAATGTCCTGTACCTCTGATGACCTGGTCCAGCAGTTGTTACCCAGTATCTCTTAGTCCTCGCTCCAGGGAAGCTCGCCACCGCCGCCGCCTAGAGATCTGTCGAGGTTCGACCACGCATTGTATGATCATGTTGGATGGCAACTAGCTCATTGAGTGTCCTTGATGTTTCATCGCCGCGGACTGTGATCCCCATGTGTTCCAGCTCAATATAGGGGATCCCGAGGCATATACCCACAATGAGAGCTGTCTGGAAATCAAGATCAGAGAAGATGGTCCTAGAAATGCCTCGTGGCTGTACCAAGATGTTGCCAGGTGAGAATAGGCTCGACAGATGAAGTAAGGGTGAATGAGGTCAATAGGGCGGGGAAGGAGGGAAAGGAGTGGGAAGAGGCTTGCATTGCGGCAGGTCGAAGGTGGAAATAAAAGTTGATGATGACCAACGGATTAAAGCGTTGGATCGACAAGAACAACACAATGCAGGATCGATCGTAAAGTGGGTCACTCCGATATCAGTAGCCACCGAGACATGAGCCGATGGCAAGCACATCATTCGTACTCGAGCATCAGTTAATAGCTTTTTGGAAGAATTCGTCGCTATGGATCCCACTCCTGATTCCCCAAGTACGGCGGTGGTACGTCCCAGTCGAACAACGGCCTCTCTACTAATGCAACTTCTAGGCCTGACGGTGAGTCGTCATCTTCTTCGCCCACAGCTGCTTCGTCACCTGTCTCGCTCCCTAATGGCACTATGCCGAGAATGGGTCGGTATTTATATGTGTGCCAGTAAGCAAGGCGTTTGCCATCCCTCATCTTCGCAATGCGGGTGTCATCGTTCTCGGAGGTATCTGCATCGGTGGAGTTGTCGACATGGCCATTGAGCATGTACCTGTCTGCGTTAATACTGCCTCTTCGAAGCTTGACTAGGGCCTGGTCAGATTCGTTCGCTAAAACGTAGTCGCCCTCCTCATCAGAAGGGAGATCTTGCTCTGCCTCTAGACTTATCCATTGACCTGCCGCCGCATCTGTTCCGTTGATTTTGCGCATCTTACGGCCAATGCTTATTCCAAGCTTGGCGTTGGGGATCTTGCTGCCTGCGCCAGTGTCGATCCGGGGACGACTTGCTCTTCTATCCTCATCGTTGTCCCCGCGCTTTCTCTTGAGGCTAATCTCCTTGCTGATTCCATTTGTGACATTTACGTCTTTTTGCTCGGAGTCCACAGGGGGCAAGTCTCTTGATAGGTCAAACATCCACAGCCACGAAACACCATAGACCCATATCCTCTCATTGTGACCTCTCACATCCCACACAGCGCTCTTTGCTCTATCTCTGAGGTCTTGAAATTCTTGGGGTAGGCGTGATGTCGGATTCCTTCGGGACCAGTCTGATATCCTGCCTGACAGAACGTTGAATTCGTAGATTTGGTTTTCGGCCGTAAGTATGAATAGTCTATCCTCGCCATTCGGTATATCGTGAGAGTGTGGGTGTGGATTATGGCGGGTTGGGTGTACGCCTATATTGCCGTTCGTTAGAGTCCCAGTGGCTTGCGTGGTCGACGGTCGAAAGGAAAGGACGAGAGGAGCGGCGGGCAGCTTTGCTAGCAGTGAGGCGGCTGGATTTCGAATCCAATGTTCACCGAAAATAATAATACGACTGTCTTCTTCTCCGCTGTCTTCCTCATCAGATGAGTCAAACTTGTCTGCGGCGTCTGCGGGATTCGGTTTCTCGTCATTTCCTTGTGTAAGATCCTCGTGGCCTTCGATTACCCAGGTATCGAGGAATCCTGAGATGTCTGAGACTGCCAGGATTCGACTGTCAGCAGAAAAGGTAAGGCGGTTTATCGATCTGTTATAGCTGCCTAGACTTGCGTCATTGGCCTTGGTGGTCGATGTATCGCGACGTAGCCGCTTCAGCTCAACTGATGTTTGCAAGAAAACCGGGGACACTTTGTCATCATTGATTTTCGATCTCCTGTAAAGCTGAATACTGTTGTCGGCTCCGATTGTTGCTAGCCATCTTGTGTCCGGCGAAAATTGTATCATCTTGGCTTGTCGCTTACTCAAGTCCGCGAAGGTCTGAGTTTGCTCAAGCTTCTGGACTTTGAGCATACCAGATCTGAGACGCAAATGGAAGACTCTAAGTTCTGCCATGGTCGCGACTGCAAAATTCTTCCCATCTGATGATATATCTGCTGATGTAATCGACTCATCGCCCTGCGCTGGATATTAATATTCACACCTGAGGAGGGTTGGGTTGGAAATCTGACCTGAAGAGCGATTTTGGCAACGAGTCTTCTTCCTTGCGGCCCACGAACGTCTGGAGATGATCCCTCGTCCGTCTGCTTCTTCGAACATTTCGAAATTGTCCAGATTCTAACCTCTCGATCCCACCAACTTACCAACAAACGCTTTTTAGATGCACTTCGGACGTTGGGTTCTTGTGGGAGACTGGCAAGAGTGCGATGGTGTTCTCGCCCGAATTCTTGGATTGGTACGATGATAGGCATTGTGTCGAGTCCTGTGACTTAGTCAGAATTGGTACTGCATGCGAATGGAGAAGTATAGCGTACCTCCTGACACTAGGATGCTCAGACCCTTGGTTTCGAACGTAGCCATGGCTTTGACATCATTCTGATGCATCCGTTGATGTGTAATCTTAGCCCATCGATGACCCTCTCCTGGGCGCCCACTGCTCGTCCTTCTATACAGTGTGGTCCTTCGGTCCATACCACCACTGAAGACCGATTGACCATCTGCGCTCACCGCAACATCCAAGATGTCTGCGTCGTGGCTTTTGATGCGCTGCAGTAATGCATGATTTTTGCCATCCCAGAAGCATAGCGTTCCTGTGGAGTCACCAGAGACGATCGTGCCATCAAGTAGACATTTCACGGACCACACCAAAGTCTCTTTGGGGCCACCCTTCGGTCCAGGCCCTAGCGTCATGTTTCGCACCTGCTGACCATTGCGCATATTGTATATTCGTATGGTACTATCTGCGTGACCTGCAATGATGGTATGGCGGGTTTGAAAAGTCAGGCTCAAGACTCGAGATCTCTTCTTTGGTGGTCTTGCGAGAATTCTTTTAAATCGTAGATCATCGTCCGTTGTATCGAGCAAAATAATAGCACCGTCCGCACACCCAACAGCTAAGTCTTGTATCTGTGATTCATCCTCTTTTTCTGGTCTTCCACCGCTTTTCCAGGGGTTTTGAGCAGGTGGTCTTTGGGCTGCGCTGCCATACACCAGATCTCTCCATAATTGCCTGCCGAGTGTCGTGCGGGCCTCCCTGTCCCAAGCTCCCACTCAGTCACTGCTGTCGAATATCCAATGCTGAAAAGTCTCAGCTTTCCGGCAATAATCTTGCCGCTCTTGTCCACATCTTCCGGGCCTTGCGTCCACACTAGCCCTTCGATGCTTCGATCTTTTGCCCCTCGAAATATGCTTTCCTGATACCACGAGCCTCTAAGTGGATTCCAGATCTCGATGTCGCCGTTGGCTCGGCCAATCGCAACTCGTAGGCTTTGGGGTCCTTTGCCCGGATGTGTTGGGGAGGAAGGATGAGAAAATGCAAGGGCGTTTATGGCAGAAGGAGGGTAGGGCACAAAGCGGCAGCGATGAATATCCATAATTGATAACTGTCAAACATCAACTCTGCCACCTCAAAGTGGGGGGATGGTTTCCATAAAGTCTAGCAAGCAGTCAAATGTCTACTTTAGAGAGTTTGGTTCTAAATGTCGTGATGTGGAGCAGAAAACTTCCAGATCGCCAGGCAACTTTAATCGGAGGGAAATTTGTCCCGGAGACTTCTCGCTAAAAAGTTGTTCCGTGGGAATAACGTTCCCAAATCCCTACGGCAATGTATACATATATAAGAGGCACTGTTTTACGGATATCTTTACAGGAGGATCAGTCCTATGCCCTTGGTGTCGGAAATTGTGTTTGCCGAGTTCATCCTTTCAAGGCATAACATCATGCACAGAATAAGGGGCACATTGGCAATCCGTAGTAATAAACGAATATCAAGTGACTAATGAGTAGCATAGGCTCTGAAACAGCCATACTACGTCGTAGCCATAGAGCATATCCTTTTGGAAGTCTTGTGCAGTAGCAAACGCATGTCACGGTAATAGACGGTGACGGACGGAGACACAGCATTTGTCGGGAAAATGTTATGGTGGTAGAAAAGCAGGGTGAAACTCTAACCTTCTCGATCTTTCATGCTAAGTATGTACACCAAGACACATCAATGAGTATCGAGCCTTTTTGTAAGGGCGACGAGAAAAACACTTATCAAGGTTCCAACAGCTGCTTTCGGGTCGAGTCATCAACACAAGCCAATTTGGGACTTGCTTCTTCTCGTTATATTTTTCAAGGTGGTCATGCTTTCTTGAGAATTGTATCCGTAAGGACTGAACAGAATTTACCTACCTTCCTCCTCATGGAGAAGCCTTTTTAATTGTGAGAGTCCACCAGGGGTGTCCACGACAAGCTCCTTCCGTGACAGGAAGGGTATTGACATCAGGCGTGCAAAGGTTGAGAGCCTTGAGATCTGGTAGAGGCTACGAATGAATTCAAAGTAGGTATGAGCTTTGATGCAAGGGTGTTTTTGCACTCCTGGATGCATGTTGCGCAGTAGTGCAGCGCATGCCATCTCGATCAATTGCATGCGCACTAGAGTATGCAGCACCCGATTCGCGCGTGAGATGCCAAGACTGAGGCAAGAAGGCGGGGCTCAGAAAGTTTCAGAGAGTTGGACTCCGAGACCGTTGCTTTTCATGCTCATGGGGTCACCTTTCTGTGCTGCATCCCACAGGTCTTGACTCAAACAATGCTTGTAACTGCTGCCAAGCATGTTATAACTGACGTACTTATATATCCCAGAATCCTTCAATTGGAGCGAAAAACATAGGTTATAAATGGTTTTAGGATTTGTGAGATAGGGGTAGTGCTTAAGTTTATTGGAGCGAAAAACATACCTACGGGGGCCAGGTTAGCACGCATGTCGGATGAAGTGATACGAGTTCCTTATTCAGGCCTCCCACTCACACCTTTAAGAGACATCCCGATGGATCCGAAGGGATGGTCATGGCTGGGATGTGCCCTGCTATTTGTAAAAAAGGATTTGGGGGCTTGCTTTAGTGCTCGGTTCTCGTCCCCGCAGATGCGCGTCTTTGCACGCGTCTAATGAGAGAAATTTCCACACGCGTAAATTGGAAATCTCGCTCGCCATCATACCTAGTCAGAGTCCGAGGACTCTAAGAGCAGAGAAGCTCGGGTGCCAGTACATTATTGGCCCAGCTCTGATCCAGACGAGTCCAGCAGAATGACAAGTGGTAATGGATCCTGTTACCTTCCAAGAGTCGAACCTTTCATGCAGCTGCGGAGCTCAGGAGAATAATAGGATCCCCGCAATTTGAGTTGGTCAGACGTGCTGTCTCAGATTGCTCGATGCGTTATGGGGCTTGTGCTTCTCGCATCTGAAGTTGGTGGCTTATCAACGGCAGAGAATCAGCTCATCGTTGGCATTACCGTAACCATAGTCTGAGGGTCCGAACAGCTTTCAATTCCTGATCTGACTTGTGGAACGTTTGTCTCAAGAGCTTTCTTTGCAGCAGCAGAGATTCCGAGGGTACTCAAGTAGCGAGAATAGCCTTGCATACGGAGTAGAGCAAGGGCTGAAGTGTCATGCGGCTCTCCAACCAAAGGCCACATGGGATGGCGAATTCCAGATAATAAATGTGACACCTCAGGCCACCGCCAAAAGCATGATGCCGTCAAGGCGGAGATGAAGAATCATCAGTCTTACCAAAAGGGGTAGTGCATGTCGCGCTGGCAAGGTATGGAAACAGGGAAAGGACTCGATCTTTTAGGGCTGCGTGTTGGCTGCATGATGCTAGTACCATCAGATCCATTGGTAGCGAAGGGGGACTCGACTTGTATGGATCGAGAGCCGCTTTTCGTTTGACCATGAGAACGCGAATGACGATCAATCGGTAGGAAATCGGAGCTGGGAAGCGTAGCAATAGGTCGCGCATATTACGCCGCCAGTGTAGTCTGTTGGATCAGCAGCGTCCTTTCACAAGCCGTAAGCTCAGCGTATCGACAGGTTCCATAGACCCTACAAGACAAGAACTCAGGAAGAAAAAGAGTGTTCGAGATTGCGGACTGGTGATGAAACCACAGAGCCACGGTACTCCTGCTTCTTGAAATAACAGAGATGAAAAAGAGCGTATGGAACAGGAACGGAGTTAAACCAAGTAGCTAGACACGCGCGACTCAGGGATTCGACGCCAGGCCAACCTGTAAGGGTTGATAGATAACCACTTAACCAGTATCAGTAACCAGGCACTCTGAAGCACTCATAGGCTCAAACGTTCAGGCCGCTCTAGGGCACTAAGCCCCATGCAGTACCCCTGCAGCTCAAGCCCGAAGCAACGAAATCTTGAATCTTAACTTGTGCCAGCCTTCGAACTTCTCTCCTCATCCTGTGGAGAGCAGTGCTTCTTCTCTACCTCACCACACCCTCTACCTCCCCTTCTCCCCCTCATTGCCCTCGGACTCTCCTCTGCCAGTCATACAGAGGCTCAGAGTGGGCGTGGAGTTCGTCAGATGCATCAGAAATAATTCTGGGCGGCTTTCGACTCCAATTCCCTACTGCCGTGCGGGTGTAGAGTCCTCACGTCTTCAACCTCGACACCCTCTTTCACCCACGGCAGCAAGTCATCAATTCCTCGTTTCCCTCGTTTCCTCTTGTCATCCGTCCTCATCATCGTCACCTGGCCACGGTTGTCACGACTTCATCTATCCTCCACTCCCTCCAAAGACCAGCATCGTCTGCCGAGCTCGCCAACCGTCGTCCTTGTACCGCAATTCACTACGGAACTCAGCCGCAGACGAATTGATTGTCACACAATACTTCGGAGTAGTACATATGGTCAGTTGGAAGTGAATGGTAAGGTACATGGTTTTTTCCCTCGTGCATTCCTCGTTGGCCCAGTACAAGGAGGTCAGGGGACGTCACAGTAAACGCCATTCCTCTTCTACAAGGTCACTTTATGCGGAATGTGTTGGTCTGGTTCCAACCGGACAATTGGCTACCGTCAGAACGCAAGCCGGACATCATTGGATGCAGCCTGCGGCGACTTTACTACAGGCTTCAACCAGTCTTCAAGACCCATCCCTCCTACACTTCATCCCATCCTGGATGTCCCTCCCACAGCTCTCTGTCCTCGCGTGGTCATGGGTGCAAGTCAATACTCGACCTCAGTCCTAGCGGATTTCCCCGTTTGGAATCCAGCCAATTTTCTCCAATCGCTCAGCATCGTTTTACAACTCTCCGAAAAAGATATAGAGAGCTTGTTTCTCATCATGAAGTCAATCTTACAAAATACGCGACCATTACGCGTACCTTTGCTCGCGTCGTGATTATGTTAGATTTCTTGCTTTTTTGCCTGCGATCACAACACATGATACTAAATTGCTGACTATTTTCTCTTTATCATAGAGACACTGCATTGAAACTTTCGTTGAAACGGGGTCCCTCTTCCTTACCCTGCCGTCGCCTACTCTAGAGGCTCCGAGTTAACCCCGCACTCGAGGCATGTCAGCTACAATTGTTCCTCAGAAGCTCGTGCTGACACTACTAATTCCAGGGTCCCAAGTTCACATTCTCGGCATTACGACCTCATACCCAATCCGTTAGTGGAGACGTTAGCTCGTCCTCTACCGACTCTGTAGAGGCAATCCGCCCAAGTCATTCCAGAAAATCGCGGAAATACTTGACAAGATTGCAAGGGATTTGAGCCCTGGTTACCATCATCTCATTAATCCCAATCCGTCTAGGTAAGCAACAAGGCAATCCCTCTGATTCGATGGCTGGTCATCGTACTCGCTTTTGATTTGACGACGCTCCCTGTCCCTGTAAAACCTGTCCCTCGTGCTCTGTTCCAAGGGCTAACATTTTGAGCCTAGAGCCCAGGACTCCGTTATATCTACTACTGCTGGCCACTTGACAAACAGGGCAACCTCAAGTCACTCCTTATCTTCGTTCCAACTAATTACGATCCTTGATCAATAATCTCACCCAAGTCACTCCCTTTTTATTGTTAGTGTTTAAAGCGTCTGAACCAGAAAAGATATCATTGTTTTCGACTATTGCAGGAAGCAATCATTAACCGTCCATCATGGCCTACTACCGCAATCAATGTGACAGCTACTTTGTGGAGTCTCATGAAGACCAGGAAAAGAGGTTCCGAGAAGAGCTGAGGGAACGCGATAGGCGCCAGAAATGGCAAACACAGCTTGCCATTGCCGAGGATCTATCTCAACTGATAAGCTGTGAATATCGAGACGATGTTCTGCAGCACATGGAAACGATGGAGGTCAAGCGCCTCGAAGCTCGATAATTGGTTACATTCATGCTGACACTCATGTTCAGGGCAAGACGTTGCCAGATGTTGCCTCAATCGACATCCAGACAGAGATCAAATGGTTCATGCGTCCATACCTCGTTGACTTCTTGATTGAAGCTCACACATCGTTCGGCCTGCTACCAGAGACTCTCTTCTTGACCATCAACCTACTTGACCGATATTGTTCTCGCCGAGTTGTATACAAGAAGCATTACCAGCTGGTGGGATGTTCGGCATTGCTCATAGCTGCGAAGTATGGTGACCGAAAAGACCGCGTGCCCACCATCAAAGAGCTCAAGCAAATGTGTTGTGGACTCTACGAAGACGACATGTTCACTCAGATGGAATGGCATGTGCTGCAGACTCTTGACTGGATCATTGGCCATCCTACGATTGACAGCTTCCTCCAATTGGCGCTTGAGAAGGTGGCTTACGATCCAGAAGTGGAGCACATGGCATGCTATATCTCAGAAATCGCCATGTTTCAGAAGGAGTTCGTCTCCAAGCGCCCATCCGACATGGCTCGTTCTTCATTGGCTTTGGCACGGTGCATCCTCAGCCGCCCCCAAGCTTTAAGTACTGAATGGGTCGCGAAATATGACTCTGATACCTTGTTCACTCTGTCCAAGCAACTACTTCGACCCTCCAAGGTCCTGCGTACTAAGTATCAGGCGGCTCATCTTTCGCGAGTATCCATCATTCTAGAGGACGTCCTAGCTAGGCAAGTCTCGATCGGCAGATGCTCTGCCAATGCTCCACCTACCCCGCCATCGGAGAAGTGCTCTGAGAATTTTGGAAATTTCCCACACAACGTAATGCCCGTCACGCCGACGAAGCCATCACAACTTGTTCCCGGCATCAACAATGGTTGCCCCACGCCTCCAATTACCCCAACACACGAGGAGTACTTCAACGTCAATCAAAATCCATTTAAGACCAATCAAAATCCAGGTCTGGGAGGCATACGTCGTCCGCCAACCCCTGGAAGCCTGCCGCGATTCCAGCAACAAGCAGTGCCATTCTCGCTGCCACCAATCAGTCAGATGGCTCCGATGTATTAGGCTTATATGTTCTACAAGCCGACCCCCCCTCAATCGAATCATCTTCGCAGATGTTCTGGCCTTTTTATTAACCATAGCTGACCGACCATTGCATCCACCGTGGATCTCCTCGGCCAGACTCTGCGGCTTGTGAATGCTAGGTCATCGCATCTCACAGCATCTACTTTGTACCATACCCACCATCATTTTCGCATTAGCCACATTGTCAGTTTAGCATTGATAGCGTCCAGTCCAGCATCGGTTATGTCACGTTATAGTTTTCTCCATCGGCCTTAGCTCATCGTCTTGTTCGCGGTACATGAAACGGAAGGCCATCACTGGCGGATCATATCAAAAGCGATCATACATTGCAGCACCAGCTCATGCTCATCGAGGGAAGAGCCTAGGGGCCCCGGGAAATTGTTCAGCAGGCTTGGATATTTTGATCCAAGGCCGTCAGGATATGAGGGGAGGGACGTACATCCAGCAGCAACAGCATGCAAACCTTCTTTACCGCCCAACAGCACCAGTACCCGCGAGGGTCTGTCTTACGCTGTCTTTGGCCTTTTCGCTTTAGCTCGTGGGGAGGAGGGGGGAGGAGGAGATACCCGATAGAGCTCGCGCCCACGTCGATTCCAATCGCTTGTATATTAGGAATGGCTCCCGTGGTGCCTCAGCTACACACACACACTCTCTCTAATAATGGAAACGAAATGAATCAAACCCCTGCCGTCTCCTCCCGTTGCTTCTGTAAGAGACATCGCCGCCTCCTCCTCCCTCCTCTTTGAACCCAAGATGCCATCGCCCCATGAACTCGCATCCCTCTCCCCCCTAAACAAACAAGAACATCCCCCCCCCTCCCTCCCTCCCTCGGATCCCAAAGCCCCTCCCTTCCTATCCCACCCCTCCCTCCCCCCTCCATCCCCCCTCCCTCCCTCCAATCCCTCAACATCGAGCACGAGCACGACCTCAGTCAATAAAGAGTTCGTCGCCCTGCCATTCTCTGCCCTTCTCTGCTTCTGCCATTCCATTCCCTGCCCTTCCCACACAACAGATACGATAGAAACCCAAACCCAACCATCGACACTCCCCGCTCTCCCGTCGACGGCGGCAGGATTCCGCGTCTCGTGGTCGGATGACACGGTAGTCGGAAATGTCACGGGGGTGTGTGCGTGCCTGGCTGTTGGGTGTGTCGTGGCTGGCTGGTGTCGTGCCTGGGTGTTGGGTGCGGGGGTGGGGTGCGGGGGTCGGCGTTTTTTTTGGCGGTTTGGGGGTTGGGGGTCGGTGTGGCGGCGTTTGTTTTTGTGGGGTGGGTGGGTGGGTGGGTGGGTGGGTGGGTGAGGTGGGTAGGTGAGTGGGTGAGTGGGTGAGTTGTTTCTATTGCTGATGCTGATGCTGATGTGAGTGGGTGGGTGGGTGCTTGATGGGACGAATGAGGGGGTTTGGGGGGGGGTGGCGGGGTTGTGGGGTTTTGGGATGTGGGGGGTGGGGGGAGGGAGGGGGGGAGGGAGATGGGGGAGGAGGAGGGGAAGGAGGGGGGAGATGGGGGGAGAGAGGGGAAAAGGAGAGAGGAGGGGGAGAATGGGAGATGGGGAGATAGGAGGGGGAGGGAGGGGGAGATGGGTTAGTGGGAGGGAGAGGAGAGACGGAGAGGAGAGAAGGGGAGAAGAGAAGGAGAGAGGGACGGATGGCTAGAACAAGGGGACGAGGAAGCCGTGGCGAAAAGGTTAGGTGTCTGCACAGCTGGAAGATGAATGAGACGCGTGAAGAAGGCGGGTGTCTATGGCTGTTGGGAGACGGGGGGGGGTTTTTCCGAGGAGGCTGGCTGTTGCACTTCAGCGAGAACATCTACCACCGCTGCGCTTGGAGTCCAAGTTGGAACCTCATCCCGAGGGTTTCCCGAAAATGCTGCTTTCCTATAAATGCCCTGGCAAAATGGATAGATACAACCGGGCAGCGCAACCAACTCCCGGTATGTTGCCTTCAATCTCGATCCAGCAACAAGCATCATTAAAGTGGTATATCGATTCCGCCCGCAGAGTACCACGCATAGTCCCCCAAAAGTATTCTAGGCCATCTTGTTGCCTTCTGCGTCTAATTTGCCCTTCTCTTGCATCGCCTTGACGGACCAGGGGAAATGTGCTACGGGGACGATGAAGAAGCTGGAGCAATGTCAGCTTGTGTTCCGCTGTGAAGTAGATAGCGGAGCAGGCTTACCTGTTCGAGTCGTCTGCAATCCCAGCCAGAGCGTTATACCAAGCCAAGAATGCCGCGAGCAGCGCGAAAAAGCCGCCGGCCTTGAGGATAGGTGGGTTTGGCGCACCCATGGCGTCACGATGGAGGTAGCCGATACCGAGGAGCATGAATGCCATGTCCAGAGAGAAGAAGAGCGAGAAGAAGGCGACTGTCGAGCGCAAGGTGCAGAACAGTAGCAGGGTCGTGAAGATGAACCAGCCCTGGAGATATGGTCAGCAGATAGCGGAAAGACGGACTGGGGACACAGATGACGGACCATCAGGTAAAGACCGAATTCGTCGGCGAAAGCGTTGGGACTGGCAGCCATGAGTTGAGCTTGGATGTCAAAGCCGCCGGGGGTGAGGATGACGGCGAATGAGAGCCAGAAACCGCCGTACGACGAGAGCGCAGTGGCACCAAAGGTGTTCCCAACGGCCATTTCCCTGCGCGACGACGGTCAGCGTCGTCGTTGGACGTGTGGGCTTAAGAGTGAAGGATGAAGGACATACCACATGCCGGCCAGCAATTGCACCAAGCCTCCGTATCCAAAGGCAAGACCGACGACCAGATTGGGAGCACTCAAGCCCCTTGTCCCCATGTTGATCAAGCCCAAGACGAAGGTGGTCAAGGCGAAGGCGCACAGGCCCAGGGGCGCGGGATTGGCGATACCGCGGTCCTTGACCTGCCTGTAGAGACCCGGTTGGAACTCTCCTCCGAAGGCGGGCAGGCGCTGTTCGCCACTGGCAGTGTTGACATGAGCGAGAGGACCGTAGCCGAAGCGAGCGGCAGCTTTGGCGGTTTGATGTTCCTCGTGGGTCATCTCGCGATTGATAGCGCCGCTGCCGTTGGTTTCCTTGTTGTAGCTGTCGGGGGCGTTTCCGGTGAAGTCGGTGTTGGGGTGGGCGGCCATTGTGATGGAAAGAAGATCTTCAAGAGACCACGGGCTATGAAAATGCAGGTAGGGTCGATTGGAGGAATCAATAGCTTGGCTTCAACAGTGTTATATAAGGTAACGGGGAGGAGAATTATATAGTATTCTCAATCTCCGAGACCCCCGAATCGCGAGTATAATTCCTCCGAGTGGAAGGGGCAATGTTGACGCAGGATATGGTGTACTGTGTGCCAAGTTGCAAGGAGGACAGTGTTGAAACCGTGAGACGGGTAGGTGCAGGAGGGCGATTATGTGGAGAGAGATGAGGGAGACTGCGGAGCAACGGAGGTTTGTCTTGGCTTTATCTCATTGATTATTTCATTAGATTCATTAGATTCATTAGATTCAATAGATGCATTCATTAATTAGCTTAGTCCTCAATCACTTTGGCTGATGGTGCGCAGCATCTTGCAAGCTTACAGGCTTACGGGCTTACAGCATAAAGTACGAGGAAGCATGGGGGGAACGGGTGGGGTCTAGACTCCATTCGAACTGCCAGCCGCGAACCCGACGAACCATCAATCAACTTAACTTTAGCCAAGTGCAGTATCAAATAACTTCCTCCAATGAACATGCTTTAAATCCACGTCCAATAACCTTGTTGGTCAACGTCATGCGGTCACCCATCCTTTACTCCGTTCCGATAAGACCTGAGACTACCTAGCTCAGTGAAGCTGCATCGAGCTATCCATCAGTGCATAGGTAAGGTATACGAGTAGGTAGATGCATTTTTTTGTCGTACTGTTTTTTTGATGATGTGGATTGTGTTTCAGAGAAGATTCACGCCGTCGTCATGCTCGACATTTGTCCTTTGCCATGAATGATGTGGAGTTGATGAAAAGATACCCGGAAATTAGGTGACGCCAAGGAAAGAATACATGGACTTAAATCGTCGATTTAGGAAAGTTAATATATCTCTTAATATTCTCTCGAAAGTATCGTAGCTTAATGTAATAAGCTATATTTCTTTAAGCTATCTTCTCGCGATATATAAAAAAAAGGTTAAATATAGAAAGTATATAAAAGTATATTTAATAATTTTAGAACGAATTAATAATACTTATAATAATAATTAGAATTAAGAATTAGATATATTCGAATAAGAGATAGCTTTATATTATTCGTATAATAGCGATAATAGTAATTAAGATTAAAATATTAATTTAGATAATATAGCTTTCGTAGTAAGCTTTTTATTATTATACGCTAAATTAATTATGTATAAATAAAGATTTATAATTTTATCTTTTAGACGTAATTATATTTAATATTTTAAGATTTTTATAATAATTCGATATTTATTAGCTAGCGCGTTAATATTATTATATTTAAACTACGATAGCGCTTATCGTTAAGTTCTATATTACGCTCTCGAATAATTTAAAAAATAAGATTTATTTGATTATTAGCGCGTATAGTAAAATTATTTTTAATACTTATATCTTATTTAGCTTCGATATTATCTATTTTCTTTTAATTCGAGCTCTCGTCTTTATCTATATATACGATAGTTTACGTAATAAGCGAAACTCTAGACTTCTTCGCAATTACGCTCGCGTGCTTTTTTTATATAATATTATTAAAATATAAGTTTATTAAAATGATAATTAGAACTAGAAGCTATTTATTACTTATCTATTATATCTTATTTAATTTATTTAAAAGTTTATTTCTATTATAATAACGATATATTAATATATTTAATTTTACGCTTTTTAATAGTTATAGTATAGTTAATAGCTAAAATATTAACTTTCTTTATTTTTTTAATTAGCTTCTTTTTAGATGTAAATATATTTATTCGCTATCGCGATTTTTTAATATTTTTATTTTAATTAAGCTTATTCTTCGCTTTTTATTTTAATTAAGAGTTTAATTATCGCTTAACTAACTTACGTTAAAATTTTTTAATATCGCTATTATTATTAGTATTTAATATTTATTATAATAAATTATTAGACTTAGTCTCTTCTATTTTAATTATTATAAAAAGATAAATTAATAGATATATATAAAAGAATTAAAGGACTTATACGAATATCTACGAATATTAAGCTATTCTTAATTTTAATTAAAGCTCGTTTTATTAAAAAGTGCGTTAATTCTAATAAGTATCGATATTAGAAATAAAGAGAATATATATTACACGCTATTATAAGTATATTATTATAGAATTCGATTTAAAGAATAATTATTTTTATAAAAATAGTAAGACTTGAAAATAAGAAAGTAAGAATAAAATACGCGAAAATTTTAATAAGTTATAGTAGTTTAATATTAGCTAAATTAGATAAAGATAGTCACTTACTAGCTCGCTTTTTTAGATCTTTTATCTTTTAATCTATACGAGTTATAATAATAATTATAATTATTATAAAAGTAGTTAAGATTATATTAGATAATAGCGCTTAATAAGCGTAATTCGCTTAAGCTTAAATCTTTAAAATTGAAGAGAAAGCGCTTTATTAATATTTAATTTAAGCTAGATAATATAAAGTAATCTAAAAATTTAATATACGCGATAGATATCTAAGCTTTTTTCCCTCTCTTCTTTCTCTCTAAGACTTTTTTTTTATATTAACTCTTCTTATTATTAGATTATCTTCTTTATATATTAAATTTCTATTTAAATAATCTAATATTATTATAATTATATTAAAAGTATAATATAGTTATTAAGTTATATATTTATTTTTTATTTTTTAATAACTTTAAGTTAATATGTAAATAGATCGCGTAAAGAGCTTAATTTATATATACTTAATCTATTATTAATAACTCTTCGAAAAAGTTAATACTATTCTAGAGTATTAGATATAATATTAAAATAAAGTTTTTATTAGATATTATTATCGCTTTAACCGCTATCGTTATCGCTTTAATAGATATCGCCTTTACTTTAATAGATATTATCTTTACTTTAATAGTATTAAAACGTCGATAAAAATTAGATAGTATATTCTTCTAGTTATTATTATACTTATTATATATAATTAACGCGAGCTATAGCTCGAGCTTTACGCGAGATTTATTATTATTAAAAGTTAATTAATCTTATAATCTCGAAATTCTCTTTTTAATATCTAGTTTATTAGATTATACTTAATTAGAATATATTAAAGCGCTATTATATTTAAAGATTCGCTTTTAAAGTATTATATAAGATAATAGAAGTCTTTCTAATTCGTTAATTTAAGAGTAAATTTTTTATTATTACACTTTATAGTTAGCTCTAATAATCTCTATTTAAATAAATATCTATCTTTATATAATATATAAAAAGCGAGTTATATTATAGAAAAAGAATTTAAATCTCGCAATTATCTTAGCTAAGTCGTTTAAATTAAAGATAAAAATAAATTTATCTTTATATAATTTAATTAATTTATTAGTTAATTATTATAAATATAACTATAAAATATAGTTATATATTATTAATTATTTAAGTAATTAAAAGAAGTATAAAAGAAATAAAATTATATAATTAAGTACTTATAAACTTTTCTCTTCTAAATATTTATTTTAATTTAGAGTTTAATCGCTATTTAATTAAAAAAAAGGTAAGATATAAAAAGTATATAAAAGTATATTTAATAATTCTAGAACGAATTAATAATATCTATAATAATAATTAAAATTAAGAATTAGATATACTCGAATAAGAGATAGCTTTATATTACTCGTATAATAGTAAGAGTAATAATTAAGATTAAAGTTTAATTTAGATAGCGTAGCTTTTATAATAAACTTTTTATTATTATATATTAAATTAATTATATATTAATAAAGATTTATAATTTTATCTTTTAGATATAATTATATTTAATATCTTAAGATTTTTATAATAGCTTAATACTTATTAGCTAACGTGTTAATATTATTATATTTAAGCTATAATAAAGCTTATTATTAAATTTTATATCGCGCTTTTAAGTAGTTTAAAAGATAAAGTTTACTTAATTATTAGCGCGTATAATAAAATTATTTTTAATACTTATATTTTATTTAGCTTCGATATTATTTATTTTCTTCTAATTTAAGCTTTTATCTTTATTTATATATATAATAGTTCACGCGATAAGCGAAACTTTAGACTTTCTCTAAATTACGCTCGCGTATTTTTTTTATATAATATTATTAAAATGTAAGTTTACTAGAATAATAATTAGAATTAAAAGCTACTTATTATTTATCTATTATATTTTATTTAATTTTCTTAAAAGTTTATTTCTATTTTAATTATAATATATTAATATATCTAGTTTTATATTTATTATAGATTATAGTATAATTAATAGCTAATATATCGACTTTCTTTACTTTTTTAATTAGTTTCTTCTTAAATATAAATATATTTATTCGCTATCGCGATTTCTTAATATTTTTATTTTTATTAAGTTTATTCTTTATTTTTTATTTTAGTTAAAGACTTAATCGTCATCTAATTAATCTATATTAAGATTTTTTAATATTATTATTATTATTAGTATTTAATATTTATTATAATAAATTATTAGACTTAGTATTTTTTACTTTAATTACTATAAAAAAATAAATTAATAGATATATATAAAGAAATTAAAGAGTTTATATAAATATCTATAGATACTAAACTATACTTAATTTTAATTAATATTTATTTTATTAAAAAGTATATTAATTCTAATAAGTATCGAAGTTAGAAATATAGAGAATATATACTATATACTATTTTAATTATAGTTTTTAAATTAAAAGAATAATTATTTATATAAAAAAAAGAAAATAAAAATAAAATACGCGAAAATTTTAATAAGTTATAATAGTTTTATTTTAATTAAGTTAGATAAAGATAATTATTTATTAATTCGCTTTTTTAGATATTTTATCTTTTAATTTATATAAGCTATAATAATAATTATAAATATTATAAAAATAGATAAGATTATATTAAATAATAGCGCTTAATAAATATAATTCGCTTAAATTTAAATCTTTAA